CCACCCTGAGAAACTTCGATTTTGCATGTATGATACGCACATGTACAATCGTGCGCACAAACATACACAAAAAGCACGTAACCCGCCCCCCCCCCCTACCTCCGCTCCTTTGCAAAAATGTAAAAAGAAAAAAATGGCTACGCCGCTGTTAGCGCGCACGTAGTTCTGCGTAGAAAGGAGTACATTAACATCCGTAACACATATGACGGTGACCTATTTCGGTTTTGAGGTTCTTGGCGCAAATTACCAAGTTCAATATATTTTAAAAAAACGTGCTTGAGCATTCTTACGTTCCCGGATATGATTACCAATGATTACCTTTATTAAAGTGAATGTCGTTGGCGTCCAACCAAGATATCTAAACCAGTGGAGTAGCCGAGATGTGGCACACCAAGCCCCCCCCCCCCCCATTTCTTTCGCCGAGCGAAAAAAAAAAGGGGGGGGGGGGGGCTCGGAGTGCCACATCAGAGCGAAACGTACAAGAGCGAAAAATGATCATTTTAAGGTGGTGCGCTTGACCCTCTCTCCCCCCCCCCCTCCCGAAAGAAATCTCTGCATACGCCCCTGATCTATCCTCACAGATGTGGTCTTAGATGCTCATTAATGTCCGAGGAGATTCACGGCAGCCATCGCTATGACTAAGCAACAGTTCAAGGACCAGCCGATTATAACGCCAGTTCTTTGATCGCGGCGTGCAACGGTACGCCTTGCACGGCGATCTAGAAATGACAAGCGTACACCGTTTCAGCCCTGCGAATCAAACCCCAGCTATGTATACAACCCCTACGCAAATCCGCGCAGCGCAGTGAAAGCTATAGCACAAAAGCTGACATCATTCATGCAGCCTGTAAACCACATGCATGAAATGACAAAATTAAGATGACATATCCAGTCCAGTCCCCCAAAGCTGTCCGCAACTATACAGACCAATTGCCGACTATCGTGAAGCCACCCAATCGCCAGCGAAACATGCAATCCTCTCATAAAAATAACGTCTCCACGATATTTACTGGTGGTGCAGGCGATACTTCGTGAAGTGCAGGCGACATAAAATATAGTGCTGCACCGAATTTATAACGTACGGTGGGACGGGTTACAAAAAGCCGTAGCGGAGAGCTCGCGATAAAAACTTCACGAAGCGCACCATGACACACGGTGTCTTTAAAAAAAGAAAACAAGAAAAATAAAAATACACACACGAAAAGGGGGATAAGAGAAAGAAAAGGGAGTTCTCTATGGCGCCCACTCATCGCGGAAACTCGCTGCTGCTCATGCATAAAGGCGCCGACACCAAAATTACGCGGAAGAAATTAAACGCGCGCTTGCGCTGTGTATACGGCCTTCACTGGGGGGGGGGGGGGGGGGTGCAGGTGAAAGGCTTTTGCCGAGGCCGGCTGTCAGCTGTACGCAGGCGCACACGAGTACGTCAACGGGCCGTCACTAATAATACTGTGCAGCGGGATCCGACAAATTCCTCATCCGAAGCATACGCGACACCGATATAGACACGGACGCCTGCGCGCATTGTAATGTCGCAACTTGGTGTCAGTGATGCGTTAGCAGATTAGTGCGCAACGTGCTTCGCTATATTCTCCTTTCGCGCGCGCACGCGGACGAGTTGTGATGTCATATGTGTGTCGATTAGACGTGCTTAACGAAGCGCGAAAATACGTTCGAGAGTGCCAGCCAGTATGTAGGCCATGTGAGGGTATACGGTGGTCGCGAATGTTAATAGGAACACCATTGCTATATTGTGCAAAAAATAAGATTCCTCGCCGTTTGTACGCAAGAACAACTTATTTTGGGTTGTTTTACAAGGAATATATGCGCCTCTGCGTGCGCGACACGCTCATGTTTGACGGAAAGCTCCATCTGTTTTTTATTTATTTTTTTGAACGAAACAGAGAAGCTAATGAAAAAAAAAACGATTATACGCCATCCTTATGAGGTTTTTAATAACGCCGGAAATGTAACGGAGCCATCCAAGATTGTGCACAGTTGTTTGACGTAAAGTGCTTTAACAAAAATTTGTTTCTCTTTCTTTCTTTCTTTCTTCAAGTGACCGGAACGTGTCCTAAAACCTCTCCAGTCAGTAGACACGACACAACATAGCGTCAGACTCTCCTTCCTTTAATTTGAACTCAAACGACAACCTCGACCTAATAAGAGATCCTTACATACGCTTTCTATGTGCGTGCAGTCACCGCCATACTTGAATTAAGACACCACCATCAGCAGCAGACAATGCTAAGGATGTCTATCTTAAGGCGCCTTCTGTTTAAAGCGAATTCAATGTTTGCCAATTACGGCCCGTGTTTGATATGCGCGCTTTCTCAATTCGGGTTAAGTACGCGGCTTCACATTAAACACAAGCAGTATTCATAGTTCTTACCGCTTATGCGAAAGCACGTTCTCTTTTCATGCAGATGCGAAAAAGAGAAGAAGCGTAAGTTTCTTTTGTTTTTGTTTTCTTTGACGAAACTTTTTCAGATGCCTTGTGCCCGTTCCCCGCCTGAAGACATCCCCACACTCCACCCTCATTTACCCTTGTATAAAAAGTTGCGACAGACAGAACGTATATATAGTCTTTTGTGCGCATGAGCGTAAGATGACCTTAATTAAAATAGGCTGCGGCATATACGCTGTCATAAATTCATCTCTCGCGGTGATAAAATAGGCTGAATGTCAGATCTCACACGACGAGTAAACCATTAAACAAGTTAAAACACTTTACCATTAACCGTGACGTGCAGTTGAAGAAGCTTTAGGATTATGGAACAGGTCCCGCATTTGACTCAAGCGCGGGATACGTGACGAGGAAAATGTCGTGCCCGTTAAAATTTATTTTACGGGATGAATATAACAACCGCCGCTCCCAGAGCACATTTCAGGAACTCGAACATTTAACCACATCCATTAAAAAACGAAGTAATTACATCCGACCCCCCCCCCCTCCCACCTTTCATGTTAGGCAAACGCTGAGGACAGTACACTGACAAGTTTTTATGAGAACATATGTGCTTCGTAGTGCCTGAATTGATTTTATTTTTTTGGAACGCAGTTAAGTTAATAGTTATGAATTCTATTAGGGCTTAGTTTGTAATTATTTTAGTATGATTAATTAAGATTCCACGGGACCTAATACTAGAAGGACTCTTAAGCTCCATGAAGCAGTGTTAATATTTCTGAAGTGTTTCGTGGGATCCGCACCTTCAACACTGCAAAAAATGTTTTCATTTCACGACAAAAAAAAACAAAAAAACACGGGTAACATTACTAGGGCACTTCAAGGTTTGCTGAGATTTTTCACGATGTACTATAACGATTTCATTTGAAATCGTACGTTAGTTATATTCGTTGGCTGAATATTAACCTATCATTAGAATAACATATTTAGAATCAAAGATTGTGACTCAGTCATAGATTTCTAACCCCGGTGAATTTATGCGTAAGAAATAACACTTACGCTGTCCACAAACTCTATTGCAGCTTCAAAATTATGTCCGTCAGATACAGAAAAAAATAGTTAATATTTTGTGAAATATTAACTATTTCACAGCTACCAATACAGAAGAGTCACTCCAGATTTACGCGCTGCAACTTTTTGCTACCCTAAATGAATATCAGTAGCGGGAAAATGACGTATACATTTTTGATTCCTGATTTTTCGAATACTTTGCCTTTACGAGTTAAATTCGCACTCTTTGTTGCAGTTGCTATGTCAATTCTTGGCACCGACATTTCTTATGGCTCCGTAGGTACAGTTTTGAATTGTATAGATCACTGGAATAGTTCTAAAAATGCTTGTGCATTCGTTTCTTGTTTTATTGCTCGCTTGCAGCTAGCGGGTATATTTATTCAATGTTTTTTTTTTTTTTCTAATGTAAGAACATGTCCCGCTACAGAGGTTGCCAGTTTGCTATGCCACCTTTTGACTTTAAAACAAACTAAATAGGCGCTGATTCAGAAGCGCACGAGACAAAATGTTATTTCGGCAGAACGTGCAACAATTTTTAACTGCGGCATAAAACATGTTCTCGTACTTAGCGAATAAATTAGCACCACGAATATGCGCTTGAGATAAAAATCTCAGACATCGCAGCGAAATAAAATCGATTAGAATTCCTGCTGCGACAGAATTAATGAGTCCGCTAATTAGGCAAATTATCGGCTGCGTTCGCTGTTTATAAGATATCTTCATAAGTCTGCGGTGACGCTCGCTCGAGTTTCAACCAAGGCCGATAAGAATGAACAAAAATAATGCGTGTGTTTAAAAAAAAAACAAGGACAAATATATCGCCGATTAAACATGGTGAGGACCTACATTTGAACAGAATCACACACACACACAAAAAAAACTAACAATAAGTAAGCACGCGTTAGAGCATACAACGCTTCGCACGCAGATAAAACAGTCTTGCATACGATCACATGGCCAGGTGCAGTAACCTGACCCAAGAAACCAATGAAGTATGTCACGCCGACTGGCGCGTATTTTTCCAAATGCCCGTGCCAAAAAAAAAGGGGGGGGGGGGGGGGGGGGTCGTATTCGTAAATCAGAGTCAGCTACAACTATTACGGCCTGTGGAGCAATGGTCATCGACGTAAATATACACAATGATAGAGCGACAGCGCGCGCCAACATTAAAATTGCTTAAAAAGCTCGCCTGTATATGTAGTCTGTGCAGCGTGAGTTAAACATTTTAAAACGTGTAAACTATCCCCATATATGACTTTTCTTAACGGGAAAATATTTAGGTTACGCTTTCTTTTTTTTTTTTTTTTAGCAATTCTAGTACGCTGCATTACGGCAACCGCATTGCACTTACAGGTCACTCGCGCACAACATAAAAACTGCTGCAAACGCAAGTGCGCATGGTTTACATGACCTTGCGCGTTTTTACAGTTGATCACTCGCCGTATTTATCCAGTTACATAAACGACAACTTTAAATCCGCGTCTTGATGTTCGCGCATTGTTGATCGAAAATTTCAGCTCACCGGCGCGGTGTTCCTTGCTGCACCTCTTCTTGCGCCGAACAAATCCTATTAGGAGCCGTATCCTCTCCGGCAATCCTCCGTGTTGCACCTTGCGCGAAGTGACCGCCGCACACTCCCAACTCTGTGCCGCAAGGAACAGTTATCGCGTCGGCTGCTCAAACGTGATGGCATGCCGCTTGGGGGCTTTACTTTCGTTCGCCGTCGCCAGGATCGCGGCGATAGCATCAGGCACGAATTTGCTCATTCGGGTTTTACACGCGGCGCTATGTTGCACTAACGTTTCACTCGTCTTTAGTTTAAAACATGACCGCTAGGCTTGTACTTAACAGTTTTTCACGCATAACAATGGCGCTGCAAGTAAACCCCGTTCTAAGTTGACTTACAGTGCTGTAGATTTATGCCTAAAAAGTGTGGCGGCGCATCGGAAAATTACCAACATTTACCGACCGAACTGGGACCAGCGCATCCTCGGAGAAACTTCTCAATGGCGGCAGCCAGGCGGTAGGCAGTACGAGTGACGACACCGAATCTAAAGCTCCATTGACGCGCTTGCGAAGCCGCATGCACCGCAGACGCCCCCTTCGGCGTCTTCAACGTTAGCTGCTCCCCTTTCCCGGTAGCTGCGTGCCGCGTTGTTTACGGTGGCTGGAAAAAGATCGCGCAGTTCGACGTCGCGTTACCAGCGATTGGCACTTCGCAAATTCGGGATCATTAGAGAAATGACGGCTTCAGACCCCTAAATGACTCCAGCCATGCAATCCAAGAAGCATATGAAGGCCGTGTTCAAGGAAATCAAAGATGGGAAACAATCGAGGGTCTTCATGCAGAGTGATGTGAGTATCGAAACTGCTTTTCTGCTCGGCATCGTGAACGATCTTCACCTAGTCCTTGAATACTTCTATTAAATTTGGGTTTTGCGCGTCCTGCAGAGTGCGAGCGCGCGCGCGGATCGATCCTATCAAGGTCGCAATATGCAAAAGCCACGAGTCGATCCCTTTAATCCGACCCGGTTTAGCGTCTTTAACGATTACCGAAATCGCTCGTGTAGCTTGGCCAACGTTGCATCATTGCTGTCTTTTCCGGGCGGGCGCACTGCGTAACTAAACTGTCCATTCAGACGTTTGCAATGTCACGAGATCTGCCGCGCTGCACGTCAGTCAGATGCCATGTGGAGTCGGCTGACCCTCTTGTTTCATTGCTGACAGCTGACCGCATCGCCGATCCTTTCGTTTCTCGCTTCATCGCGCGCTTTTAAGCGATCTCTTGTTTCTGTCTTTTAACCATTCACGGCGTAGTCGCCATTGCTGCAGCTTTGCATTGTAGTTCTCCGGCGAATGTGCGTAGCGGGATGCTTTGGAAAATCGATAGCGCAGCGTAGATGTAGAACACGCGCGCTCGATGCGATTCAAGGCCACGCACCAGATTGGTGCTACGGCCTTTGAAACGAACCGGCCGGCAAAGAGCAACTCGATGCAAATTTCGCGGTGGCATGGTGACACGCCCGCTGAGGTGTTACATTTACAAAAGCGACACCGATCAGCGCATAAGCTTGATATGTGTACGCTCGAAGTGTCAGTAATGTTTTGATCACTCGTAATAAAGCACAAGTAATATCGCGTAGTAAAGCAGGTAGTAAGCACAGTTTAACTTGGAATAAGTTGCCAAGTTTTGCGTGCGAAGACCATGACAACATAGTGATTGTGTTGGTCAGATCCGCAGTAATTTAATCATGCGGGGTTCTTGGACACGCTCCGAATTCAAAGTACGCGGCTCTCGGAAGTCCGTGGCCGCCGCGGGCGGAGGAGTCGCACCCTTAGCACAATCGTCCTCGCACAGTTCTCATTGACCTTAGTACTTACTGCAGCAAGAATATGAAATAAAATATTTACCGCGAAATTTGAGGTGTGTGTTCTTTGCCTCATTGAAAATCGACACCATAATTTCTATAGTAACACACAAGCTGACTGAAATTGAGACATTGCCTAATTATATTGGAAAAAAGTACTCAAACATCTTTAACCAACCTACTATTGAATTTGTTGTTAATAAATCACGGTAAACAAGGTGCACATTTGGGAAATCTTAGCCATAGTTCCGTAAGCTTTGTCAATTTGCAAAAAATTGTCTTTACTCCATATAAAAGTAGTTCTGTATTAGATTGCACAGCATTTAATATTATGCAGGCATTTTCTGACATTTTCTGCAATACTTTTGGATGTTCTAACCACTAACCTGAGCTCCTTGTGTGAGATAAGCCCATTCAATCTGGAAACTTAATGACCTAATTAATGGTATCACTGCAAATAAACATTGTAGGTCCAAATTACACAACTTCTGATTGTGAGAACATTGCCTTCTGTTATGTGCAATATTGTTTTGAGAACTCAGCACAAACGTGGCTGTAAAACTGTGGGAAAAAGCTATCTTGATGAAACATTGACGTCATCAATATCCTGAGTCAATGTGAAACCATTACGTGAAGAGATGTGCTAGCTTTATTACTCAATTTATTTTGCGCTGAACTTGATAAGGAGGAGGAGGAATAAATGAGGAAGGACAGGGAGGTTAGCCAGTTCTCAGACCGGCTGGCTACCCTGTTACGGGTAGCCAGCCGGTCTGAGAACTGGCTAACCTCCCTGTCCTTCCTCATTTATTCCTCCTCCTCCTTATCAAGTAGCCAGCGGGTGTTGATAAGGAATATGCGATATATATGGGAGGTCATTCAGCCCTTACAAGGTGTCCCCTATGTAGGGTATCCCCTAAATAAGGCTACCCTATGTAGGGTAGCCTTATTTCTATCTTATGACATGTCAAGATTGAGAAGCTCACAGCCTATGCAGGCACACCTTGGGTATTTAGAGTTCTACTGTGCGAGCTGCACATTTTAATCTCTTACTATGTGCAGCTGAATTTCTCACCTTTGACACTCAATGTTCATAAAACAACACAGCATATTTTGTGGTCTGTTTCAGGTGGACATTCCTAAGATTGACAAGTATTCCGTGTTGGTTAGTGTGAAAGCGTGTGGTCTCTCCACCAGTGATGACAAGGCAAGCACACATTTTTCGGAACTATTTGCATTACTGAAGTGCATTTCATTTGCGCAACTGCGATGAAAAGCTGCGGGTTGTACCCGTGACTGAACACGTTTGATTATGGCTGACACCATCTTACGAAATAACTTGCACTCTCATGCTTCAAATTTGTAGAATGCATTTGTAAGTATCTGAAGACTTATGATGCTCATTTTATGTCTGCGAGTGTGACAAACTAGCAAAGTACTGCCACTAACACTTTCGTGTGAGTGTACACAAGTGGTTAACATGTTTGGTTACACATTTTTGCCATACCAGAGACTGTTTAGGTTTCCTCTCTGATGATGCTCTGGAACTCGCTGGCAATTTCCTTTTCAGGTGTTGAAAGTGCTCTACAAGGACCAGTCCAAGACTAAATTCCCAATGTGTCATGAAATCGCTGGTGTGGTGGTCGAGGTCGGAGACTGGGTTACAACTGTGGAGCGCGGGGACGAAGTAGTGGGTATGTTCCTCTTTCACTAGTTTCTATGCAAGCTTCATTTATGACTCTGGTTGTAGCTATCTAAATTGTATTATTGCGTGGAAGCTTGGGCAAGTTGGTAGGACATAACTGAATGCAGGAACAGCGCAACCTAGAAGTAGTTACTTCGTAACTACTTCTAGGTTGCACTGTTCCTGCATTCAGTTATGTATTATTGCATGCCACCGGCTTGATGTGTCTCGAAAAATTACCAGTACTTGCTTTGGTGTGTTGAAAGTTTCTCGAAAGGTTTTATGTTCAGCAGGTGATGAAAGAAAACTACTATTTTAGTTATAATTGATTCTTGCAGCTTTTCTATTATCACAAGCTTCTGTTACTTCCATCGGCAGTGTACTTCAGCCATCGTACTCTCCTTTCAGGCTTGATTCCTCTAGACTACAACCAGTCTGGGTGTGCTGAATACGTACGTTTAAATGAATACGATGTCAGTAAGTATTGCGCCTTTGTTTCTAGCATTTCATGCTCGACTTGCAGCTACACAACTCTAGGTTAACATTGCATCCTCATAAAAAGAAGAAAAAATTCCGCCATATCCACGAAGTGAATGATGATGAGTGGGCGAAGCTCCGGAGGTAAACCTGGTAAACCATGAATCCTCTGTACATTTTGCCCACTCGATTTTATTACATCGCTCCCCCTAGCGTACGTCGCCGCACTAAATCGAACGATTGCCTTCAACCAATGACACGCGCCATATGTGACATCATTCCTATTTTATAACATCTCGCGATTTCATCAACTACAAGTACCGCTTTCTAGTTTATAACATCTTGCATCTTTTCATCATCAGCTACAAGTACCACCATCTAGTAAACACTACAAGAACTAAACGAGAGGTGGCAACATACAGGAGACGGTACCGCCATCTAGTGAACACTGCAAGAACTAAACTAGAGGTGGCTACATACAGGCTACAGGGGACGCACAGCCCACGCCCTAAGGAGCTTCGCCCCTAAAAGAAAAGAGGATGGGAGGCTGTTGTGCCCGAAAATGAAATTCCTTGGTGGGGCAGAAGGTAGTCTTACTTAATATGTAGCTAGCCATATGCTCAGCTTTCTGGAACTCCAACATGACAGGGTAGGTGGGGTCAAGTTAAGATTTCACTAGTAGCGCCCTCTATCTCCCCCCCCCCCCTATTATGGTTCTTTTCCAAGAAAAGAAGTAGAAACTCGTGTTGTAGATCCTACATTGCACTGAAACTGTCACATTGTGAGCTATCAACATACGGCACAATGGTGAATGGAAAAATGTTTAGTTCATATGTAGTATATACACAAACATATTTATACACGTGCATATAGGATGTCAAAATTTTCTCCCACCCTGAGATAAAATACTGACTATATCTCTGGCTTATCAAATTTATGTGCTGTCATGTGTTGCATGAATTTCTGCTCTTTTCATTTATTTCTACCTTTACAATTATTGTATCTTTAGCTGACTTCCTATAAATTTCCAGTGTTTTTCATTAAATTACTGGTTCACACTCCAAACCCTACTTGTGCAGGAGCAATTTTAAGCCCTCCCTTTCCCAAGGACATCACTTGCAATGTTTAAGAATTTGCAATGTGAAATCAATTGTTGACTCGACATCCATTAGCAAGTCGCTCTTTCTCACTCTCCCCCACAGCCAAGAAGCCACAAGGTGTAAGTTTTGTCGATGCCGCCGGCTGCATTGGTGATGCCGTGAAGGCCTACACGGGCTTGCATTACCTCGGGCGTCTCACAAGCGGTGATACTGTTCTAGTCATGGATGGAGCATCTTCGTTTGGAGCTATCGCCATTCAGCTGGCTCAGCACTGGGGTGCCAAGGTGGGTATAGCATCACATGGAAGAGTACTAGTTAATACGAAGTTCCTAGTAATTATATCATATGTGGCAGGAATAAAAAATGAGTAGCTCTAGCTTTATGTAGAAAATGGGGGCAAGCGAAGCTTAGCGTGTGCTTGTCTGATCATTAATTTTCATTCTTTTTTTCTTGCTTTTTACCACATTGTGCTGTGCTCTTTCCTAAGTTCTTTTGTTCATGCTGGGAATCAGTGTTTCCTCTGCATGCCTAGCAGCGCAGCTACAGACAACAAGTGCCATGTGTCATTATCTAGGCGTCAATGGAATGTGGCAACGTCAAATGCTAAATAACCTTGTTAAAAAATCAGACTTGCATACCAGAAATGATTGATTGCTAACGAGCCCACAATTGAGAGGGTATCAATTATTGGAAAACGGTGCATACAATTACGCATGTGTACAGTGCATGACGATAGATTTAGCGCGAAAACAAAACGACGACACAGAGACAAGAAGGACAGGAAAGAGACCTTGTCTCTGTGTTGTCGTTTTGTCTTCGCGCTATAACTATCGTCATGCCATACCAACTAGCCCAAGCTGCCACACTTCTATGAACAGTGCACTTTCAAGGACCGTTTTCTGTGCTCTCGTTGGCGCCGCGTTTCTCGCGTATGGCGCCGAAATGTGGCCGTTGTAGAAGCTATAGAAGCATTCCTTAAAAATGTGCAGGTTATCACTACTGCAAGCTCAGATGACGAAGTGCTTTACCTGGAAGGGCTTAAGGGCCAGGTTGCCCGGGTGGTAGACCTTCGCAAGACGGACAATTTTGTCTCTGGCACCGACTTTCACCCGGCTTACATGATTGGCTCTGGCAGCAACAATAACAACAATGCCAACAGCAACACCGGTGGAAATGCCCGTGCACTTTTGCCAGCCTGTATGCAGGTGAGTGAGACAGTATGACCGACCGTGTTTTACATATCCTAAAGCTACGAAGAAGGCTACAAGGACCGATGTATAGTAATGTAACTGGTATTTATTTTGAACTGTCCAAATTTCACTTTCGCTGAATTCATTATGTGTAAATGGACCTCTGATGCAATCCTGGGCTGGCAATGGTATAGTTCATTGGCATAGATTATTGGGAGGTGTCCTTGTCCTCCAGTGAACTTAAGATAGGCTGAGTGTTGCCATGCATGCTTATTTATTCTTTTTATATAATCAGGTTTCACCCTCAAAAAATTTAACCATGACTCATCGCAGACCGCACTGCAATGTTTAAAAACTTCGATTCGTTCAGACTGTTCTGTCCAGATTATGCATCGGACACGAGTGATTTATTCGAAATTTAACAGAAGCTCCAGCGATAGCGCTAAAGAGTTTGACGTAGCATCTATAAAAAGCCGATGCATTTCACTTATTAGCAGATTTTTCAAGGGCCAATTGCTGTGTGTGCCAATATTGCTGCAGTTTGAATGGCATTCCTTTTTAGGGCACAAGTTCGGCAAATCAAGAGTCTCATCTTCATTAGCTGCGACTGTTTTCTTCGCTGTCGCAACCATATGATGATGATGATGATTCTGGCACGAGCCTTCTTAAAAAAATATAAACTTCTTTACCTTATCTGTTTTAGGAGTCCGGAGGCCTTGGAATAGACCTCGTGCTGGACAATGGCGTGACGCAGTTTGCGGAGACGAGTTACCGCATTCAGGTGGAGGACACTTATGACCATCCGGTGCCAAGCAAGCACGACATCGTCTCCTGCCTTGCAGTGGGTGGCCGTTGGATTACTTCCAAGAGTGATCTCCAGGTCAGCGTACCTTAATGTTGCTGGGATGTTTCCCTTGTTCATATTTGACTGTCTGCATTACAGTGTAGATTGAGCACAGGCTGCACGTGTCGTTGTTTTAATACTGATACATAGCGCCATCGTAAAAGGTTATTTCTTCTTGCTTTTTTGAATGTTCTTTCTTGTTAGCACAAACTTATAACACTGCATCCTTTGCTTTATCTCCTGATAACATGCGTGGTTCGACTTAATGGTGAAATTTTTACACTCTGCTTTGTAATTGTGTTTTTTACACATGTAAACTTAAACCTCGATATAACAAACCCGGATATAGTGGATCATTGGTTATGACAGAGTAAGTGAAAAATATCTTTGTCATAGATGTAGTGTTAAAATAAATGTGTATAACGAATTTCCTGATATAACAATGTCTTTGTGGCAGATGTGACTTTGTTATAATGAGGTTTGAGCGTACGTGCTTAAGGTCTACACTATGGCTGCATTCCCAATCTTATTGGTTCATGGCTGTGCAGTGCATGAGTTATGTATGTAAATATTCTGTATAAGGCAAAGCTGACATTGACGTAAGACTGAATTTGCCTGTACAAGCACTTAAATCTGTGTGTGTATACATATGGATTGCATACATTCATATGGTCACGGGGTCGCGATGTGGACGAAGGCAGCAGATTTGATGTTCAGACGAATCTGTATGTTGAGCGGAACCTGCGGCCACTTAAAAGGAAAGTCAGAATACAGCAAGGCACTGATAGCGGCGAACAGAGCGTCGGCCGTTAATCGACTTACTAGTGGCGAAGAGTGTCGGTGTTTATACATAATGCGCCGAATATTCCAGCTGGTCGTCACGCGAGCTTTAGAATAATCTCGAGTGTTCGCGTGTTGCGCGCAATTTTAACAGAACGATCTACAATGATCGCGAACCTTCTCGAACAGTGAGGCGCAATGTGCGCTGAGCATTCTCGACAGGATTCGTAGGCGAAAATCGAAAGAAACCGAAGTGAAAATAAGAAAGACACGTGGCAATATGTCTTTAATACATACAGATCTGCGCGACCCTGCTTCCACTGTGGGTACATGATAAATAGTAACGAACTGCACTACAGCATGTTGCGCTCTTTCCTGGCAGCCGTTGGCTAACCTCGAAAAGAAGACATTGGAAACTGTGTAAACCCGGGGGCTGCTATAAATAGATCAGGTGAATAGTTTTTAACAGGTGTTAGAGCCTAAACACCAGCTATAAGGCATCAATATCCTCCGGAAGTAACTAATGAGAGCTAGTAAGTGGACAGCTTTCTGAGGTCCAGTGTACATGCCTGTTAATTTTCGGAGTGCGAGGTGAAGCTGTCATAAAATCAGAAAATCGCAAAATATTCACGAGCTGCGAAGGATATCACAGCAGGGAACTCGGCATAGAATTCGAACATATGGGGTTCATTACTGCGCACTTTGTACAATAGTTTTGGAATACGCTTCCTTCAGAATTTGGCTGCTGTGACCAGTAATCGGAGCTGTGGTCTCCATCAACAATGCCATTCTCTGCCATTATCTAGTGCTAATTACCATTGCATAGTTCTCTTTTACTTTGCAATGCTGGTGACCTCCTGAGAGTATGCTTTGCTTGTACTGATTTTAATTTGAGCGATCGCTTTTTTGGAGGTCGTCAATAAAGTTGATACAACAATCAAGGCTTGTTTCAATTGTGAGTTGTGGTTATTATTTCAGCTGGACCCACCACATTCCCAGATGATGTTCATGAAGTGTGCCTCAATCGGATTCCTTTTTGAGCAAGCTTGGATCCTGTCGTCGACACAGCAGGGTCGTTACTTGCGTATCCTTGACTACAGCAACATGCACAATGCATTTTCTTTCATACCCCCCAATATATATATATGTATATATGGAGCATCAAACGCGTTATTCGAAGGTCGTAGGTTCGATTCCTGCTCACGGCAAGTTATTTTTCACCCACTTTTCTTTCTTACTATTTACATTACATTGGTTCTAATAACTTCCCCTATACATTCTTTGGCATTATTGTCTGTTAGATCTCATTAATATTGTGTCAAAACAAAAAAAAATGAGTCGTTAGGTATACACTTCTTTTCCATATATATATATATATATATATATATATATATATATATAATGAGATATAACAGACAGTAATGCCAAGGAATGTACAGGGGAAGTTATTAACATTAATGGAATGTAAATAAGAAGAAAGAAAAGTGGATGAAAAAATTACCAACTGTAAGCAGGAATCGAACCTACGACCTTCGAATTACGCGTTCGATGCTCTAACCACTGAGCTATTACAGCGGCACTCCCTCCATCCACTTTTTTGGGTTTATCTGTGAATTTAGAAGTAGGAGCGACAGTCAGCGCCATCTATAAGCCAAACAACGAGTGTGAAAACACTCTTCTAAATTCACAGATAAACTACTTCTAAATTCACAGATAAACCCAAAAAAGTGGATGGAGGGAGTGCCGCTGTAATAGCTCAGTGGTTAGAGCATCGAACGCGTAATTCGAAGGTCGTAGGTTCGATTCCTGCTTACAGTTGGTAATTTTTTCATCCACTTTTCTTTCTTCTTATTTACATTCCATTAATGTTAATAACTTCCCCTGTACATTCCTTGGCATTACTGTCTGTTATATCTCATTATTATTGTGTTAAAAACACGGAAAAACGAGCCCTTAGGTATACACTTCTTTCCCTTATTTTATATATATATATATATATATATATATATATATATATATATATATATAAGGCTGAATTGCAAGGCTCGTCTGTCACTCTTACGGTTAGCTGTTAATACGTGACTTGTGAAAATCAACAATCAATTTGTGCATACCTAGTGTTTCTAACATGTAAATTAATGATTGAAATATTCGAAGTCATAACTGCGATAAAAGTTATTGAATGTGAATGACACTACGGGCTGACAAGCATGTCGCGATATCATTTAGTTAATCAGAGATAGTGGAATATCTATACTCTAATCGTTAAAGCTACCATATTTCCAACCTTTCACCATTACGCATAATTTCTGCCTTGACTTTTTGCAAAACAGATATCCTGATGGACATAATGGAAAAGGTTTCCAGTGGTGTGATAAGGTAATTTTTTTTTCTGTCACGGTTGCAAAGGCAATGAAGGTTTCTGTGGTAATTTCTTTAAGATGGCACACCTATGCATCAGATGGGTGTCACTGCACCTGAAAGCTCTTTAAAAACCCTTTGTCATTTGAAGTGAAATTCGCTGACTTTATGTACAATTGTGTACTGATTTCAAATACTATGCAATTAGTTTCTCAGTATAGTATGTAGTTTTTAAATTCTAGGTGCCACTTTGAGAGCAGTAGTTTACCTAACATGAAAAAGTTATGAAATAGTTAAGCACATCAGAATGACCTGTAATGAGTACAAAATACAAGAGAATTGTTGTTGTGAGCCCAAGTGAACCAAAGTTGTGGTATGCCAGCTTGATGTGGGATCATTTGCAAATAAATGTTCAACATACCATAACTTTTGTTCAAATCGGTTTAGATCATCAATTCTAGTTTATTCGCATTCTTCACTTGTTCCAGATTATGGAAGTGCTATTTACTCTCTTTGTTTAGGCAAACTATGGCGTTCAAAAAGCATATAAAACTTTTGGTAATGTAAAAATTGCATACTAGAAATCTGACCAAAGGTACATAAACTCAGCCAGTTTAATCTGAATCGCTAAAGAATGAAAAAATAATTTCAGGACCCATGTCCCGCTTGAAAGATAGCATGGAAAACATTTGCACAGGAGTGGCAAGAAAAAAAAAAAATCACCGTCATATCTATAAAATGAATGATGTTAGAGGAGCTTGCTCGGAGGTGCACAGGGCGTTTCTTGGCAAAACCATTTCTATAGGAATGCTTGTTAACGAGCCAGCGCATGATGTGTACGTCGAAGACAGGGGTTTCAGGCATGTTCCGCAGCCGGCACTGCGCAGTGTTGGCCACATCGATCGGCACGTTAACCACGTGCCCCTTTGTGTCATACCGGCCGCTGCCGTGAGTAAAATGCCTAACGCTCATTAATGGCAGACTTGGAGCTATCAGGCATTTTTCAATGAGGTTGAGAGCAGAGATGTGAGGAGACTTGGTAGGATATTGATACCCGTATGTAGTTCTCATCGTAGGAACTTGTCACGTGCTGCCGTGCCTACCAAGCGATGGGAACGAAGTGGACATAGTCACTCAAGAAGGCGGGCGCGCGGGCCATCGAAAACCGACGCCTTGAAGGCGACGCGCCATCTAGTGAGCACTGTTCGTATCACCGGAGAGGCGACCTTGAGCCGCTGCCGGAGAAGTGTACACTGGCAACACTGGTGTACACACCGGAGAAGGCGCGAGCATAAGAAGCTTGCCAAGCAAGCTCCTAAAAATAGGGGGAAGGGGCGAATGGCAAAGCAATTTTTGATTTTCGACAAGTAGACTTACCCATTAGGCTCGCACATACATGTGAGGCAATGCCCTACTCTCACTCGTGTCACTATACAGCTGTATTTTTATTTCATTTATGTACTAAATCACACTACTTGTGGTTCCATGATCCATCCTTTCTTTATTTATTTGAATTATTGACTGTGCATAGTTGTTTGATTTTAGATCCGATGCATTAAGATTAAGAAGAGCAAAGTGAGAGAAAGAAAAAAAAAGGTCTTTGAGTTTATGGGAAGCGAACTGGTAGTTTGTGCTTGGCGTACCACATTGCGTAATAGCTTAACAACAGCTTTGTTGGCTGTCAAGTCAATTGATGGTAATTCTTATGCATCTCTCTCACTTGCCACTAAATTGCCACTGCCTGTTTCTTGTATCATTACTGTTTCGTTGTAACACATTATTTCTTCTTGTCCACAATTTTAGTAGTGAACTGAGTTGCTACCTCAATCTCCTATGTAATGACTCAGCTATTCAGATTGCTATGTGAATGAGTGATTGAATGAACGGGTCACGTTTCACACTTATTGCCTTTTCCCAAGCACTGCTGCCTGCTTGCGCCTGTATTTAGAAACTTAGAACCAATATATCTGCCTCACAAAATCACACAACTACTGGCTGCGGTAGTACGGAATCCTGTCCAAAAGTCTGCTGCTCATGTGTTTCGCATTCGCCCCGCTTTCAGGCCGAACATCCACCACACAGTTTCTTTCGAGTCCGTCCCCGACGCTCTCGAGAGCCTTACAGACGAGAGAGTCGGCAAAGTCGTGATGAAGATGAAGTGAACGAAGCAGCATGCTGTCGCCATGCAGAGGTGTTACGACCCGGTGCCTCTTGCTCGTAATATTCTCGCTACCACAGGGGCCCATTAAGCCCTTTTCTTCGTCTTTCTAGTAGCCAGTAGCTTCAAGACTACCTCTACTTGTTTGTGACGTCTTTTTTTTTTTGTCGGGCATCAACCCGAGCGGCACTACTGCACTTGCTCTGCTTTTGTCGCCCATTCCTCGAACACCGTAGTGCTTGCCACCGACGGTGGCCCTAGTTTGCGATGGCATTAGAATTGCACACGTGCGATACGCTAGCAAAAAGGAAATGCACACCTTAACTTGCTCATTTGTGTAGCACATGTCGTGCGACATCCTTATGATAGAATAGAAGCGCTTGACTATGATGTCTCAAACCCCTTTGCACGAGCTCTTGAGACTAGCTAACTGTTGTTATAAATGTTTGGTTTCTGTACAGGAAGTGCAATGGCATAGTTTCGGAACATTCAGATGACACTTTCTTTGAAAAACATTTTTGATGTTTAGGCCCCGCTTAGTTTGTGGCTAGTCATGGTGGGATGTTGTGAACGAATAGCACTGTATGTACATGCACTTAATTGAGTTGTAGCCTGACAAGCCATTCAATATGTATATACTCACGAGCACGTTGTAGAGTGAAGTGCATGTGGTTGCTTCTGTCGTCTGGGCATTAAGGTGGAGAATGAGTGATGGTTTTTGCTGTTGCATTTATCGAGCTTGAAATCTCTGAAACCAGACAAAAGTATTATTAGAAAGAAGGCCTTCGTGCATGTCCACTTTGACTGAAGAGTGAACGTCTGACAATTCTGGTCTGTCTGTACATATGAAGAGCCTGTCCCAGTGTTATAAACTCTTGGTGACGTACCTATGTTCTGTTTGAGTATTTAGAACAGCATTTTGTTAACTGTTAGGTGTGAGAAAGTACTTCATAAGCATCTCCTTTTACATTAACCTATCGATCAGAATCTTGAACAAAAACAATGCTTGTGCACTTTATTTGTGAATCTTACGAAAAGTACTGACCACCGGTGTGTTGTGTGCTAAACATTCCTGTGACTGAACAAACTTGATGTCATGTTCAAAGAATGTCGTTTGTTTTCTGCCTGTTGTTTAAAACGCCGTGAGCTATAAAAGTTAAAGAAACATGTTTGTCTGTGTGGTGCATAAATTTTAGTCTAGGCAGTAGAGCCTTAGCAATTGGTAAAGGTACTCGGAGTCATGTGGACAATTGGCAGATATAAAACACAAGTTCTGAACATGCATTTTATGGTGTGAAGGAAAAAAAAAATCCGAGTTCTCCTGTCTCTCATTCCCCCTTAGCAGCCATTGGCATGTACATTGAGCACTATCTTTTATTGTTCAACAACGCACAGAAGCAATCTCTCACCGGCGCCACCGTGGACGTCAAAATGTAATACTTGTTACACACTACTACTGCGGCCACAAAAGACGAACGGGTGCCGCTATAAGGAGCTTCGCCTCTAAAAAGAAAGTGGATACCAAATTACAATGTAGTGAACATGTTTCTTGGTGTGTTGTCATAGGCAGGAATAGGGTTCCCCTCTAGGTGGGGCGGGAGGCAAAGGTACGTCGCAGCTCTATTGTGTCAATATATGGGGCCTTCTATTGTTACCATTTGTCAGTGACAATTTTGTAGTGTGATAGCAGACAGGTCGAATCATGTTATAAAGGCTAAATCATTCCAGTCGCAGTTTTTGAAATGAGGGGGCTACTGGAATAATTGCGAAAGTGGCATCACTTTAACTATCAAATGCTTTTCATTGCTTGTGAATGACATTCAACACAAGAAGGTTTTGCCATACCCTTTCATACCTTTGTATTCTAAAAGTTATTTTTGTCCAGGTGATACAGCATACATAACTTTTGTGATAATTTCATTGCAATCCACACAAAGTTTTTAGATATGCTGAGCAGGTCACACTAGAATAGGTCCGTAACGACAGTGCTGTGCAAACTTGAAAATTTTCCATGATCATATCCCTTAGACACTGTTGTAGCTAGTAAGTTTCGTACATATTTATCTGCATTCTCTTCTCTCCTCACAGTCTTCTTGTCAACTATGGGGCTACCATTTCTTTTCTAAACACAAATTTCTATCACATCAATTTCAGAGGTGAGCTATTTTCACTCGGATGCTTCTCCTCAAGTTCCCACGCATTTTTTTTTTCGCAGTGTGGGGCAATTTAGAAAGCTTAGCGTCGCAGTTATCGAGATAGATGTAACTTTATACTACTCGTGATCTCATAACTGCATTGTTAACTTCTATCTATTCAACTAGCTTTTTTTTTTCATACAACACGCTATTTTCTTGCAAGTTATCGCTTCTTTTAATTAAGCATCAAGTAACGTGATGCTTGCTAGGCACAAATTTAGAACTAGCAAGGGTCATCTAACGCTTGTGTATCCTCTGTGACAATGAGGCGGCTCTACGATTGTTCAAAGAACTATGGAAAACTACAAGTCTTGGTTGAAAAAGTAAACGAAAGAACAAAAAAAAAAAAGAGAGAATACTTTACAGGCGCAGTTGACTGGGTGTTTCAGAGAGCTCCATTGGAACTACGGAAGTCGTGTATAAGGCCAGGCCGCACTGCGGGCTTGAGTCATCTGCACCGGTGATATTGAAGCAAACTGATCGCTCCTAGGCCCTCTAAATTCTTGTCACATAAAAAAGGTAACTTTAGCACGACTTGTGTAAGCACATCATCTGGCACTGCTGGAGAAGTACGGAACAGCCATTTCGGCATGCCCCCAGACATTGCAGCAGGATTGCTGGCGATTCATGTTCCTAACCCATAATGGCAACAGTGCCATTAGCATAATTGTAACACACTGAACCCTGTAGACACCACTGGTGTTTATGGTCACATACACGTGTCAATTAGGCATGCCCACGAGCGGTTCTTTAACTTAGCTAGAATTTGCCTGTGACTAAATAAAACTTCCGGTTTAGCTTCTTAGCAAATGTTCTGGTGACAATAATGAAAAAGATGCGACTTGCATTGTAATTTGGTATGCAGCTACTGAGACATTTGGAAAATGTGAGCTGCCTATTTCAATTCACAATATTCAGAAAGAATGTAGACTGTCTATATTTGCCAGGAGTTGCACTAAACTGCATTAGCAAGCTTCACTTTGAAGAAAGGTATGATTTTTTAAAACCATTGCTAGTGTGATTGACAACAACAAAAAAAAACCACCTTATGTTGAAGTTTGTGACTCCAGAAACTACAATGCTGGTGATTAGTGATCATTGGAAAAAAAAAAGCATTTTACTCGAAGAAACAGTCAACCAAGTGAAATTAGTATTGTACCAACTTGTGGATCAGTTCACTGCTACTGTACAAGCACTAAGGTTTGACCACTTTACACTGAGAAAAGTTGCGCGAGATTAATGGCATTAGCAATTAAAAGGTATCAGCACTTAGCAACACAAAAAGTGCGTATAAGTAGGCAACACCAACCACAAGCCTATGCCACGAGGGCACAAAGGGTGACATCAAGTTGCTTAATGCCTTATAGATAAATGTCGTTCGCACGGTGCCAAATGGACATGCTTAACATCACAGCTTTATGCCATTTATGGCATAGTATATGCAACTCATTTGGCTGTTAAGTGCATACAGCTTCTCCCCGTGTCCACTGGTTACAACTGTGTACAAATAACATATTTCTACAAGAATGTGTTTTATTACTGTTTTCATTGCCGCTTCTTGCAAATTTATTACCTGATCCCAAGTGTCGTGGCTCTCATCATTCAATCGAGAAGCATGCCTCTGTGCTAAAGCACTCCTCCTGCTGATACCCAGTAAGTTTTTGTCCTTTGAGTGTCTAACTCAAGATGGCTTGTTGTTGCACCACTTGAATAATATGTGGTGGAGCCATTCTATTGTGTAAAACACTCATAGAAATAAGTACGAACCCATGCTATTTCATGTTCATTGTCTGTTTTATGTACACTGGAATGGCTTTTATCAAAGAGTGGTTTCATGCAGGTATCCACAAACCATTTTGAGTGAATACCAAATAACAAAAATGGGATTGAAAGTATAAAGCATGTAAACAACTTTCATTGTGTCCAAACATTTCATGGATGAATTCTTAGGTATACTAGATGTGGAGCAACAACGCAAGAATCGTGTAGCCTCCTGGTGCTTCTTTGTAAATGCTATGAATGCGTGTCCATGAATCCATGTATACCTGTCTAGAGGAGTTGTCTCAACCTCAGAAACACTACGGCATGTCATCAAACCAGGTTGTGACCTTTCTTGGCAGAACATCTTGTTTGATAAGCAAAAGCAACACGTCCTCTTGTTTATGTTGGCAAATTCTTCACATAAAATTTATAAGTATCACAACCCATGCATCATTTGCAAACACTTGTTTGGGGCAGTAGTATACATATTTTTTTCTTGTAGCTAATGTGTCAAATTGAAATTGTTGTGATTGCTTAAACAAGCTCCTGTCTCAAAGATGGCTCCTACATTCCGTAAATGTATGTGGCCACTGGTACAGATAAATAGCGCACGCGAGATATATTTTTTCTTATTACGTCGTAATCCAACTCGCCCGTACGCTGTTCCACAAGCCGTCTAAAGGGCTTCTCGCCAGGTTTGGCCATTTCAAGCTGACAAGTGCAATGCTTACATTACGCGCTCACAATCGTGTCTGCCTGGAGTTACAACATTGTGCTGCGAGGAAGAGCTCCAATTTTAAGCAGAACCTTGCCAGCACGTCACCCCATGCACTGTGTGTGTGTGACCTGCTGATCTGTTTGCATCACATGATCTTCTGGCACCGTACATGAGAACACAGGAAAGTTGTTTGGCAAGCGCCAAGGGTGTGAAACTTTCCTCCTAACATCTTGGCTGTGTTCCGTTTCAAAATATGCTTCATCTCTGCTTGTAAGGAAACAATTTGAGCCCCGCCGCGGTGGTCTAGTGGCTAAGGTACTCGGCTGCTGACCCGCAGGGCGCGGGTTCGAATCCCGGCTGCGGCGGCTGCATTTCCGATGGAGGCGGAAATGTTGTAGGCCCGTGTGCTCAGATTTGGGTGCACGTTAAAGAACCCCAGGTGGTCTAAATTTCCGGAGCCCTCCACTACGGCGTCTCTCATAATCATATAGTGGTTTTGGGACGTTAAACCCCACATATCAATCAATCAATCAGGAAACAATTAGAATAATACTTGCTTCAGATTCTCCTTGTTGGACACCTAACAACTTCCAGTACATAACTAAAATTTGTTATATGGCCTAGTGAGGAGACCTTTAACAATTGCTTTAGCTGCATGTCTTCATAGGCTAAGGGAACAGAAGGAAAAGCTTATATAATACAGCCTGCGCTCCTTCATTTGCATTCCAAACACACTATTTTATGAATTTCAAAATTGCTTGGAGCCACCTTACAAAAACTGTATTCATCTTTTATATCTCCCATAAATTTACACGACACAAAAGTATAAAATGCCTGTCCTTGTGCTTATGCAATGTACCTCTGCCAAGCAATAAAAACCTTAAGACATTCCTGCCACTTGCAAACTCAATTGGACAGTGTGTTGTCAGTTCTTGCGACAATGTTTGTCAAGTAGTGAAATGCTTGACAGAAGTAATTGCTAGATGTGAATTTGGTCACATTTAAGTACCGACGCAGACCAAAAAGTAAAATATACTGGAACTATATTTTACATTTAAGCGAGGATGGAAAAAGAGCAATGCCCACATTGGCATTGCTCCTTTTCCAGCCTCGCTTGCACTCTAAACAACACACAGTCGACATTACTCCGCGCTTTGAAACCAACTACGAAGCGACAAGATGTCCAACTTCCAGGCCATTTCACCAAAATGGATGTTCTCACCAATCTCTGCCGGCTCACATTCCAATTCATGGTGATAGAGTACAATTATATGTTATTTGTTCTTGCTACTTCTGTCATGGGGAAAAAAAAACACATTTGTTGTGGTTTAACTGCTTATGTAAAAGACCTGAGTGGCTCTCGAGTTCTGCTGTATGTGATAGCTTTACTGAGAGGACTGCTTCGTCCTAGAAGTTGAATGCCGTGTTCATCTGCAATAGTGAAGAAATAGTTCTTCCTTCCACTAATTTCTGCAGCCTATTAAATCGTGTGTACGACCTGAACTTATGATTCAGGCTGTTTTACAATGTAATGAAGTTTTGCTTGTTTGAGGACTCACTAGGAAATGCATATACGTTCATTCTGCCATCTTGACTTTTCTTCAAGTAAACATAACCCACCATGCCAATCGAACTAGTCGCTCCTTGGAGTCTTTAAATATTCACTCTACAAACATGGATGGATAGACAGTGTATCACCATAGTAGATGCCACAAAAAATGATGCGAACTAATATGCAGTGGCATTCTGAATACCTAGTTAGCCGTACAAGCCGTTCACATCTAAGGTGAACACCTCATCAGTATTTGAAACCTCATGGAAGGTGGAAAACAATTATTGTGCTAGTCAAGGTCGTGATTTGATGTCATATAATTGTTATGTTGTTTGTCAATTGGAGCATACATTTTATTTTTACCGGTTCTAATACTACCAAGGTTTTCACCTTAGATGCGGTCGACCCTGTACAATCTATAGCCCAAAACTGGAACATGACAACACAGTCGTGACGTCCGATCGGCTTCTACGACTGCTGTGTAATATTTTATCTGCTGATGTACCGTCAATCAGCTGTTCGTCAGTTACGCTAGAAGCTGACCATTATGGTCGCCATTTGAACAGATATGCTTTATTGTCCTTCAATGGTCCCGTCTACTAGAGTTTCCAGCAATGCGACTTGTGCGAATGTAAGAAAGAATCACACAACTTTCAGTGCCGCGCCTTTAGGAACCTCCTGATGGCCTCGAAGAAATTTAGGAAGTGGTGGATGTTGTGCACGCTTAGTAACACGTAAGCAAGCATTTCGCCCGTGCTCAGCAGATGGTTAACGTAGGCTCGCGTGAAGTGTCTACACGCGTAACAAACGCATCCTTCCAAGAGCGGCACGAATTGGTCCCTGTACACGGAATCCCTCATGTCCAACGCGAGTTGGTGATCTGACAGGTTCCTTTCGAGCATCGTCGCGAGCTCGTTGTCACAGCTGCAGCGGAACGACAGAACCAGCCCGTCGTCGGTGACCGCGTTCGCGTAGGAAGTGTCAAAAACGTCAACGCCGCTCATGGCGGCCTTCAGTATGAATTCCGGCCGCAGCACGCCGTACATGAACCGCGGTTTGTCTTCAGGCAAGAATGCAACCACCTCCTGCAAGAGGTCGTCCACCTCTTCGAACTTCAGGCTTTTCGATGCCGGTCCGTCCACGTGGAACCCTTCGATGACGTATCCGTCGACGTCGCGTTTGGAGATCTCCATCACCGATGCGTGCCGGTGCTCCCTGCTGTAACCGCCCACGACCGTTCCGAGAATGCAGGTGTCCCGAAGAGCGCTTGACACCGACTTCGCGGCGATGCACTGGTCTAGCAGAGAAGTCGTCCTTTCTACTGATCGCTGTAGCCTCTTCCTCGTGGCGTCCTTGGGCGTATCGCTGTCGCAAAGCGCCTGATAGCAAGATGGTTTGAACGCTTCCATGATCCGCATGAAACTAGGGACGTTGAGATGGATGCGACCTCCCTGGTCCCAAATAGAGACGCCCGCCTTGTCATTGAATCCGGACGGCGTCGCCTTCATTGGATCCTGGATTCTTATAAATGACGGGTGCGTGGACATGCCCGAAAACGTTGAAATACCGGCGCCGAACTCTTGAACCGAATTTGCGAAGCTCGCTATGGGAGGCAAGGGAAAAAGCGCGGGGTGATGGTCGACACTTTTGATTTTGTGCAGCATGTCATACGTCAGGTGTGGCACGCTACCGGCATGCGTGTACAACAGGCACGTCGGTGTCTGCAAGCATTCGGCGTCGGACGCTCCTTGGAGGCCCCAAATCTCGCCGCAGCGGCCGCTGCTCGTTTTACAAGCGTGGGACACGGAGAAGCGCATCGCGTCGGCAGTAGTTTCAAAACAAGCGCACTTACGGCATAAAAAACTTGTAACGCAGTTGCCGAAGAACTTGAAATCACAAATGAATGGACGACACGCACGTGTTGCACGTAACTAGCACGACTGTCACTCACGGAACGTACGAAACACACATTCTGTTGGCGCAAGACGAAGCAAGAACACGTAAGGTGGAAGCCACAGAAACGGAAAAACCTTGTCTCGTCTGTCAGTCAAAAAGAAGTTTCAAATCACCGCTAGAACATGTCACCGTAGGCGCTCATACGCGTGTTGTCGTCACGATTGAGTAACTCTGGTTGTCACGTACACGATATGGGCGCTGCCATCTTGGATATGATGTCTTCGCAATGGTGCTTCTCAATGCAGCAGATTGACTGTGGCGACTGAGCATCTTCCCACACGAACCTGTGGTTTCTAAGCATAAGAGTTTTATTAGTTTCATGGTGTTAAGGTACGAACCTCTACACTTTAACCTACCTTTTCACAAGAGTCTTCACTGCTGAAAATCGCCACAATGGATCGCTACAACTTAGAGTGACGGTGCGAACACAGCGAAAGCATTCCGAGAAAGCATTGGAGACTCAATATTGACGCTTACACTACAGTACTTACCCGAAAGTTATTATTCGCTCAATCAAAATACGGCATGCAGAGATCAAACCGCGAATATAGGGGTGGGTCTAGGTTCTCCCAGGAACTTACTCCCCCATCTCCCTTGGAAAAATCTTGTGTTCACCTTTGAACTGGAACATTTTCCACACAGAAACCTTGGCAAATACACGTTTTGCAGATACAGTGCCTACCTTGTCGGTTACTCGCAAAGCCAGGAGACACTGTCACAAAAAGAGATAGGCCTTTTGTGACAGCACACGACGCACCTACCTGCCAACGCTGCTACCTGCCTGTGGCGAAGCTTGCTTACGATAATGCCGTCTAGATGAAAGATAAAAGGATACAGCCAAATTAAAAAAAAAATTGTTTTTCAAATAGAAAACGCTTTGCCTCCCATATCGGGACCTTGTTCACAAGTGCCACAGTCCAAACACTGGTGAACTGTCCCTTTTCAAGCTTGGGCCAATCGTATGATGGTGTGCGCAGTGGAGAACTCCGTGGCACAGGTAAAACCTTCACGCCACAATGACGTGTTGTCTAAATTCTGTCTTAGGTGACTTAAAGCCTTCGAGGCAACAACGACCTCATCATCCTCCCAACTGATGAAGGCAACGTCGCAGTTTCTGGACCACAGTGACTATGTGAGAAGAATGCTGCTGTCTTTGCTGAGGGACTTTATATGCTGCAAGATGAAAGCACCTACCGTCACCTAGACAAGGAACTAACCAGCAAAGTATAGAAAGATCTCTAAAAGTTATAGTTAGGGAATTCAGTGATTAAATATTGTGAACAAGGCTCCCGTATGAGAACCAAAGTGTATTTTACTTTTTAATGTTCTTTTGGCATTTGGTCTCCATATTTCTTTTTTATTCTTGATCATGATCATTCCTGACCAGACGAGTTTTTGTCAGGCTTTCGATTTCATAATGCCATCGTTACTGGCCTAGCCAGAGGAAAGGAGAGGGGGTTGTTGCAAGATTCAAAGTCCTTCGAATTTTTTCAACCTAGCCATAGTAGAAGATGGTGTGTTGTTGCAGGGTTCAAAACCCTTCAATTTTTTTCGAATTTGAATGACTATAGATTTACGAACAAACAGGACAATAAAGCAGTCTTTCAGTAAAAATTCGGCAAACATAGTACAACAGTCAAGTTTTTCGTTTATATGGTTTTCAGCTCAGTATCAATAAGAAGCATTGAAACATTGCATGCAATGACTTTTTGTTAGCTTTCTCAACTTGCCAATGTAGGACTGTAGAAATATTGCACACACAGACGTCATACCAATGCTCCTAAGCAGTTTAAAAATATATATTTCCAATAAGTGCTCATACCAGACTACATCACTATGAGATCCTATTATCAGATACTCCTGCTTTCACACACTAACCTTCATGAAGTGCACTTAAACATGGCTTCCCGTTACATGTTATCATGCACTGATGTGTGCTGGAATTGTACACCCAGAAGTGACTCGTCATGAATGGCACCTCGATTCGTTCGTATCCAAAGAGCAAAATGCAGATTTTTGAAACATGTACTCCTACACAGATGAACTGCGCTTTTAATTAATCCCCAAAGCCACGGGTGTTAAGGCACAGCCATGGGGCATATAGTTCTGGACTTCCATGTGTTGTCCGACCTGGCAAAGCACCATGTGCAACACATCTGTTTCACAGCCTTGTAGTTACCAATTCAACCAGACAACACTGGCTGGGTGAGTGGGATGCCCAATTCCATCTGCTCAAGTGCACCTCCATTCAGGAAACCTTACCTTCAGACAACAAACGTTTCGGTTTCTTGCTGGGGCAAATGCTAATTGCTCAATTATCCCGTTGTGGTGACCCTAAATCTAGTGACATCACAATGCAGTACACTTGCGATCTCCATTTGTTGCATAATATGTTTTAAGGTGCAAATGAATACCATATGGTTTATGAAACAGTGCGGAGCCCTGCACCCTTGGTTTTTCGAGTGTCAAGATTCCACATCATGTGACGAGTGGATCGCAGTCACATCATGTGATGAAGAATCTCTGGAACATGGTGTGTAACTGGAACCAACGTTTTGACAAGAAATCTTGGCTTCTTCAAGACTGCTCGTGTTGCAGCCTTGAAGAAGGTAAGCCTGCTTGTCGAAACATTGGTTCCAGTAACACAACATGTAGCAATAACTTTTTTTCTGTTAGGGGAGAAGTACCTCAAGGTCTAGACTTGTCCTTTGTGTGTAGTCTGTTGTTGGCACAGGACATGCCAAGTACCCACTATATGCCCACCATGACTTTCATGAAGTAGGGAAGCACCCAATGCATTACTATGCCATTTGCCATTTTGCTGAAGCAAGGTACCCACTACACGTCTGTAAGGCATTATGCCCACTTTGTGCTGGGCATGATGACAATCAAGAATAAGCGTGTTCCAGACCACACATTCTCTTTCTGCCAAGGATGAAAACGAATATGAACGTGCTGTCGCCCGCGAAAGGCAACGCCAATGCAGAAAGTAGGCTAGCCCGGAGGCGAGAATTCAGGAAGTAGCGGCAATACAGACAAGTTGCTACTCTGGAGGCGAGAGCGCGGTAGCGTGCGGCAGCTCAACGCTTACACAGACAGCCAACCGCTCTGAAGGTGAGAGCTCGATAGGTAGCAACGAATCGCTCTGCGGCTCCCATTCATGAGCATCAGGCGTTTCACGCACGGCAACGGGTAGTGCGGAATCAAACGTTGTGTGTTCAACATCCATATAGAGTAAACTTTCAGAAAACGATTTCAAAGGCTTCCTCAAAACTTACCCGACGATGCAGCCGTCAACATACACATAAAACAGAAGCTTACAGCAAGCCCTCGTACAAGTCCAACCTAGCCAAGAAATGAAACATTCACGCATGACGGAAGTACCTAGAAGACTCGCTCCTCTAGAAACACTTAAATATAAAGAAAACAGGCATATATCTCTTCTTTGTCAACTTCAGGCTAGATCCCATCAAAAAACCACTGGCTGTACTTTTATGGACCACAGATTAGTAATAATGAAGGCAAAATCGAATGAGGAACTCAACACAGCATACGAGTTATATAATCAATAAAACATAGTATGTACTATATATTGTACACACACGCCACTCATTTGCATGCATGAATTGGCGGGTGATTTGACTCCCCAGAACTTCGCCCACTCATCACGATTCACTTCATGGAGATGCGTGTATTCTAACGCAATAGCTTTAAATAGCTTGTTTCGCAGAAATTCTGGTTACGGCGTCGTTGGTTGTGAGCAAAAACTGATCATATTATGCGTGACTGAAAAATCGAGAACGATGCAAATAAAATAATTATAAAAATCCTGGAGCAGAGTGGGGACCGAACCAGGGTCGTTTAGGTCCAAGTGGCGATCAAACCCGGGTCGTTTGCGAGGCAAGCAGATGTTCTACCACACGGCCACACCTCTGCTTGTGAAAAAAGTGAAAAGAACATCCTCTGCTTACCCAATACCCCAACTTCGCGTGTTTGTAATTTCCCAACCACGCGGCCCAGCGCCGCCATCTTGGTCTTGTTTTGCTAGTGAATTTACGCTCTCTTTTTTTCGCCACCCGCGGCAGCAGCAGCGGCATCGCCGAGGCGAGAATCATTATTGATTGGGGGACTCTCGAAGTTTTCAAGTTGTCCGCGGATTAGAGGAAGCGCATGCCTCTCAAGGGAGTGGGCGATCACACAGCTCCTATTGGCTGTTGGGCGCGATGATGCATATGTCCCCCTGGCTCGACGTCTTCTCCGGCGCCGGCCTTGCAAGCGCCGGTGTTCTCTGGCATGCTAGTGTGTCCCGTTTGCTATCATTCCACTCGGTTCCGACACGTGCTCTTCAATCTTTCACCGTCTTTAGACAGTTTTTCGCCGTGTTCCTAAGACGCTGATTGTTGTTATGTAACTAACGATGAGCAGGCCAAAGTTTGGGACTTAGCACGCATTCTGTTCAAAAAAGTGTCCGACCAAGCTGATACGCATAGTGAGGCTCATTCACCCGCCAACACGTGGGCGACAGTCGCATTGATGCTGGGCAGCTTCTCCTTCGTCTCTTCAAGACGACGACTGCATTGATGCTTATCGCGATGTCGAGGTTGCTACATCAAGTGCGGCTGGTGTTGGTGTCTTGTGCTCAAGTGTGCCTGATGCGTTGTGCTCGCTAACTGCAGTGATTACAGCCCCAAACAGTGCGACCGTGTCGTCGACTGTGTATTTGCCAACACGTTTTTGAACGTGTGAGTTGTTAGCTGCGGAGGATAGCGAACGTGTTGCTGTGCAAACGAAGCTTGGCGCTATGTTGGCAACTGACGGCGCTATGCCAGCAACCAATGGGCAGCGTAAAAGACCCTTTTCGTGTGAAAAAAGCTCGAGAACGGCTGCAACACAAGCAGGAAAAGCGAAAAAGGAAAAGAGTCCTAAAGAACATTTCTAGCTACATTGCAGGGCCATTTTACACCAAATTATCTGTTCGAAATTTTGAAAGTCAGTTTTTTCAGAATGACTTTTTTGGCCAGTGAGGCTGTTTAGTCTGGTAATATCTCTGCAACCGTTCATCTGATTTCTATCACATTTGTTTTATTATGTACCCCAATAAATAGCCCACACACTGACAGAGCCATTCTTAAAATTTATTGCATCTGTAATTTGTGATGAGTAATTAAAATTTCATTGATGAATGCTCAATAGCAAACACCAAATCCAGTGCTCTGTTAAAAATTTTCAGCAAAAAAATCCTAGTGTAAAGCACCCACCCAGGAATCATCACAGTGGGTTTCACGGTGCTAGCACATTTATTAAATTCACCAGAGCATGACTAAGAAACCTATGTGGACTATTCTGATAAATGGCTGCAACTTGGTAACGAGTTAACTTAAATGCATGACAGTTTGTGGTTATTCAAATGGTTTTATTATTAGCCTACCCTGCAAATTTAATTAGAATATCTCAACAAACAAAAAAGTTGTCCTTCCATAGTAGCCTTCCATTTATAGTGGGTGCATAGCAAATTCAAAAAGGTTTCATGTGCTAAGTGCTTGAAATATGCACTAGGAACAGGATGTCGCTATCGCGTTCAACTCCTAAAGGCGAAGCTTTAGGGCCCTCTAATTGTTTTTTTTTTTTTCATTGCATCGAACTCAACCTTTCTCTGAACTTTCACACAATATTACGTGCAAAATGACGTGGCGCAACCTGATGCACCACAATTTTGAGTCTTGGAAAAACCGAGCACAGGGCAAGTAGGCAATCCATCGGGATGAAAACAGCACAAAAAATGGGGACAAGGAAGGCACACGGGCAAACTGTAATTGTGTGAGTGCTTATCCACCCTGTTATTTTGTTTTCTATTTGTGCCATTTCCATTGTATTTGAATATGCAGTCAACTATTGCCTATGGTCAGAACCACTGCACGTTCGTGAGCAGAAATGAAATACTAAAGCCAATTTTTATTATACTACTGAGTAAGAACGGAAGCATTAGGTTTGCTACTTTGCACCAAGTGAACTCGGAGCACTTCACGGTGTTTGTGAAACAAAAAAGTAATTGTTAAACGAGGCACCAGAAACACTGAAGAGAACAGTGGAAGTGTCTGGTGACATTGCGCATCCACACAGGCAACAGATTGCCGTTTGCATGTGCAATATATATAAGCAAGCATGCTCTTTATTCAATCACATCTGTACAGGCTCTGTTAGCGCTTACACAATTAAAATATCATAAATGAACATGAAAACATGCAATGGCACAATAAAGATATATTCCGATAACAAATAGCTCATAGGTGAGTGTAGATGAGTTCGATGAGCATGGAAATGGTTAAAATACAAGAACCAAGAAAAATTGTATGAATGGCATCGCACATTAATTTTCTTCGTCGAAACTGTTCTCGCCGACACCGTTTTCGTCCACATCATTTTCGTCCACATCGTTTTCGTCGACACCGTTTTCGTCGACACCGTTTTCGTTGACACCGTTTTCGTGTGGCAGTTGCTCTCTTTCGGGTGGTGCCTGTCCTTCAGCACCTTCCACAGCCTCTATGAGACGCCGTGGATTGACAGTGCACGAGTTGGTGCAGTTGTGCACCTTGTAAATGCCGATCAGGCGGTCGGACAGTTCGAACATGTTGTTCCTCAATGATATGATGATGAACTGCGCATTTCTTGTTCGTTCCTGAAAACGGAAGGCGACAAAAGTGCTTGAAACTTCTCGGCCATAGCCAGCAGCATTTGACGACATTGTGAAAATTAGGGATGTGAAGAAATTTTTTAGTTAGTTGTCTGTAAATTGCCTTTCTACAGTACCACAAACTCCACCCTCACGAGTAAAAGTGGGCTTCAGTCTTGTAGAGCAGCTAAGAAATAATGCAAGTTAGTTCTCAAGAAGATTTCTAGAGTCAAACATCACTTTTAATTCAAATGTTCTATATCTCGTAAATGCAAGAATTTCGAGTGGTTTTTACAAAACAGTCAATACTGGTGAACTGACCATATTACAAATCACACACGCACGCCAGCACATGGGGGTGTGATTCGTAAAATGAATTAGGAAGCTCATACTTCTGTCATTAAAGCACCACAGCCAATGAGAACCAAGAAAAAAATAAGAGATAATTAATGCACAGCGTAGCTAAACTAACTACCTTTCAGAGAATTTCTTCTTAAAAGGTTCACATTGACAAAACACAACTGCTGACATGTACAAATGCGAAAATGAGAGAAATAAAATGTCCATTTTTATTGCAATACCAACTATGTGGAAACTTTTGGCAGGCTTTTGCTGTCGCCGTCATTTTCCACAAAGTTCAAATCGATAACATCGCCCTGTAAATAGCATGTTCTACACAGTGTGAGTAAAAGTAGCAAGTGAGGCAGTAAACGCGGTTTACACGAGGATAAAGTGAGCCAGCTATCTTTGTTGCACAAAGGGTGCCTGCCCTAACATTGGCTCGCATTCGAGGCTTGCCGTCGATTGCTTTTCAAGATGAAAGAAAACGCATCACCCGTATTTTGTTGGGGCAAGGAGCTTGAAGCTCCACAAGGAAAGGAGGGAGGGTGTGCTGTGCCACTCGGGCAGCAATTGCCAATTTTGTTCATAAGGATGCAGTGACTAGCCTGGATGCATGCACTATCTTTGCAGACATCAGAGGAAAAAAAAAAAAAACACGATCTGCTTACTTCGCTTGAGACGACATGCAGCTCGTGAACCGCTTCGCTACTCCTTCACACCGGCATTTCGTAGAGTCGCGCGAAGTTGGTTTAATAAAAGTTAGCCGATAGTCTTACTTCGCATAACATTACAGCCTCTTGCTATCATAATCACTGCTTCCCCCTTGCGGCGAAACTGTTTTTTTTTTTCACGCCGTCATCAATGTCAGGAAGAGTGCACCACCACTTTGCAGATGACAGCGACACATGAGGGCACCAAAAGTTGCTTGGGAGCAGCTTCAGCGCAATAATCAACTCTGGAGCAGGAACGGCGCAGCAGAAGTGAATAGAAGCATCGTGGTGTAAACAGGGTAGCATTTTCACCCCTGCAGTCCTTGCAGCGAAAGAATGTTTAGTAGGGGGGAAAAAACAAGCAAAAAAATACAAGTAGCGATGCCACCCTTGGGGCTTTCGTACCAACTCGCCATGGTGTTGTAGATTTTCACAGCATCTGCTACGGTTTATGCAATTTTGTACAAGTGAAAATTCATTACATTGTATTCCAAGGAGACCAGATGCTCATTTTCCGGAGGGGTTTCCGCAAATACTACCTATATGATACGATTACGAGGCACCCGTAAAGGGGAACATCGAATTAATCCCAACCGCTTGACGTGTCTTTGACATGCAAAACAAAAAGCTAGATGTTGAAAAAAATTAAACTATTACCTCAAACACAGCACGCAGTACTTATTATCAATCAACAATGCTAAAATACTTGCCTAGAGTGCAGGCATACACAATTACCGTATTTACTCGATTCTACCGCGCCCTCGATTGTAACGCGCACCCCATTTCCACGACAAAAAAAAAAAAAAAAAAAAACGAAGACATCAATTGCAACGCGCACCCATTTTTCTCGCTGGCCCGCATGATCACACCACTCGAAAAAACAACTCCTTTCGGGAGCGTCTTCCATTTAAATATGATGTACGGGGGAAGCTTGTGCCCATCTGACATGTAACAGAGCATTGCCGCCACTGTAGTTTTACCGTGGACCGATGTCAGCACGCGAACTTCCTTCGCCCCCTTCTTCTCGACGGTTGTGGTGCCAGGCATGTCGAAGTAAAGAGGCGTCTGATCGGCATTCCCGATTTGCCCAAGCAGGTAGCCGTTGTTGTGCCGCAAGTTTAAGACGAACCTCTGAAAACTGTGAAGCTTTTCATCGTACTCCTCCACAAAACTTTTCGCATATGCCCGTTCACCTTCGGAGGGGGAAGCCTTTCCTCTTCATAAAGTTAGTTAGCCAGCACCTGCTCGCTTTAAACTGGCTCCGCGTTAGACCTTTTTCTAAGGCTAATTGCATAGCCCGCACTTGGAGCAGTTCTGTCGTCACGGGCCGCTGTGCCGCTCGCTGCTCAAGCACATACTCGCCGAGCAGTTTTTCAATTTGCGGAAACTGACCCTCCTGTGGTCCACTGAAGCCTTTGCGTGAAGCTTTGCTGTTGACAATCTTCTGCTTTTGTTTCCGCCAGTCCCGCACGCAAACTTCGGGAACTCCGAGCGACCGCGATGCGGCCCGATTTCCATACGTTTCTGCACACGCGATGACTTTTTTTTTAAAAGCGGCATTGTAGTGCACTCGAGTTTTTGGAGTCGGCCCTTCCATGCCGTCGATGCTAATGCACTACAAGATGACAAACTCCTCAGCACACGTACGAAGTGCTGCACATGGGAGACACATAGGCAGAAATGGCCGACGCACCATGCCGACGCACGTAGGGGGTGGCCATTTTGGAATGCCGATGCCAATAGAGCGACCGCATTCATTTTATTTTCGTACTCGATTCTAACGCGCATGCGATTTATGAACTCGCTTAACCGGAAAAAGGTGCACGTTCGATTCGAGTAATTACGGTACAAAGGCAAGCAAAAGATCCACTGCAGACAGTTTTCCCAGTTCAGCACATTTACTCAGTGTAATTGGCAAATTAACCGGTGCAGAACACTCACAGCTAACATTTGAGTCAAGCTCACTGAATAAAGAAACGCTTTATTGGACAACACAGTAGGCTATCCTACGAGTTGTTATTGAAGGATGCTTCATTCGGTAACGAATTATTTTCGAATTTCTCCTGCATTTTCTGAAAATAGGAAAAGCAGGGTCCCTCATGTAATACTTCAACTTAGTACTAGCCATAAAAGAGTAGCTTGTACCTTTTATTTAAAACCTTTTATTTAAAAACAAAGCCTTCTGGCAAGTAAACTTAAAGATGATATCAGTTCAACGCTATCACTGAAGCCTGCCTTTTGAAAATCTCAATAAATTGACTGGTTTGCCCCAAAACACACAGTACTAACACTGCCGAAGATCACAATACCACATCATAGGCACTTCCAGTGAGCACATCTTTGAGCACATGCATGCAAGACTCACCATACATTGAGTCATAGACAGTCTAAGAAATTTTTCAAAGAACCATGCATCAAGCTGGAAGAACAATAATAATATAATAAAAATAATGACTTTATAAACACACCTAAGTGCTAATAAGTTAAATTGGTATAACATTTTGCAATAATGTGGGCCACACTTTTCTCAATGTAAAACAAAAATTATATAGTGAGACACATACCTTAATATAGTACCCAACGATCGACACGTTCCTAATGTCCAGAGCAGCGTCGATCTCGTCCATCACATAGAAGGGCGTTGGCTTGTAATAATGCAGGGCAAACACAAGCGCTAGAGAACTCAGGGTTTTCTCACCTCCGGACAAGTTGGATATGTTCTTCCAGGACTTCTTTGGGGGCCGTACACTGTTGGAGATAATTCGATTGTTGGTATAGCAGCGCAGTAAAGAAAACCGGAAACATTGACTGGAAAAACAGAAACTACCTAAATCATTTAGTTGCATAAAAAAATTAGAACCACTTTGGTTAATGAGCTGTGCTTGCTGCGGTATGTCTATAATTCTGACATTTTACTTGAAAGAACAATGATAAGATTACAAGATATGCTTCAGTGGTGGAATGCTGAATTAATTTTGACACCCTAGGTTTCCCTAATTTGCACCCAAATCTATGATACATCTGTGTTTCTGTACCTCGTTCATATAGTAATGCTGTCACCATGGCCAACAATCAAGCCTTCCAGCTCTCGTTGTGACTGGCTTGCACAGAACGGGCAGCAGAGTCACAGTGAGAGCTGGAATGGCGGCCTTTCAGAGCCTTTCTTAAACACTCATTAGATAACTGCTACAACAACAGCTGCACGGTATTCACTACACCAAAAAGTTATAGCTTTGCCGGAAAGGCGAAGCAATGAACGCGATAGCAACGAATTGAAAGGTCACGCGCAAAATTGAAAGCAGATCGAAACATGCCCGCGTTCCTCAGACACACATACTCACAGGTACGGGTGCACGCGAATAAGCGTCTCATTTGTTACTTTGCTGTGTCTGAAAAGCACACGCTTTTCGCAAACGGAGACTGCAATGATTGCAGTGACCTTTGTGCACCAGGTAATTACAGCAGAATCGTTCCAGGTAAAGCCCGAGGCCAGCCAAGGCATACGACCTTCCCCTCCTCGCCGCTGCGAGATAAGGGCGCGTGAGGGAGTGATGATCTCGCCGGGCGAAGTACGCGTAAGAGATTAGAGCGGGCGCCGCCGCGCAATGTGGCGCCGCGCACTCTTTGCGCCATCTTGCTGGCAATGCCAAAAACAAATTTCTTTCCGAGATACTCGTGAGCAGCGGTAAGTGGTAGATATAAGTAGCTTGCCGTTTGAACAGTGAAGAATGTGCTCCGAAGGGGCTCAGTGGTTAACGTCTCGCTTTTACGATGCAGAGGTCCCACGTTCGATTCCGCACGCCGGAATGCTTTTTTTTTGTAGATTTTTTCTTTCTTGCATTTTCATATATATAGACGCGTATACATATACAGTGCATGACATCAACGCCGTCACCGACATCGACGGCAAAATCCAGCCGAAAGTGTCCATATAATTGTTATCTCAATAAAATACCTACTATACACCATAAATCATCATAATTTTTGTGTAGTAGGGAGGTTCGCTTGCTTGCTTACTGCAGGGGATTGGCTATTACACCAGCGGTTAATATAATGGGGAAAAGGTCTTCACTGTGCCCTTGTCACAAAACGAGCACTCAAAAACGGGCGCGCCGCCAAATCCTCGCGAAGAAGCGCCGAGAGGTCAACGATAAAAAAAGAAAAACAAGCATCCAAAGACTCCCCGGGTGCGCATCCTTCTCCCCACGGAAGCGTGGGTTCTCTGACGAACCTCCTCTCATCGCCGCCCGAGCAAGCCCTGGAATGTTCTAGATGGAAAGGGGCGGGGTGATGCCGGGTTGCGTCATCCGTCGCGGACGGCCTTCGAACCGTCTCGCCCTCTCCCCAGCCTTTGCTGCATATCGCGCCGACGAAATGATGAAAACTTTCTGGAATCTCGCGCGGAAGGTATTTAACCGAGCAGCGGAGATGGGAGATCAGCAGAAGAAGGAAGTTAACGCCAGAGTGCGTAGGGTATCCCGCCGCGTCTGTCGGTGAAGGTTTTGTCCTTAGTGACAAAGCAGGAGAAGAAGAAAGTATGCGCCAAAGTGCGTAGGGTGTTCTGCCTTGTGGGCGAAGTCTTTTGTCTTCCGTGACAAAGGAGGAGAAGAAGAGGATTTCCACCTGAGGGGTGAAGGCTCGAGCTACAGGCAAGAGTGTGTGTCTACCGCTATCGAGCGAAAACGCGTGGCAACAGCTGCGAGTGTGAAGCCGACGTGTTTCCGGCAAAGAAGTTTGAAGCTTGGAGAGCGGCCAAGTGAAGACGCGAGGTTTCCTGGAAGAGAAACTTCGGGGGCAGCGGAACGACAACAACGCTGGACTTTGAGTGAGTGATTCTCGGAAGAGTATCCTTCAGACTTTCGTTCCAAGAGCTTTGGACTGAATAAGTTTTCTAGCTCTTTAGCCTTTAAGTGTCTTGGTTGTTCAATGCATGCGACTGCATTGCAGTGTGTATTGTTGTCTGTGTCCGTTGTTTCGAGTGTGGCTGATTGTACTGTGTAGTACGTTGTTTGATTGGTGACATATTGTACTCAACTATTATGGAGTGTGCATACTTGTGTATTGTTTTTGCTCTGCCATTATTGAGAGTATAATTTTGTTTTGTTTATCAACTCTCGGCTCTGATTAGTTCTTTGGGCCACAGCCGGCGTCCGCTGGCGCGCCAAAAAGGACCACTTCTAAATTGTCCACGCTTTCGTGGTGCGGTTCGGGGGGCCGATACTTCGGCCCTTGGAATTAGCCCGGCGATCGCCTCCCAAATTAACGGGACCGGTGAAAGCCCTCTTTGGTCATCCTTTGGAGAAGCGTGGTAGCCAGTACACTCTTGCAAAGAATATTGTGCAATTTTTTGATGCTGTAGATGATGACAAAGAATTATGCACGAAGCTCTTGTAAGGGGCCGCAGCATTTGACCAACCACTCATTATGCAATTTGCATTGTGAGACACCTCGTTGTTTGTTTGCTGTTCTAAAATGCTTTAGTACTCATATGTATTAACGCGATTCCTTTCCCAAAATTAAGCCTGCCTAAGGCGAGTTTGCAAACAAGTCGCAAGCACCGGCGTGGCTCAGTGGTAGAATACTGGGCTTGCACGCAGTGGACGCGGGTTCGAGCCCCACTGTGTCCTTGGTAGTAGTTGTTTTTTTTCTTATTTTGCGATAGTGGTTACGGACATTGACGGAGGCGGCAGAAAACGACTACCGCACCGCGCGTGACCCAAGTTCTGATATCATAACAGCTTTTGCTGTATAACAAACGAATGTCCTTCGAGATGGTGGGCGCACGGCATGAAAACATTCCACCATTGAGTTAACATACCGACTTGCACCCGCCATCTCGGAAGCCATGCAAAGCACACCGCGCTGACGGCACGTCGCCCACAACGTTTGTGTACCGCCATCTAACGTTGCATTTATGTTGTCGGGTCTATCGTAGTGAACTCAGTTGGGGACACCTGCTGCGCAGGGCGCATTCGGTTGGTATGCCAGCTACACGGCTGGTCGAGCATGTGCTGGAGCATTGAAACAGAGCAGCTGGACGTCAGTTTGCGCGCTCCGGAAGAAAACAAGAGCTTCGGGCTACAAAAACGATTTGTCGCGCACTGCGTGGGCCAAACCAAGCAAAACCGTCTTGCGAAATTTTCGCTGTTATAATTCCTTTGACTTTTTTTCTCCCGCATAATGAACCAGCCCTTCCCCCGAATTGGCATCAACTTTCTTGAAAAAAAAAAAAAAAGGTGGGTTCATTACAGTTCAAATACGGTAATGGGTTCAAATACAGTGGGTTCAAATACGGTAGCTATGTCTGAAGCTTCTGTCGTGAAGATCACTCACGCAAAATACAACAGGAAAGAAGCACACCTGAACACTATGCCCTCGGTGAAGGGGTCGAGCGAGTCGACCAGCTCGAGTTCCGCGTCGCCGCCCAGCGTAAGCATTTGGTATGTCTCCTTCAGCTTGCTGCTGATGATGCCGAACCCCCTCATGAATTCGTTCAGACGCTGCTTGCGCAGGTTGTCGTGGTGGCGTCGCTGCTCGGCCCGTTTCTCCGTCACCGCTTCCAGTTCGGCGACCCTCTGCTTGTAAGCTTCTTCCTGCAGGAATAAAACTTGTCCGCTTATCTGCATGCTTCGCTGTAAATGTCGTCGACGACGATAGTTTTCGGCCGTCCTTCTTTTGTGCATAGCGTCACATTTTCAAAAAGCACAGCCTAAGAAACACTAGGGTTTTCATATTTATGTACCTATGTATTTTCTAGTAAATAAACAGATCACCTAATACATATGTATTGGCAATGAGCCTCAGATATGCATAATATTTGCTTATTGATGGACTATGTTCACAAGTATGAATGCAGCCACCAGATCAAGATGACTGGGCATTCAAGAAGTTTCGTCGCATGGCTGAATCGTGTGACATAGCGACAGACCTACAGACAGACAGACCAAAATTTCTGCATTCAAGTATGCCGAGAAAGACAATCATCTTTAAGAAAAAATCGCTTTGTAGATGCGCAATGCACTCGTAATTCCGAACCAACGTACAGGTGCCCAACAACATTTTTTGAGCATGGTCAGAAAATAATGCTAACACTGCTCCATGTCAAGCACAGGTACAAACTATTCCTTTCTTAAGCAACTGATGATTATAAGATGTCTCCCCGGCTGGCACAGCTTTTTTGGGACATTACTCAGGACAGACCCCACTTCTATCAAGCTTTCTTTCCTGAAGCTCTGACAGGTGCTGTTAAAGTATCCTATCCTTAACGAACACTGAATCAAGTTAGCATTACAAGATACCCTTTGTGAACTCTACCACAATTATTCTGCAACAATACCATTACTGAAAAGTAAAATGGAGATAAAAGTTAGGGTTCTTGAAAATTGTGAAAACCCTCATTTCGGTAGGTTAGTATGATACCTCGGATTTAAAGGTACCCTTCAGCTACATTAGGCAAATATAACTTTCTCAAATATGCCATGTTAGGTCTACAACTTCCTTAGAACACAATAAATCTTTTTTTTTTTTTTTGCCAACAAAAAATTGTGTAGGCCCTACACAATTTGTGTAGCTTTCGAAACCTACAACATGGCAATTCGGTGTGGGAGCTCACTGCCTCTATTTTCTTTCTGCACTTTTGGTGTTCTCAAGAGTGGTGTTTTTATATACAGCGGGATCTACATAAAACAGCAGTCACTTAAATGAAATGGCCTCTAATCTGGTTGGTTGTGAATTTAAGTGCTGGATCTTCATATATCCTTCTCATAAAACAAGACTTTTGTTAACTGAAACATATTTTCCCAGTCCTCTCGGGCTCTATTTAACTAGCTCATTGTGAAAGGTTAATTTACTACTAAGAGTGAAATCATTTTCTCCTTTAGTGTACCCCTTAAAAATTTACTTAGCTCAAATAATCAATGAGAATGCAAATGAAATATGTAGCTGGAACCATTAAATTCGCACTTAAAGCTTTTAATAGTACAGATTCACATACTTCTCTCGTAAAGGTGAATATAAAACAGCCCAGGGAAAGCATAGGGGTCATTAAATGATGCCTATGGCTGCACGGTCGTAATTATGACACACACCGACATAAATGGAAATGGAAGAGAAACTACCCTTTCCATTGACAAGATCCGAGCCTGCAACATTCGATTTCAACATTCCATGCTCTGCCGATTGAGCTACAACTCAACTCCACTTCATTGGCAGTAGATGTAAAAGCAACTTCTTTCACACAAGGAAAAAAAGATTCCCCTTCTTTCTATATTAAAAATAATGGAAATACACTTATGCCTCAATATAACAAACACGGATATAACAAAATATTGGTTAAAAAATGTAAATGAAAAATAGTCTTGCAATAGATACAGTGTTAGGAATAACGTTTATAACAAAGTTTTGGATATAACAAACAAATTTTTTTCATACGAATTCATGGGAGCATGCAAAATAGTCGTAACATCCCGAATTCGTATGAACCAAAAACAAGTTAAAGCTGATCATGAACATGAAGAAGAACTTTATTAGGGTCACCTACTTCTTTCTGAAGAAGAGTCCATGACGTTCCTTTGAACTTTCCTGCTTTCACCGCCTCTCAATAAAGTGCCGCAGTTTCCTCACTCATGCTGCTGGCGCTTAAAGCGCATCCGCAGCTGGCATCGAAGGGAGGGAAAGCGTCAAAACTTACAGAAAATTCACTCCCTTCGCCGCTTAAGCGGCCGCAAAACCACGTCCGCGCCCATCTAAAATGCTCACATCTATCTCGGCTACTTCAGGTTAGCCCGTTTTACGAGCATGAAAATTCGTAGAGTTGTATTTATGGCTGCAAAGCACTGAAAAGAAACAGTTTACAGCTGTAAACATGTTGTTTTTGGAGATACGCCAGCAGAAACGGCTCGAGTGGATGCACCGGCAGCGGCGGCAATTTTAGAATAAATAAGATGGCTGAGTACAGCGCTTCATTACAGAAGACTGCATGACTTCACTTCAAAGATTCCACCTGGACCGACCCATTGAAAGAGTTTCAATACGGCTTGCCTTTCGACGATACTCCTGTATCGCAGCCATGTTTGGCTTCTTGGCAGACAGATTCTCCTTGAGAAGAGTAGACTTCATTGTGAGGCTTTCACTGGAAAGCTCTTCCAAGTCCTTGTCTTCAAGCTCAGGTAGAGTTACCTCAGGTTCGCCCTCAATAGAATGGCACTTCAGCTTCCTCAGCTGTGAATGGAAAGATGGCAGGTACACTCATTAGCCTCAGTAGTTGGTTAAGTGCAGTTGAAACCTTTTATAAAAGACACTGATGTAAGAGACACGTGTGTACAAGACATGCCAGTGTGCCTACACTGAAGTAGGAGTTGATGCAAAAATGCGAACACAGCACCCTGCTTATAAGAGAAGCCTCATACAAGAGAGAAGAATTCATTCTAAGCGCATGTCCCCTATAAAGGGGTTCAATGGTCGGCAGCATTTCTTCTCAAATGTGGTTACAGACAAGTCCACAACAGAGGGCGCGCACCCTGTGCAGACATAATGACGGTCGGTGACTCTGCCGTCCGGCTCCGACTATTTCTTTGGTCACAGAGGCAATCAGCGCTAGCATTTTGATCATACGGGTATAGCGACAGGACCATTCCAGTTCCTCATAATGTGTGTCATAATAATTTGAAAACTTTTTCTCAGTAGAAATGCTCAAAAAATGACACTTTACAATTTCCGGCAATAACCAAATACACTTAAACACCATTAATATGTGCGTGTCGGGAACGGTGGCATACCTATGCACTACAGTACTACGCATTAACCACCAGCTACAAATTTGCATTTCCTGACATGCACCATCACCGCCAATAAAGGAATAAATTCAGTGCCACAGGAAATATTGCCCGAAGTGCCCACCTCAAAGCAATTTCTTTCTTTTTGCGAAAGTGCAGAAAAGATTCCAACTCGCACAACCTCCCGACACGGCGGCGACGTCAAGGAGCATTTCAAAACTACTGCGGGGTCCGGCAAACGCATCGTGGTACAGCGACAAAACTAACACAATCAGCTGTCCGTGATAAGGTTGTTCCACGGACGGCTTCTTAGCGAAAACTGAAGCAGATATATATATTTTTTTTAAACACGGTACAGTCACAGAGAGTCAAATCGTTTTCTGGAAGGCTAGTTGCGTGCAACACTTCGCTTACTACGTGCACACCCGGACTGCCAACACTTGCTGTAGAGTACGCCCAATCCGCTTCAGGGCATGCACAGATGCGCCGAGTAGCTTGCTGGGTTAAAGGGAAACTAAAGGCAACTATTAAGCCGACGTTGATTGTTGAAATAGCGGTCCGGAAACCTTGTAGTGTTACTTTTGTGCCGAGGAAGCGCTTGTTTTGAAATAAAATCGAGCTTTAGTGATCCGCATCAGGTTAGCACACTTCAAATTACACGCCTAAACGGAACTTCTGACGTCCCTGTTGCCGTGCACAACGTTGGCCGGCTTTAATGCGCGGCCGCCGACATTATAGTAGCAGCAGAGGGAAAGTAGCGGGAGCCACAGCAGCAACAACAGCCAGTGAACAATTTTTAGCCATGGCCTTCGATATTGCAGACGTCCTTAGTTCAACTGGGTCCTGCTGGATGGCATGACCTGTCCGGTTTGACCATGCGAAAATTTAATTTTTGAACCATTCGTGCCATTCTTCATAGTAACATCCAGCAGTTCTTTTTTCCATAAATCAAACAAAAGCGAAAAAGCAGCCTCTTGTTGGTCTCTTGACGCACAGAAAATTCTTTATTCAGTGCAGCTAGATTGATTGTAGTGATTATTTGTAGGCGGTGCAACTTCATTATTTCTTCTAGTACAAACAGAAGCGTCCTCCGGGGCTAAAAGCTGCCGACAGCAGCTTGACTGGGCCCAGGAGGCGTACATACATGACAGCGTGAGAGCATAAACATTTGGTACAAAAGAAATTTTACGCTCAGATGCATGATTAGAGGATGTTGAGCATTGGATGATACAGTCGAATCTCGATAATTCGAACTCGAAGGGGCCCAAAAATTTGTTTGAATTAAAAGAAGTTCGAAATAATGAAAGCTAAATAAACGGAGGGCTCTCCATGCAGTGGTGCATGTGCATTGAGCTAACACACGAGGGGGAAGTTTAAGAAGACTTGCATTTATTCCCAAATCGCAGGACATCCATTATTAATTGAAGTAATCGTAATGCACGTCTGCACACGTTTGCCTTGCAGTGAGTCAATCAATTGCGCACGCAGTTTGCAAAGCATTTCTACTTCGGCTTCAGCATTCTCCTGGCAAGAGAAGTTGCGCGCGAAAATGTCCAGCGCCGACACTTTCTAAAGAGACGACAACTACGACTGCTGTGTAGCGGAACCTCCCGCTCTTCGCCACACAGCCGCAGCATGGTCAGTATGCGACAAGAAAGGAGGAGCGTCTCCACGCGGAGAGAAGCAGATCGGTATTTGAAAGAAAACCAACACTCCACTGCAGCTTTTTGTTTTTTTTTTTTGGCTCTAGTCAGAACTTTTGCTTTATCGGACTGCACGCCGGGGACCGAAGCCCAGGGGATGGAAGCCGTTAAACCAGATAGGCATCCACCTCCGTACAAATCAAGGGGATGCCATCCAGAGGGTCGACTCCATCAAAGTCCTGGGAATGCTGATAGAGTCTACCGGCGCCAACAGCAAATCTATAGCCAAGTTAACTCGGAAAACAGACAGTGCGGTGCACCTCATACGCAGAGTGGCCAACAAAAGAAATGGGATCAAGGAAGACAACCTCATCAGGTTGATGCATGCGTTTGTTCTAAGTCACTTTACATACGAGGCAGCAATGCACAACTGGTCAAGAGCAGAGTCCGAGACACTGAATGTGCTCCTCAGGAAAGTTATCAAGAAGGTCCTGGGCCTACCCATACATACCAGCACCGAGCGTCTGCTTGAGCTTGGCATACACAACACGCTCGAAGAAATAGGAGAAGCCCAAGAGAGAGCACAGTTTGCAAGGTTATCTACTACAAGGTCGGGGAGAATGATCCTGCAGGAGCTGGGTCAACACCCAATAGCAATCAGACGCAATTACAATGATATCCCTGACAACATCAGGGAGACTATCACGGTATCTCCTATACCGAGAAACATGCATCCAGAACACAATGTCGGAAGAAGAGTAGCGAGGGCCAGGACTATACTTCGTCAAGTCTCAAACGAGGAACGAGGGGTCGTATTTGTTGACGCGGCTTCCTACGCCAATGGGAAAGCGTTTGTGGCAGTTGTAGTCGATGGGGCTGGCCATGTCGTCAAATCAGCGACGGTCAGGACGAAAGACCCAATCATTGCGGAACAAGTGGCCATCGCCTTAGCACTCAAGATGGATAACATTGAAGTCGTCTACAGTGATTCCATGGCAGCACTACGGGCGTTCGCCAAGGGGACGGTCTGTGAACAAACGCTGAAAATACTGCATGGCAAGAACATAACACATCATCTTCTGAGTTGGTTCCCAGCTCACCTTAGACAAATCAACGATTCCCCTCCCAATCTCAACGAAGCAGCACACGAGGCGGCGCGAGAACTCTCCAATCGCGCCTCCCCGGGGATGCGTTCTACCGGTGAAGGGGATAACCGGGAAATTCTTACAACATATAACGAGCTCACTAAACATTTCTACCTGTCTAGAAGCATTTTCCCTCCACCTTACAAAAATCTAACCCGGCCCCAAGCACTTACATTAAGGCTTTTGCAAACGCGAATGTACCCTACTTTGAAAATGTTACACATCCTGTACCCTGACCTATACCCAAGTAATCTTTGTCCACATTGTGGGGAAATAGCTTCATTAGAACACATGCTCTGGCAGTGCACCAAATTCGCTCATTTATCGCACATCACCTCTGCCAGATGGGAGGCGGCAATCCGCAGCTCGTCCTTGGCAGATCAGCTCTGGGCTGTCCACCAAGCCCGCGAGGCGGCTGAGGAGCTTGGCATCTCAGTCCCCACGTGGGAGCTGCCCGCAACACAGTGATCTGTGTTTTGGAGGACCAAATAAAAGTTTATCCAATCCAATCTTCGCGCGCATGGTTGAATGAAGAACGATTACGTGGTAGGGAAGAGAAAGGGGGATGCGTGGCATCGGCGCGTGAGAGATCCCCCCCCCCTTAAGGCGCGGAGCCGTGCTCCCGCAAGGGGCAAGGGCTGCAGAAGATAGTGCCTTTATCCTTTCCTTCAACCACACAATCATTCCACCTAGCGACGGCTTTCTTTTTTTTTTCCTCTCTCTCTTTGCGCACAGAGTTGGAAGGAGGAGGGTCTATACGTGGCAGGGACGGATGAGAGAAAAGCATGAAACGGGCGTGACGCAGATCAGAATTTGAGAGGGAGCCAACATTCCACCGCAGCCTTTTCTTTCCTTTTCATTTTCTTCACGGGCAGCATTGAGGGTTTGCAGGTGCCGCAGCAGAATTGGGCGGGGTGCTGAGAGCATTTTCGGAGCATGGTATGTTCGAATGAACCGTCGGAAGTGCTTGGGCGCTCGAATTACCGGACGTTCTCGCCAATTGGAATACACATAGCTTTGATCGTGAGTTCGAATTAACCGGAAGTTCGAATTAAGCATGTTCGAAATAATGAGATTTGACTGTACACATATTTTCATAAATAGCAAAGCACTGAAACAGAATATATAATCATTTGATTTACATTGTTATACATAAATATGCTGCATACATGCTTACATGTTAGCGAAATCCATCTTCAATTCCTTGCAAGATAATTTAGTAGTGTGAGCGTAAGTATCTAAAATTTTCGGTAAATTGTGTTCAAGGGATTATATTCACAGCTTATATTCCGTGCAAAAAACACAGTAAAAACCAAAATTAAGGGTTTCTTAGACGCACAGGTAGGTCATCGTGTTTCAAGGCCGCTAAGGATATAAGAAAATCACTGCATTCTTTCTTTGCAAAATAAAATAGCATCTGCAAAACACGGTATTTGTAGTATTGATCTACCCGAACGGTTTCTTATTTTTGCGACAATATTTTTGTTGTGGCTCGGGGGTTCGATATTTGTAATGTTCCGGACAAGTGCCTTTTGTAATGTAATTATTTTATCTATGTTAGGTCGCGTAGTGGTCACCCATACTAAACTGCAATAATTAAACTGCGTGGTGAATGATGTGCATTCTTGTGCAATTATGTACCTAAATTTCTTGGTAAGTATGGCACTGCTGTTGATAATGTCCTTTTAGACGTCAAACATTGATTGAGCTTTCATTTTGACATAAATTGTTATTTGACTCTCGTGTTCCTTTAACGTAGTGACGGCAAGCTTTCCGCAAGCAATGCGCTCTCTTTGATGCTCCAGCGGTCCTGGCAGCGCACGGAGGCGCACTTGGGCTGTCACTGAATAAGAGTGTGCAGCATGGTCACAACAGCGCTGCACTTGATGTATGATGCATGTGTTGGCATAATTCAGCAAGTTTTCACGGTGCCCGCGACCCACAACGCTGAACTCCGTGACAGCAAGCTGCTTGTGTTTCTGCAAAGCGTTGCGTGCTCGCACACGGTCGTGCACAACGAAGCAGCAGTGATTGGCGGCCCAGCGCGTTTATGTAGTCGCATACTAAAATCGTGCAGTAGGCTTAAAGTTACGCTATGCCAAAAACGTGCCCGAGCAGATAACCGGGGATGCTTACTGTCATAAGGCTTTTTGTCGGCGATAAGTCGTACCGGCGCGTTTGTCCGTGGTTGCCTCTCGCCTTCGTTGTTTCCCAATGATTATACGCAAAGTCGTCGCCACAATCACGCAGAAGTCTGAATAACTGATTGGCAGATCTTCGCACTGATCAACATGACGTAAAACCGTTCACGGCACATTGTGGCATCTACAAGTTCAGTAGCGCAGTGAAATTTTCTGGCACAAAATATTGTCGCAGTACTAAGTTAGTTTGCACTAACCGGTAGGCATAAGCCAAACACTACGGCTTCAGCGGTCTGCGAATGCATTAGTCTTTATGAGACTCAGTCGGGGCTTCGTCGCAACTGCGTTTTAACCCTTAGTACGCTCAAAGTGGGTTTGTACTAACGAGATTTACCTGTGTTTTTAACGAGACTTTGCAAAAGAGACTTTTCAATTTCAAAAGCATCTGAAGACGCTAGCAGACCCGTGGCATGTTGCGAGCTTCGCGGCCACAGCGTGAGGAGGCGCCACCATTGAAACGACGACAGCGCACCTAGCGGGGCAGGTAAACGAAACCGAACGAAGCCTTTTTTTTCGACGATTTTATTTGTAAGACTTCGGAATGGTAGGCATAAAAAACCGTTCATCATTTAATTTGAGGCATTCAGAAGCACGCAAAGTGCGAACGCATAGAAAATTGAAAAGTGACTGACTTTAGTGGGCAATGCGGACCAGAAAACAAACAGTCTCGCCGCACTGCTCATGAAAGGAACGCAATCCAATTACAGAAAGTTTACCGAATACTGTCAACGAGTTGTTGCGAAATCTTGAGCTATGCAAGTGCAGGGACGTAAGCGGTATGCCTTTACTTACTGCAGCAAAGGTTTCGTGCAGTGCGATGGATATATCAGCCAGCGATAGATATATCAGCCAGCGCTGGACATCTTCTGTGCTAAGGGCATCTGCGGTGGGGCTATGCATAGTAGGTATACCTTTTATGCACATGAATGCTGATGCATGCATATTGTTCACTGCTGTATGTACTAAAATGTTACTTACGTGGTCTTTATTTTGTGTAAACGATTTATTGTTGCAAGCTTGTGTGACCAGCGATGTCATTTCGTTCGGCCTGTATGCGGCATCACAACTTACTAAAGTAAGTAAGCATGATACTTATGAGCTTATATTGCACAGTTTACTACAAAGGGGGCTGCTACAACGAGCGGGGGTCATCCATGACGCAGAAGCAGACGACGACGATGTCGTCTGCTATGCAGAAGGCCAGTCACCATATCAAAACACCCTAATGCTTTTGAAACCTATTTCATTTTATACGCAATTATAATTTATACAAACAATACCCTTAGTTATGTTTGGTTCAAAGATATATTTATGTGTAAAAGGTAACGAAGCCTTTTTTACTTATTAGTAAAATAGTCATTTTGCAATCTTTTTACGATTCCCTACAAAACCCAGACGGCGCTACCGTCGCATCAAAATTGCTGTCCCCATTGCCTCTATGGATATGTCATTCTACCGATGCTAGCGACTGACCTCTCTCGTCCAACGTGCCACTTTGGCTTGGCGGTCTTGAAGGGCTGCCTCGCTCTGTTCCAGCTGGTTCTTGATCTCGATTTGCTTCGAACTTAGTGCATTCTCTGCAGACTTACCACTGTCGATTTTTGCCTGCACTTCGGCCAGCTTCTGCTTCAGTGTCTTCAACTCAGCCTGCACAAATTATTATAATATTAGTGATTTGTGTGGTGGGCTACATGTAGAAGCGGCATACACTTGAACCTCATTGTAACAAAGTTGCATCTGACACAAAAATAAGTTCGTTATACCCGAAAATTCGTAATGAATATATATTTCTGGCATTGTATCTGTTGCGAGACCATTTTTCATTTACTTCGTTATAACCAATGTTTCGTTACATCCGTGTTCGTTATATCGAGGCTAGGGTGTACTACAAGTATGTACAGCAGTGGAACTACAGTCCGCAGGAGATTATGACAAAAACTGCTACTCTGAATGAAACTTGGTGGTTCACACACAGACAATTAGCACAAGCATAAGCACCGCTTCATTGCTCATAAGAGCAATGAAGTGGTGGAGAGGAGACACAGACCAAACAAAGTGTGACTATTATCGAGTACTACTTTCAGAAGGCTGCAGCATTTCAACCCAAAAAGGTGAATGCACACAAGCCTTCACCAATGAGCATGCGCTCTGAACTGAATGCTTTATGATCAGTGACTTCACTGTTGGGTGAACACTGCTGAGTACACAGGTAAGACTATTTTCTTTGCCCAGGTGCTGTGGTTCGGCTGCTGGGCAAGCTCTCCTGTGTCTTTTTGAGTTGCATACAGTGGTGAATAAGACCTCAAGCCACACATTTCGATGGCGGCACACGTATTCATACAAACAGAAAAGCAGAGTGCCCAGGTTCTACTTCAATCAATTATGCCAAAATACAGGTTTTTATTTTTGTAGCTGATAGTGGGAGAAGTAAGTACTTAGTTGGCTCAGTTGTGCAACACTAATGAAGTGTAGGCAGAACACAAGCTTAACACATACAAATAAAACAGGAAAGAGCAACGACCTCAGTGCTAAAGATAACTCTCACCTAAAGCCAGCACCACACGTAATAGAAACATTAGGCCAGCTTTGTGGGTTAAATATGGCAATGAAGGGCGTGTATATCACTATAAGGCTGATGTCAATGCACTTCATTTTTTTAAACGATTGGCTCATCCGCTCAATGTGAACAGTCTCTGTGTACACTTGAATGCATGCTGCTAACCACCTATCTGCGCCAACGTGGTGATGGTGCTACGAGCCCAATTTTGCGGAAAGTTGTAATATCTTCTATTTCTCATGCATCTACCTATTCATCTAATGATGATAGAGGGATGGGAGGGGGTACATAATACAGGTTGAAGGTCTTTATTAATGACGACAAAAAAAAAAAGAAAGGTCATCAAAGGTCAACTCCTGTCCTATCTGGTCATTAGCAAAAAAAGTACTGAAGTTTCCAAACTATTGATGGCTGAGATCAACCACTTCAATCATTATCACCATTGCCAGCACTACCTTTGCTACTCTAACCTTTGTGCGCGTGGCACGACATTTCATTTTTTTTTTTTTGCGTATCTATACGGGCAGAAGATTACGACAGTTTCGGCCCAACCTATATTCCAGGTCTTACAATAAATGGGCTCTTTACTGTACACAAGCCGTATTTCATGCCAACACTCTCAATTCTGTGGTGCTGCAACACATGCGTATCACAAGGCAGCTTACCTGAACGATATCACGGATATCAAGCAGCTCCTTCCCCGCTTTCTCCACTTCACTGTACTCGTTCCTTCTTTTCTCGAGTTCGGTCTTGGCCTCCTCGAGCTCCGACTCAATCGTGGTCGCCTTGCTCTCGGCTTTGCCGAGATTCCTGGCACCAAGCAGACAACACAATCACAGCAAGCTCGCTTGCAACTAAGCACGCGACTGAACGGCGACTATGGAGCACCTAGCAGCATAAAAGCTTTAATTGGACGTCGATATAGTTAACATGAACTTCGGAGCCCAAGATTGCAATGGCAGTGAGAGAAACAAATTTTGCGTATATATATTCACGGACACTACAAAAACTTACACATGGAAGATTGCAAATTCTTACATCTCTAAAGAAATTCGGAAATGGTTGTGACAACCTAACAGCAAAAGCTGTTACGAAATTAAAGCCACACCTGATTTTTGAAGCGGAGTTGTGTGTTACTGCCAGTGTCCAGAACGGCTGTCGAGCACAAGAAGAAAAATACTTCCAGGATCGAGCAAGATTTGAACAGCGGCCCCATGTGTGGCACTCGAATATTCTACCACAGAGCCATGCTGGCACTACAAACTATTAGCGAAAAACTTTAGATACTCTTTTACCTAAGACATGTGACCGGTGCCGTCTTGGCGACAAAGCAATGAAACATCATACGCTCTGACCCATCTATTTTCATATTTGTGTGTTTACAGTAACACCGTTCATTTAGTTGTTAAAAATGCAAAGCTTAAAAGCCCAATATGGCCGCACTACAACGCATCCATAAAATAATATACACGCTGTTATGTTGGCTAAGGAATCACGTTGACAAAGCAGGGTAGAGGAGAAAAATAATAACTAGGTGTTGCACAACGCAAACTGCGTAATGAGTGGGCGGTTTAAGGCTTCCCACCTATTACAAAGGGCTCAACCACAATGCTTCGTCCTTAGCCTCTGTATCGAAAGAGTGCACATACTGCCTTACAGATGTGTAGCAGGTACCTTGCTTCTTTGCAAAATGATGAATAATGGCACAATGGGTACATGCTGCTTACCAAAATCATGGTGATTTATGGCATAGTGTTTACCTCGCAATTGCATCTGTACAAGTCTCCCAGAGAGTTTACAACATGCTCTAGAAAGAGCGCTTCTCAAGCTTTCACTGTGCCTGTTCCGTGTGTTCCGTACAGGGCTGGAGTGTTTTTTTTTTTTTCTTTCTTTTTCCTTATTTTTAGTCAGTGGGCACATTTAAGCCCTTTTATTCAGTAATAGACTGACCTAAATGATTCATGTAAAGTGTTTAATTTATCACGAGGTTCTTAAATATGTGCATCGCTAAAGGCTGCAGAGCACTCCGCCGTCGAAGTGTTCAGCCATGCCTTTTGTGAGACGCAGAAATGTTCTGGGACATCGCTCGTATGACCATGAAGTAGTCCCGGCAATTTCCACTCAGTAAAAAATGCAAGCAGTGAAGTTTGCGGCACCACTAGATGGAGCAGAGATAATCCGGACAAGCACGGAGCGTAACCACTGCAATCCATACAGCGCAAAGGCCGGGAATTGCAATAGGCAGAGCTTGGCCTCGACCACTTCGCGAAGAAGTTGAAGAGAGAGAGAGCCTGGCTTGGGAAGAAGGTAAGCTTTGATGTAATGTAGCTTTCTTAAATACGTGGAGCCTTGCTAGAAATACGATGCAATTTATTTACTCATACAAGCCTAAGCGCTTCCACCACTTACAAATAGATTTCCGGGACCCTTTATGCACTAGAGGTTCGTTTGCTGGATCACAGTGTCATTCAAACACAGAAACAACTGATGTGTTCCACGCGAAACCAGTAAGACACAATGTAACAGGCAGACTATGAGATACGCACCTCTATACACTTGTACTAGCATAGCCTATTTGGGCGAAATATGGTGAGTCAGTACAACACAAGCCCACAAAGCAAAGAAAGAGTTGTGAAAAGAAATTGTTATCCCCCCCCCCCCCCCCCCCCGTTTTGCAGTACAGAGCTACAACAGAAAATTGCAAGGGTTTATCAGAAAGAAAACTCTTGCAGTTAAGAAAAAAAAAAGGCCTGGTAGGGGCTTTTTCTTCAACTCCAGAGCTTTTTCATCTTTTTCATTTTTTTTTGTTCGAAGAAATCATACAGGTCTTATTTAATGTTTCATATTGCAAAGTAAATAAATGATTTTTTTTTTCTCTCTTCAATAGGATGTACCTATATAAAGCAACTTTTTATAATCTTACTATATATGAAAATGAATTTAAAGTTCTGATGTTTTTTGCATTGCAATGCATCCTGTAGCTTTGCATAATATAATAAGCAAAGAAAAAGGCAGACTTTCCAGAATCATAATGTGTTAACAAGCATCTGAGTTGCAGACTATGCCAATAAGGGACACTAAATATTAAGGGTGTGCAAATGAATATTTGAATTTCCAAAGAATTTATAAATAGAGTTTGCTATTCAGTTTGATTCACACTGGAATTCTAGTACTCAAACTTCTGTAAACAAGATAAAATGGTTTATAGTAGAAGATAATAAACATATTGACAATAAATTGGGGTGCAGCATGCTAGGTCTTGCTTTTTATTTAGGGTGCCGAAGTGCAAAATGCCTGGTCGCTTTCAGCGGTGCTCCGAGCAATCACAACGGGACAAGCACATTGCGGATTCCTTACTTTCACATGCCTGCTATCACTATGTGTTACAAAGCTCAGAGTTGTTCCACGCATCAACGCCATGAGTGGAGTAGTAGCCCCAACCTCAGCCGCGATGTATTATTTTTTCAAAGTACGTCATGTTCTATCATAAGCACAAAGAGTTATTCGCAAAAGTCTTCGTCACGATTGATTGATATGTGGGATTTAACGTCCTAAAATCACCATATGATTATGAGAGACGCTGTAGCGGAGGGCTCCGGATATTTCGACCATCTGGGGTTTTTTAACTTTCACCCAAATCTGAGCACATAGGTCTTACAGCACTTTCGCCTCAGTCGAAAATGCAGCCGCCGCAGCTGGGATTCAATCCCGTGACCTGCGGATCAGCAGCTGAGTACCTTGGCCACTATATTACCGCGGCAGTGCAAAAGTCTTAGTCGCAAGGTATGATGCGCTGATCAGAAGAACCTCCACCCGCGGGTCCGAGTTATATACAATCAATCGGAGATGCGAGTGTGTGATGTTCCCAATCAGTGAGGCGCATTATTATAATCTGGTGACCGAGGCTCCAGTTGCACATGCCAAACTAAAGCATAATTATATTAAAACTTATAGACGATAGCTGTGACTTTGCGCCGAGTTGCCTCACAATTCGCAATCATCAGACACTTTTTCAGCATGAGCATTGGACTAATGGCGAGGCGCGCTGGAGCAACAAGCCAGAAGCAGCACATCGGAGGCCTTTACACTTTTTTTTAATGAAGGACCTAGCTGACCTCCTCCTCCTTAAAGAGAGAAAATGTCATTTTTTGACAAACCCAAAACAGCCAAACACTGTTGCGCGATTGCAGAGCTATATAATTTCAGAATACAGTCCATCCCGGATATAACAAACTCGCAGGGGATCGCAAAATAGTTCGACATATAGATAATTCAAAATAAGAATTGTGCACATTTAAGGCTTATATTATTGCACTGCAACTCTCTAAACGACTTTCAGATATCATAATAAGCATTAACATGACGATTCACTCACAGTATGCTTTAAAAATGGTGACATCATCTTTTGCAAGTTACCGCACTTCATTTCGCTTGTAAAAGTTCATAGATTTGTCTAGCCCCTTGTGTGTCGTCAAGTTCATCAAGTCATCTTCAGAAATCGAGCACTGAATCTAATAATAAGCAAATTCAGACCTTCGGCTACAACAGCAGTGATTAACAGTGAAAGCCGATGCAGTTGAACCCGTTTATAACAGACTCAAAAGTGACGCTATAAGTGGTCGTTATATCAGTAGTACGTTCTATATAAACTCGGCCATAAAGACGTCTATTTAGTAGCCAAACCATTTTTTCCCTGTGTATTTTTATTAAAAAGTGTGAACAACCCAACCCCTCTGCTGACAAGTTAAGCCTTTTGGCGAGTTAAGGGATGCCTGTTTGCTCACAAGTGAATTCAACAACATTCCCAATGAACTCGCGCCGTTCCACTGAAGCGCAGTACCGCAACGCCGAACGAATCATCTCTAGGTAGTTGTGTGCAGCGCGACGCTTACTTGGCTCTCATCGTCGTATGCCAGGTTCACAGTACAATGCATGCTCGCGTTTGTCCGTTCTTCATGCATGCTTCACTCAGGATCGTGCTAGGGTGCGGCGAGCAGTCCCTTTCGTCTATCACAACGAAGACACATTTTATACACAACGCGCACAAGCACCTCACACAACGTGGTGGTGGAGAACTTGCGAACCGCAGCATGATGCGTTTGTACCGCCGTCACTCCACCCAGCACATATCTGTAGATGACTGTGATAAGGTTGCCGGCGATGAGTCAAAATGGCCTGCTCATCGCCACCAACCACTTCACCATCGCTGTTTTGTGATGCTTATCCCTTAAAGCAACGCCGCAACCGCGCGGAAGTCGTTATCACTAACCGACCGGTGTCCGCTGCGCTGTTACCGAAATGTGAAAAACCTTTTGCGGCACATCGTGGTGTCGGCGGGCTGATCATCGTAGTGAACTTTTATGCAATAAAATGCTATCGTTTCTCGAATTCATGGCTTCTTGCATTCGAAGGCGTTGTTGGTCATTGGCGGTTGTAGATACCGAGGACGGCGTCAGAAAAGTTTGCGCGCAAAAGCTAACTGCAGTCTTTATGCTACTTCCCATTTCTTGTCTTTTTCCTCACTTCTGTTCTGCCGGTGAAGAAACGGCTGGAAAATGAGCGACTTTGCTCGCAGCGTCCGCAACCTGCGTGCAGTTCTCAATGCGGTCTACGATATCTACGTCGCAAGTAAACTGCAGCAGGGCACGCGCGAGCGGGCAACTATTACATGCTTTGTAGTGTCTGGTCTTACTTTTTCGCTCCTATGCGCCATACTTTTACCCAAACCGTGTCGGAAGTGTTCGTTGTATAAGTAGGAGGCCTTGAAGAATGTTCGCTGTATATGGACTCAGTTTTAAAGGGTAGCATAGGCAGATTGTAAGTGCACTGAAAGATGGTCGTTACAACCGATAGATCGTTATAAGTGGGTTCGACTGTACAAGCTCTGTAGCATGATAAAATGTTCTTTAGCGGCGGTGTTAGAATGTTTATAACCGCACAGAACCATTTCCATTGCACTGGCAATGTTAGCCATGATATCAGCATCAATGCAGTCAGAAACAGCAACGTCGTTATCTGCACCAATGAAGTTGCTTTCTGTGCACCCGTGCAATGTGGCGCCCACAAATGCTAACAAGTCGCAGAATTCACTGAGGCACTGTACGCCGCTTTCGACGTTGATGACATGCTCGAAGTCGTCACCTGTCACCGAAGCACACAAGGAAACTGTGCACGACAATGCTTTGCTTGAGGTTCCAAGCACCAGTTATCATTTTCATCGCAAAAAGCGATGCAATGTTTGGTTTAACTCCAGAATGAATCTTCAACAAGAACAAAGCGAGAACTACTGAAGTAGACAAGCCGCACGTGAGCACATTGTCTACAAACAGATATCGGTGGCACTAGGGGTTTTGTAGATAGCGTCAAGCGAATAGCAAGAAAAAAAAGCGCAGCCTCTGAGGTGATAATTTTATAACTAAAAAACCCGAAAACATGTCATAGGGTTGCGAATCTCGAAGGCCGTGCTTTTTGGGCCCGCATGGCATTGTGCGCGAGCAAGCAAGGAAGGAAATGCGACAATGTGACAAGGCCACCAATCATTTCACATTCACCTGATTTTGGTGGCGTCTGCCACACGACCCTTTGAAAAACGCTTGTCTCACGCGTAGCAACCAACAACACATCACGCATCATGAGCTGGTGAACTCACAAAAAGCGCTGCGCAACCGACGAATGACACCGCCTTTACGTCACCTGCGATTGCGCGAGGAGGGATCGAAACTATTTAGAACGCGGCCGAAAAATGATCAATCTTTGTCAGAATGTCAATCTTTGTCAGATGACTGTTTATTTTATTCCACTGTACGAAACAAAGAGGACCAAGTTAAAATTAACATACCTTTACAGGCCTTGAGCAAATTGTGTGAAAAATGGAATATGAAAATTAATTATTCTAAATTGACATACACACATATTACAACAAAGAAGAGCTGTCTTTTATTTTCATACAACATTGGAGACAAGTGTTTAATAAATACTACTCAATTTAAATATCTAGGAGTAACGATCACGGAAAATTTACCTTGGAACATACACATTAACAATGTTTGTTCAAAGGCATATGGGAGGTTATGTTTTTTACGAAAAAAAACTAGAAGGTGCAACAGCCGATGTGAAACTTGCTGCTTACAAAAACCTTTATAAGGCCTGTTCTTGAGCATGTGTCGGTGGTATGGAGCCCTCATTGACATTATTTAAAGAAACAAATAGAAAAAATTCAAAGGTACGCAGTGCAATTTATATGCTCCCGGTATCGAAGGAAGGAATCAGTTACAGAAATGCTCCATTCTTCAGGCCTCCATTTGTTAGAAACGCACAGACAGAAAAATCGTCTGAAACTATTCTTTCAAATACTAAATGGCCAAATAAATATTAGCAAGGAAGTATACATACTGCCACCAGGTAAAAAGAGCTCAAGAAGCAACCCCAACAGGGCCATTAAAATGTACAGGACTCGTGCTGATAGATTCAAATACTCGTTTCTTCCTAATACAACTTAAATGTGGAATGAATTGCCGGTGAGTGTTGTTGACCAGAACAATTTGTCGAAATTTGAACAGACCTTGGATGATAATCTGTACAATTGTAGCGTTTGATCTTGATCCATCCTGTATTTGTGTATTTGCGAATAATGTTCTTTTTGCTATAACGTTTTGTTATGTTACCCTCTCTGTAAGGACTCTCGCATGAGAGTTGACAGTATTGCTAAATGAATAAATAAATAAATAAATAAATAAATGAATAAATGCACTTTTTCTGGGCTTCAGCCCCGGGCAGAATTCCATAGATCGGATTTTACGCTCTGCGGGAGTTGGACATATGCATGTAACAGTCCCATACTTTTGCGCGAGAAATTCAAGGGGATTTATCAACTGTTCAATATAGTGAATATTCGATATATCTGAGTACGATATACCTGGGATCGACTGTATAATTTAGAATATGCTTATGGCTCCTCTGCAACTTCTGTAATTTTGCTACATGGTATTAGTAAGGTATTTTTGAGAAATATTTGCATTGCACTTTATTCGATTCGCACTCACTCGAACTCACTCTGCACCCAAAATTTTGCTATTCGCACAGCTCTACTAAAATACATCAAGAACTTGAGCATCCAATAACACTCTCATAAACAGTTAGTAATGTCAAACAAACATCTCAAGTTAGAGGAAGTGAAACCAACATACAAACAACATGTTTTAAAGGCATGGCTCTGCTCCTCTCATACAGACCAGATGTGAATGTGCTGTTCTTAATACCGTTACAAGACTACATCACGCTCAAGAAGCAAGACAGACAGCGAGAAAGACGACGTGATTCTGCGATGTGGGGCATGCTCTCGCTTGCCATCTCAGCTTAGGCTTGGCGTCGTGAAAATATATCTCAACTGTCACCTCGTTTCTCTGTGTACCCTCCCGTAACGTTTTGGAGGAGGTGCTATAGAGAGGCATCAGCATTTACTTTTATGCCAATAATTAAACACTAAATTATAAGAAGTGGCTTCATACCGTTGAACTGTCTTGATGCTTGACTGTGTCCTGGTGATTTCCATTAAGGTAGCATCAAGTTGTTTCGTGACGCTCTCCACTTTTTGTTGGACTGAGCCCATGCACTTGCCCGTGATGTCCATGATTTTGGCGTGAATCCTAGGGGGCAAAAACGCTCGTCATAAGCACGACAGATCCATGTTCGCAACGCCGAAACACATTTTTCAAACAACCAAGGCTATAAGAATAAATACCCTTTCCAAAATCCAGCAATATTTAAACACAACATGTGCTTTGATAACATAACACCATGTGAGCATTATGCAGGTACCCGAGCATCACATCAGCAAACACAGGTTTTGATTGAGAGAAAATAAATACCCGACCAAAGCTCAGCTTCGGAAACTACTTCTGCAGTAAAAGCGCACAAAACTGGCCAGTTCGTGCGACTATATTATAGAAAATTTTCACAGTACCCACCCGAAAGATCGAGGCGTGAGGACAGGACAAGGCACCTGCATTACTTCTTCCCTAATGTTCTTTTTTGTTGCATGTGTGCTGAGAAAATCTTTTATTTGGTGTCCCGTTGTGTGCACAATGTTGGAAATCAAAAGGACAAGAAAAATCAGAATTCTCAGCCTCAAGAGTTTTTCAGTGTTCTAAGAAAGGCACGAGGTGGCACAGCTAGAGCTAACAGACACATAATTGTGCAAATTTACCAACACTTACTGCGCAACTTTGTCTTCCACTTTGGTCCATGATGCCATTTCCTGATCGTACTCTGCAATAAAGAAGAATGGTAAAAGAGCGCCGTGTAAAAAGATAATGCAACAGAAGCTCTATAAATTCACTCGTGAAACTGCCGCTGCAAAATGTTACCCATGAGCACAAATGCATAACAAGGGTGTATGAGCCAAAGGTTCCTTGAGAAAATTTAAATTTCTTTGTTCCTTATACATACTCGCAGATAAGAAAGAGTCCATTTCACCATTTTGAGCAATAAAGTTTGAACTGAAGCCGACAACTTCATTTCATTTTATAGAGCATCAAAGTAAACAAACTTTACTTCGAAGTCTGTTTTCCACATGCTATTGGTGCCAAGGATACACCTGATGCTCATCTGTGCAACATTCAACATACTAATCTTCAAAAAATGAATCGGTGTAGGTTTTAGACCTCAGCAAATATTTGTCAGCTTGGAATAATCGAATGTGCATTAAACCGTCGAAATTCACCTTGAGATGAATGTAGCATTCCTTCGCAGTGCTATTCAAAATTTCGTAGTATTCGAAACAAACTCCCAATGTTTTACTGCATAAAATAAACTAAAAAAGTGGTTTCACTGCCCCATTCAATCGATGCGTCGTCAAAACACCTACGCAGAAAAAAAGCACATAACGCCGAGTTGGCACAACGCAATGTCGTGCTTGTTTTTTCGCAATAAACGTGGTTGTCAGCCTTGCTTATCGTGTGACACTCAGTTCTTTGAATTTGTTACTAGAAAGCACTTAAACCTAGACTCATCTTTCCTAACTGATGTCATCTATCTAGATTTTGTTAAAGCTTTCGATTGTGTTCCCCACAAGCGACTTCTGGCAAAGCTTTCATGCCTACGACTGGACCCCCTCGCATTATCATGGGTCTGCTGCTTTCTGAAAAATCGCCTCCAATACACCGTCGTTGGATGTCGTTGTTTAACCACTACTGACGTGATTTCTGGAGCACCACAGGGATCCATCCTGGGTCCTCTGCTCTTTCTCATTTTCATAAACGAACTTCCAAACGACATTTCAACTTCCGTTCAACTTTTTGCAGATGACTGTGTTCTTTATCGTCGCATCGCACACCATAGTGACCATGATATCCCCCAAAATGATTTGCATCTAATCGAGACTTGGTGAAGTATGGTTTGTTTTCCACAGGCACATATTTCAGCTGACCACAACCCCCCCCCCCCCCCCTTCTCCCACAGGAAGTAGCGAGGCTGGGTGCTTCCGCCGCCACTCATTAGTACGTCATTACAGTGCATTGCCTTGCGGCTCTTAAAGGCCATTGTTTCCACGGAGTCGCGGAAAAATCGGGATCACGAATTATTACACGGCAACCAAAGTTTTCAAACTAACCGAACCGATGCAGACCATCGCTTCTGATTATTTGCTCTAACTTATATTGGGAAATATGGGACCACGAAAATATTTCAAATTGGGTGGGTTTTCAAAATGACTAAGTTCAAATTAATGAGGTTTCACAGTGTAATTGATTAATTTATGCCGATTCATTGTTTCCCGTTACCAGTGTCCTTTTAACAGCTTTGACGTGAAGCAACAACATTACGCAGAGCTAGGCCAGACAAAAAAACGAGCCGGCATACCTTTCTTATAGGCAGCCACAGCCTTTTCTTGCTGTGCGAGCTTCTTCTTGTCAGGAGCAGACTTGGCCACTTTCTCCTTCTGGTCAGCCAACTGTTTCGTAAGTGAGGCGTGCTGCTCTTTCAAGCCCTGGAAGCAACGAAAGGTATTGCACAGAAATTAAAACAGTTGGTGAGAAAACAATTGCCGATTGCCAGAAAAAAGCAGTTCTTTGTCTTGTCAAGTGCACTGAAGTCATGCTAATTCACGAGTCGAAAAAAAAATGTTTATCTTCTCGCAAGCTTCCAAGATTTCTTCTCTGCAATACTGACCAATACAGAAGTTAGTCCCACAGCAATGGTTTACAGTCCCATTTCCCAACAGGTGTAAGTACTTATGATACAGTATTTGTGCCACTGCACAAAGCTTTCGATTATGTTGCCTGTGCACACTGACACAGCTGCTACTGAGGAAGCAACAACACTGCAGTTGCAAGTGAGGGACATGTCCAAATTACTTTCTTTTTTTTTAGTAGCTTTTCCAGTTGAGCATAGCCTTCTCAATGCTCCAAGTCAATGCTGCTAAGTCTTATGGCCAATTCCAGTTGTCGAGCGGGAGCAAGTTTTCTTGCTCCGCGGTCAAGAATCTGAATTCGGCTGGTAGATTCGGAGCAAGTTGGCATTTTCTACTAACAAATTTGGAGCAACCCACTTCGTGGCGAAACGTTCTGCGTGCTTTATCTTGCAGAGACGAATTTCGCCGGAACTCCGAGAATGCATTGCCGTCGTTTCCGGTACAGTCGAGCAACTAGGGTCTTCAGCTTTTTTTTTTTTTTTTTTTTTTTTTGAGGGGGTGTCTTGTCCACCTTGTTAACTTGTTTACATTCCTGAAATGACGTCGTTTGACTCTGCTGGACGTGCTGCTGCTAGTTTGTATCACGCTTTGAGCGACAGCGAGAGCACTAGTTCTGCTAGCAGTAGCAGCAACGAGGACAATGGGCCATAGGTGCTGCACAAAATGATGTATAAGGAAATGTTTCCTGGCCCGCCCTGTGCATGGTTTATAATAGGCTATGTCGAGGAAGTTCTTGGTACCAGTTTAGTGAGGTATGCGTAAACAACTTTCAGAGCAACCTCACGCGGGCCATTCACGTGTTCCACTTGCAGATCTGGCCTAGCGCAATCCAAGTGCTCGCTCCAGGATTTCGGCGGTCGCTCCCGATTTACCTGAGGAATTCGGCAACAGCTTTTAGCCAAAACATAAGCTAAAGAAAAAGTACAGTTACCAATCAAATTTCCGGACCTGGCAGGAACCGTGGAATGGTCCGAAAAATCAAACAGTCCAAAAAAAATGGTCAGGCCGCGAAAATGAAGCTTATTTGGATTAGAAAAGCCTAAAAAAAGTCCCCAATGATGCCATGTTTCATGCTGTTCTTGGGGAAGAGCGAATTTGGTTCCACTTAAGCTATGGCGACATCACTGGCAAGCGCATTGGTAATTGCTGCCGCCAACCGTTGCGGGCAGCAAAGTTGGTGGCTCCATGAAACCAAGCAATCAAAACTTGATGCCGATCACAAAAACATTTATGCAACGTCTAGCATGGTTGGTGGGGTCAACAACCCGATCTGGGCTTCTTCTACCTGCACTGACATAGCACAGTACGTGAGCTCCCCCATCAAAACGCTACCATCGTGGCCGCGCAGGTACTCGTGTCTTTCAGGTCATTAGTTGAGAACCGTGATGCAAACAGCAGCGAGCATGTGACGCGCACAACAGCTCAAACACACTAGCTACTCAACTAATGCGACCACGTGTGCAACGGTGACCAGAAAAACGAACGCGCAGAAAATGAAAACAACCTACCGGCATGTTAATGATGATGATAAGGCTCACTGAAAAAGAAAAGTTTTGCCGTTTTGCGAGCCTAGGAAGAGCAGACATGGCCTCCAGAACTGGAAGATTATGCGCCATGTTGTGCAGGCTTCCAATCTTGGAGGCTACACAACTATCCACTGCAAGTCAAACTCGACGAAGCCAACAAAGAATCCAACATGGTGGCTTTCAAAATTGAGCGGCATGGCTCAAAACAAACGATTTAGTCCAGAAAATCAAACTTCAAAGCATGAATTCATTCGAAAAAATCGGTCGCGAAAATGCATTAGTGGAATAGGAACCTTGATGGTGCATTTGTGAAGTTCGAAATATTCAACAATTTCAAATTTCTGAAGTCTGAAAACTCCGTCGGCAACTGTAGTCCCTTAATGATTTCTAACAATGTTGTTGCTGAAATATGGCTGCAACAATGCGTTTCCACAAAGATTAAGAAAAAACAGTGGCTGTGCACAGTGCTGACTGTTAAGTAAAGTTTATTGCAAGGAATTTATTCAATTTCTAAGGAACAACGGCTGTGTAGTCTGTAGCCTTCAGCACAAAGATGAGACCCACCCGCAGGTCGCGGGTTCGAATCCCGGCTGCGGCGGCTGCATTTCCGATGGAGGCGGAAATGTTGTAGGCCCGTGTGCTCAGATTTGGGTGCACGTTAAAGAACCCCAGGTGGTCAAAATTTCCGGAGCCCTCCACTACGGCGTCTCTCATAATCATATGGTGGTTTTGGGACGTTAAACCCCACATATCTATCTATCTACAAAGATGGGACCCTCCCCAAAAGACGCACGACACTTGAGTGCCATGAAAAGAAAATTTAAAAAAATACGGCTAGAATATGTGCAGGGACAAGTGCTGCTGTTGTTTATAAATTGTTCAGCCTGACGTTATGAGCCTTAGCTGACAATCAGCACAGTGTGACATTATTGTAGTAACGAACACAAACCAATTTGATTATACTTCGCCCTTTTGATGAAAAGTTGGCTCTAGAATGAGGTTTCCCTCAGCTGACCACTGCGTATTAGATCATTCCCTATCTACGGTATTTAATTGCGAAATGAACACAATCGCACAACGAACCCAGCCGCCGTCTTGGTCCTTGAAAAAAGAAAAAAATCTTTTTAATGTATCTGTTCATTTTACTTTGGTGTAATAGCCAGTGCCGTCGACGATCGAAACAACGTTAAATCAAGTCGTTTTATCACAAAATAATGGCGCTATAAAAGTCAGAGCATAGTTAGGCAACCATGCTAAACTGTTGCGAGCAATGCGAGCGTGAACAACGTCAATCAAAATTTAAAAGTCGCACTTTTCGCGATAGAGCGCCACCTGTTAAATGAAGAAGAAACGTTTTTGCTTGTAGTACCACGCAAGCACAGCGGCACGAAAACAAAACAAGAAACAAAGCTCATGGCCTCCGAGATGAAGAGTGCGCGGCATGTTTACGCTGCACGCTCGCCATCTTGAAGGCCATGCAAAGCGCAACCACACCCACCGCGCCGACGGCACATTGTGCACCCACAACCTTTCTGCGCAGCCATCCGATGCTGTGATTTTGTTGTCGGGTTAGTCGTAGTGAATATAGTTGGACACCTGCTGCGCAGAACGCGTTCCGCCGGTACGCTAGATACACGGCTGCATACGTTTGAGCATGGGAACCGAGCGGCACGACGACACTTTGGCGTCGATCCGATCGCGTTAGTTGCAGGAGAAAACAGAAATAGCTTTCGGGTGCAATAACGATTTGTCGTGCATATCGCGGGCCAATACAATAATGAGAAATGTTCGATGTTATAACTCCCGTGACTTCCTTTCTCTCGCGTAATGAACCCTCCCCCCAAAATTGACATCAACTTTTCTGAAAAAAAATAATGAAAAAGTGGGTTTATTACGCGAGTAAACACGGTACCTCTTTCCGCAAACCTCACTCTTTTCCAAAAACGCTGCAAGACACAAGCCATGTTCCGACTTGATGCGATGAAAGTACGAAAGTGTACGGCACCTTGACTTCCACCTGGAACTTGTGCAAGGCATGCTTGGAGGTTGTGACATCCTTGCGGAGGACGTTGATCTTGTCGTCCAGCACGGACTGGCGTTCGTGAAGGTCCTTTGCCTTGTTTTCAATGGCAGTCAGCTGAGCCGTGAGCTGCTCCATCTGAGCGGCACTCACGTCGTCGTCCACGACCGCCTGACCCATCTTGCCGCGAGAGACGCGCCCGCCTCCTCCGCTCATAGTGCCTGTTGAGAAAAAGCATCGTGATTGCAAAGGACTATGGCTACTTCGCGAAAAATGTGGAATTCCAGAGGCATATTCGAAACAGCTTTACTGCACAACTAGCACGAACAGGACAAAAAAAAGGGGGGGGGGGAGGGGGCAGGAACTGACTAGGACTATTGCTCACTTCCAACTTTTATTACAAGGCACATAATAAAAGAAAACGAGATTTCACGCCTGTGAACTCAAGACAAACAATAACTAAGAAAATGCAAAAAAATCGAGCCCAGAAATACAACTCTGTTTGATTCCGCGAGTGAATAGCATGTTTGGCAAGTCTCACCGGACACGTCCACCAGCTCTCCCTGCAGGGTGACCACCCGGTGACGCGTCCTTCCCTGCAACCCGATACGCGTGGCCTGGTCAAGGTCGTTGGCCACCAAAGTGTCTCGCAGGACAAAGTAAAATGCCGGCAGCACGCTGGTGTCTTTCACAGACACCAGGTCGAACAGGCGGGGCACGTTTTCAGGGCTGCGTAGAATGTGTGTGAGCAGCAGGGTTTGGTAATTATGGCAAGACTAGTGCAATTTTTTCAATTGATGAAGGGTTATTTTCTAGTACGAGTAAACTTATTTTCTGTCTTAAACCTCACACTAAAGGGAAACAGTATGTCAGTCTAGACTTCGGGTAATCTTCAATACTGCATATAAGCTCTACATGGAAGATGTGACCTTCAACACATCAGTAGACTGTCAGTAAACGGAACAGCTGCTCAAATGAAACGATAATACAACCCGCTTTGTACTTGCATTTGGTCCCTGTGTTCACATTTCAGGGAAAGGAACTCCTGTTAAACGTAACACGTGTTCCTGATCTCTTCAGGTTCCGTTCAATTAGAGTCTACCATAACACAATAATTGTTGTGTTTTTACACTCCAAACCAAGATATAGTTATAGCTTATATGAAATGCCATAGTGCAGAGCTCCAAAAATTTTGACCACAGGGGCTCTTTCATGCAAACTTAAACATAAGTGCACAAGCCTTTAGCATTTTGCCTCTGTCGAAATGCAGCCACCGCAACCTGGATTCGATCCCGCGACCTTCAGGTTCGCAGTTGAGCACTATAACCAATGGACCACCGCGGTGGGTTATTGGGTCTCTTACGAATGACGATAATTGGGTGCTTACAGGGCAAGGGTGAAGCGCAACTTAACAGTACCACGACAATAGTGAGACGAGCTGCCGATGAAATGGCAAACCAAGTAATGTGGTTTCAAAGTGGGTTGGTGTATTGAAGAGTTTTCCGGTGAACAAGTTCTTAAAACGGATCCTCAAAATTCGCGTCTGGTCATTAACTCTTGCAGTCTCAACTTGAGAAAAGTGACTCTGCAAAAAAAAAAAACACGACCTCAAATAGGGATGGTGATCATACCATTATAGATTTTCATCTTATTTCATCAAAGCCTTTGCATCACAACTCCTTTGAAATGAGGGGCAGCACCGCCATGGATGTCGTGACATTTACTGTTTATATACACTCATTATAACTCATTATAACAAAGTTGCTTTTTACACAAAATAAGTTCGTTTAAATAAAAAATTTATTCCCAAAGTATAACCCTAGCACTACATCTATTGCAAGAGCATACAGTATGCTTCCATTAAAGGTGAACCCGAAGGTACCAACTCAGAGGTACGCAGAGGCGCAGAATTCAAGTACAAAGCCAATGATATTAGAGGCAGTTGTTCTATTTCAGCGACAATTCTTTCAAGGGATTTCGTTTACGTTGAGTCCTCTGCAATTGGTATACTTTTTTGCTGCTGGACCTTGCTTCCTTATTGTTGTCTTCATTCGTCCCCCATAGACTAGAATCCTGGTTAAGTGAAAATCAATTCTGTAGGACAGCCGCCTTCCAAATGGTTGAGTTTTGTATTTGGTGCTGCAGCCCTTAATGCATTTCTCAATAAAGAGAGCTTCCATTAAATGGAATATACTATTCCTAGTCCCACCAGGTTCCGTTTGCCAAGACTCCTCTAAAAGTGCAACCGGCCATTTTTTTTGGCGTATGATACATAGCAAATCTACGCCTTATACATCAATATTCATTAGTATGCTAAACTGTGTACCAGTAGTACAATAATATTGTTGGAAAGCTGTTTGAAATTCCAACTTGTGAGATATTCACATGCCCACCTAATCATTTTTGATGCCTCAAGAGACCCTGAAATGCCTAACTAAATAGTGGTATTATTTTAAAGCTCTTAAACTTCGGTACATGCTTAGCTAATTTTATACAGTCGAACAAGAATATATCGAACTCGAAGGGGATCGTGCATTAGTTCGATATATGAAAAATTCGATATAAAAAAATAAGAGGCCCCGAGAGCTTATCCGTAGAGATTATCACCTACAATAGGCACATTCAAGAATGACAACTAATTCCGCACACACGCCACAACAGAATGATTTATTTGCATGAAAAATTCAATAATCTCGGCCTGCTTCTTCATTTTGAAAATGTTGAAGACGCTACTCTGCATTTTATCAAGGCTGGCTAGGTGCAACAGCCCGATTCCCTCCAATTGGCCGATACAACGGCGAATGATGCCGAACGCTGACGTTACTTTAGCGAAGAAGTATGCGCGTGTAGCCAGCACCTCGTCCGGACGATCCTTCTCGTCACATGAGCTGTCAGCCTGGACATTGCCGCCCGCTTCCCCGAAGGAAGTCGTCCACAGGCACTTCGTGTGGAACTGCTGCCAAGAAGTGGAACAGCTCGCGAAACGTGTCTATGTGCTCGTCATCGTCTTCACCGGTTTCCCCAAGGTCCGCCGTCTCGAAGCCTGCCTTGCAAAAGCAGTTAATGACTGTGTTCGTCTTCACGTCTCACCAGACATTAAATATCTCCGCGGGAGAAAACTTCGAAAAGATTTCTGGCCACTCCTTCGTCATCCTCTGCTGGATGTTCTGGCTGCTGACAGCTTCGCTTTTGCCAAAATTGGTTTTGCCAACGATCTTGTAGCTCTGCTTAAATCGGTGAAGCCACCCGCTGTTGTCGGCGAAGTTTTCATCGAGTGCAGCGGCAAACCATTTGGCCTTTGCAATCAGCATCAGGTCATCCACCGGAATGCTCTTCGCACGCACTTCTAAAAACTAAGCATAGAGTGGCTTTTCGAAATTCCCGTGGGCAGAAGCCCGCAAATAACAAGCCTTTGACGTTCGCTGCTCCGCTTCTTTTGCCTTGATTATCTGCCTTGTTTTTGAATAAGGTACTCAAAGTGCTCTGTGGTATCCCGAAGTCGTCTGCGACGGTTGAACATTTCTCGTCCGCCTCAATACGCTGAATAGCCCTCAACTTCATCGCAAAGTCAAGGGTCTTGCACTTTTTTTGGCGCTGGCCATAGCTACACGAGAAGTCGACAATTCAAGGAGTACACAGCGGCTTTACACACCACGCACGCAAAAAAAAAAAAATGCTACACATGCGGTGGTACGTAGGCGACGTGACGGCGGAAGCAACAAAGCACTCGCGAGGCAATGGCCGACTGTGAGGGCAACAGCAAAAGGCGCGAGCTGTGGTTGGCTGATCAAAACTCGCAAAACAGCAACAAAAAATAAAAGGCAAAAAGAGGAGGACGTCGGCTCCTTCGTTTGTGCTCTCAGAGTAGACGGGCATGCGGAGGAAGTGCGAGAGAGACGAAGAGAAACGAAAAGAAAAAAAAAAGTTGTTCCACAAGTTAGAGATTGTGTAGTTCGAGCCCTCTCGCCCTTACCTTTTTTCGAGTGTTTCGGGTTTTGGCGGAGGCGTGGTGCCACGCGGAGATTGCAGTGGGGAGAGGGGGGCGAGTGCCGATGCGCACTTTTCAGCTTGCGCGGCAATTGATATGTCCGAGGAGGGGGGTAAAAATACCTTTCGATAAAACATGTGAATTTCTATATTTTTACAAAGGAAGTTCAGGGGGGCAACTTTGGAGTTCGACATACCCGAAAATTTTATAAATGTGGGTTTGATATAACTGTGTTTGACTGTATTGCCTCAAAGAATATACATAGACGCCTTAATAAAATAACTCACGTTTCTATCCTCCTCTGAGTATAAGGTATCCAGCGTTCCATCTGCGATAAATCAAAAGAAATAGGTCTTTTTAGCACATCTTTATGCATTCCACACGACATAGTGAACATGCTAGGAAGGGCACGCCTTAGCATTAGCATTACTAGGTACCGTTCCACAATCTTCCTCCTATTTGCACAGCCAGACGTGTGCGTTGCAACTCAAATGAGAATCAATCAAGCCTTGCCAGATATGCATGTCTTGAGGAGAAAAATTCATGCTGATGTCCATGGGCATGAGAACTTCATCTGAAATTTTAGTTACCACGAAAATAGCCCTCGCTATGCCATTAAAAAATTGTCATTCGCTTTTAATTTGTTGGCTGTTCATCTCTTTTCAAATGTCCAAAAGTGGTAACACTTCTCCCCCCCAACCCCCCTCTCGCTCTCAGTCGAGGCTGAAGGGAGACACTATACTCAGCGACAACTGTTTTTGGCACTGAAACGAAAGCTACGAAGCCAAATCACGTGCATCCTACCGCCAGTGAAGGTAGCTTAAAGTAGCACCCATATATTCAACGTGAAATACTTATATAGGTATTATGCTATGCGCAATTGCATGTCATGCACTGTATATTTTTCTTTTTACCACGTTAAAACCTGTGTGTCCGCGGCGTTCTCTGTACTAATATATTGCAAAAATGTTCCGTGCGCTATATTTATATGTTACCCACTCCTGCTTATGGCTTCACTTTGAAGCCAGCAGAAATCCTGTAAATAAATTAAAAAAATAAATATAAATGTTCCCCTTTTATTTTCTACGTTGAGCTATTTGAGACAAGACGAAGCTCACACCTGTAGGATATTAGTATTTCTTTTAATTTATCTGTTGTGACTTCGCGTTTCTGTATGCGGGAAAAAATCCTGCCTTTTTACGTGCACCTTAAATGCTAAGCAGCGGTGTCTACATGAAACGCTGATGGCGCGCCCCCGTGTCTTTCCACGGCGCTATGAGACGCGAGTTAAGACGTACTACTTCACGTAGTGCTACATGTGCAGAAGCTCTGCCTCCGTAGCTTTCCCTTCAGTGCCAAGAAAAGTTGTCACCGAGTATAGCAACACATTCGTGAAGTGTGACAACACTGCAGCAAACACAAGTTCTACTGCAGGTTTTTTCAAAGTTGCTTCCGCAGAAACCGAGGCTTCACCAGACCCGTCTTCGGGGTTCCACGAGCCACCGATAAATTTTCCCCAGTTCCGCAATCGCCCAATCGACTTACTTAGAGGGCGATTTCAAGGTGCGACCAATATACGAAACCTCCATTATTCACGCTCGAGCGTCAATGAGCACACATCAGTGCATACACAGAAACACACGAGCAGCACAATAAATCCTGCCAGCAGTTTGTTAGCTAGTGGACAATGCTTTCAAGTTAAGTCGAAAATTTCAGCTCTCCGCTTAGGAGGATAAGAGCTATGGCGATGCTGTGAAAATTCCAGGCAGACGTTCTTGCACAGAATTCAAGGCACAAAAATAGTTACCAATGCAGTGGAGGACGAAAGACATTTTCAGACAATTTCAATGAAAGAAAAAACTATACAAAAATCCTCATAAAATCGTCCAATGGGACAGTCTCACCTTCTCGAGAGCTATAAGATTGGCAAATCCGACATCATGCTTCTTCAGGTACTCAACACAGCGCTGGGCCGTGAGCACCGTGTCCGTGAGAACGTAATCCAGCTGGCCACATGCCGTTGAAATAGCCACATCGTATTTCTGGTCAATTGCGCCCAGGTCACCCTGTGGTAATCAAGCGCGCATATCACAACACTATTCAGTTAACTATAAAAGTACACTGTTCCCATGGATTAAAAACCCCAAATCTACTAGCATTAAAGTCAAATCTACCTTTAGATGGCAAATGATATTGAGACCGTGTCATGGCATGTTGGGAAATCTATACTGTTAATCCAATTTCTGGCAGTATCAACACCTTCACATGTTCAAGTCACGTTGCATTACAGTCACTGATCGATCATGTGAAAAGTGATGACTTGCACAGGACCCAGGCTTCAGTCAGATCTGCAATGGCACCAATGACCTTGCAGACATAATGTATGTAAGGACAGCTTAAATGCAACCATAAGTTAATCCATGTTACAGCTGCGTTCAGTTTTTTGTGTTTTACACACATACATGCACAAACACACACACACACACAAGAAAACTGTGCATAAAACAATGTGTTTTTATAAATAGTTGACTTTCCAGACTAACTGCGTATAAAAAACAACCTTCAGCACATAAACAACTACAGTTCCGATCTGTCAGCCATGACTGTGAACTGAAACAAATTTCTGTTTACAGTATTGCCTGCCACTGGAGTCACATTTACTTGTCACATTTAGTGACTTCAGTAACTGTAGTCAGGTTTCGTAAAAATCCTCAAACAACGCGAAGCTGCTGATTAACTTGTGCCAGTTCATGGTTTATGCACTAGCAGCTCGACTACTACTTCGACATGAATACGACAGCATAATCGAGTGACTAAAACTTTCATGCATCGGTTATGACATGAAGTGTTCCAGGGTGCCATTATAGGGTTTGAATCGGGAAATTTTCTAACGATGGTGAGTTTTTTGGGTTGTGAGGGTAAAAAATGCTAGCCTAGCTCAACTTCTGGTGACCAAGGTTAGAAGACGAATAGCAGTTATGTCTGCTGTGTAGCTACTTCTATCTATGGTTATCTGTAACCGTAGTAGGTTTAACTGGGGTTAAAGCTAGAACTGAAAAATGACAACATCATGCAAGCGACATGAAACACTATCAAACGACGTAAATTCGCAGATTACGGTGTTTTGAATAGCTAGAAGTGAGGAATGGCACATGATGCTTAAAGCTTTCTCTGTGACAGAGGCATAAGAGCATTTTGAAGTGCAAATCTTAGCTGTAAACCGATACGAATGTTCAAAAAACACACTTCTCCAAAAATTTTCTGGAGGCATCCATCGCGGGATTGATTCCCGGCCACCGCGGCCGCATTTTCGATGCAGGCGAAAATGCTTGAGGCCCATGTTCTCAGATTTAGGTGCACGTCGAGAACTCCAGGAGGTCAAAATTTCCAGAGCCCTCTACTACGGCATCTCTCATAATCATGTGGTGGTTTTGAGACGTTAACCTTTCGACAATTATTAATCATTAAATGCCATCTTACCAGTCGTCCGATGACGCCTGGCAGCTCCCCCGACTTCTTAGCCTGCAGTAGCGCATCAAGGACCCGCGATCGCGACCTATTAGCTTGGGCGTTCGAGCGGAGCTCTTCGACCCGATGACGGTCGGCCCTAAGCTGATCCTGGGCTTCCTGGTACTGCTGTCTCACTTGCGCCAGTTCAGCTTCCATCTCTTTCAACTTGGAATCCTTTTCAGGGACGAGTTTCTCAAGCCTTGTCAAGCAGCTGCAAATAAAAATTAATTAACTAAAGGTAAGAAAGTTACACAAAGGAAGAATGACCAGATGATTTAGTGGTAGATTAATGTAGAAAATAAAAAGCAAAAGAAAATTTACAGATACTGCACCAAATTTACCTAGTGGCAACTGTTGTAGTCTGCAAAGCAAGGGGTTGCTTACGTGACTAAATTAAAAACTAAATTTTAAGGTTTTACGTTGCAAAACCACAATTCAATTATGAGCCACAATGTATTAAAGGCCTATGGACTCACGTTGATAGCTTTGGGCTCTCTAGTGTGCATCTCAACTTGAGTGTACAGGTGCTCTTCTCATTTCGCACCCGTCTAAATGAAGCCTGGTACAGAACCTGCACCGACTCACCTACTAAGCATTGCAACATTTTGGGTGCTGAGCTGCAGCGATGGTAGTATAACTAACTTAGATCAAAATGTGCACATCTGACATTCCATAGTTCCAGCGTGGAATGATTTTTAAACCTTAGATACCGAAATTTTTGCTAGTGACTTTTTACTGTAATTTGTAGCTTTGTTTCTGGTAACGCCCAAATTGAATCGTAAATGCTTTCACGTATTGGATAATTAATACAAGCATCAATAATTGACACCAATTTTAGCGTCCCTTCAAGACACCCACCTACAATCACAAGAAACTAGCGCCCCACAGCCGGGGAACATCTGAGATGATGTGCGCTCATTCTTCGGTGACACTGAACGCGCAGTCAAGTTGGGGGACACACGCATGCAGTGGACAATGAAACTATGTGGGCACGTTGAGTGTGTCCTTCTCAGGAAAAAGAAAGCGTAAGCAGCCTGGCGTAAGCAGCCAAAACCACCTTGAGAGCAGCCCGACAACAGAGCGAAAGGGGTGAGGAACAATAGCCCTCTTTGGATGCCAGTCGTGGTTTTGTGTGCGTTCCGTGAATATCAACGATGTTGACAATACTTGCTTTTCTTTTTGAATGTAACAAGAGTCCTCCTCTGTCTCTCTCATACTAGTGGTGATGCCGTGAGGTGCTGAAACTTGAGATGAGCATTCACGCTTACATGAAAACCGAATTAAAATATAATAAAGGTACTGTTCTTTTGCTTATAACTGGTTAGAAGAGCCCCCACATGGAGGAGTATAAAGCAATGCAGGCATCTCAAGTTTCTAACTTTAGTGTCAGGGGTCTTTTAACTCGTTCATCAAGCATTATCAGAAAATTTGAAGGGCCACTAACCAGGTTTGACAATTTCGAGCTGACAAGCGCAATGCATAGATGAGGTGTTCATGATCACATCTGCCAAAATTTGCAACTCTACGCGCCACGGAAACGGTCCGCATTTCAAGATGAGCGCTGCTCCCTTTTCCTTTTGCGGACACGGAATGAGGGCATGACATGCGCGCATGAATGGCCCTACGTACACGCCATGGCAGTGACGTTGGTCGTCTACATAGACGACTATGCTCTGACGTTGCCAACAGTGGCACGTGACATGGCAAAAATTATTTAACACAACATGCGTAGTTTATGTATTTATTGGTTGAAGAGATTAATAAATCTCTAAATAAATAATGAGACGCAATAAGAGAATGTGAGGGTTCGTTTTTCATTTTTTTTTCTTCGTGAATTTCAACGAGATGCGAGGCTAATGTGCCGCCGTTTCACATGCATTCGTGACCCCGATGCCACGGTCAGTGCATTGAGCAGATGACAGCCGTGGAACGCTCCTAAGCGTTCGTGCACTCATTGTGCTCATCTATTCTACCGCGTCTAAGCTAGCGTTTCAAAACCATCCTGCAGAAACAGGCAGTAGGCCTCAAAACACCACTGATCAACAACCACAAAAAAAAAAAAAAAAAAAAAAAACGCCGCTTGCGTGGACGGGGGTCGGGCTTGTTCAGGCACGTCATGCGCACGTGACCTCTTGGTCGAATGAGGGAGAAGGTAGGAAAGAGATTTGGCTTGCGAAGGCTACGCGGAGGAGCGGCAAGTGTTACGAGCTTGCCTCCTCTCACCCTCACTTCGCGCCGCTTCTAAAAAAGTTTTTTTCAGCTCGTAATAAAGCGATTAAAAAGATTAAAAAAATATTCCTCATTGGACAGCCAACAACTTCCACGGTTCAACTAAAATTAGGTATGGGGTCTGGTCAGTGGCCCTTCAAGCTATGACCTAAGAATGGTTTCATATATTCATACAAACTTCAGGAGCATTGCAGTTACGTCACTATGACCATTACCTAGCTTGTTATAATTTATACCATTGTGAAGAGGTACGAAATTAGCTGTTGCAATCTTCGTGTTTACTTGCTCATATTAAGAAACATAATAACCAAGGAACCCAGTGGCGCTATGAACAACCCAAAATGGCACCTTCTTAAACCGTGTATTAAGTTGGTTGCTTTGGTCTTGTGGTAACCTTGATACTCACCAAAGTCAAGATTACCGCGGGTTCAGGCTTATCAAGCCACAGGGCCGCGTCTACTCATGTGTAGCACACCGCTCCGCACATGTGGTCAACTAGCAAAGCGTATAGCACCGCGCAGCAAAACAGACGATGTTCGATCTAATACACACAAACACTTAATTGCCTCTGGCGGCACCCCAAACAGCACAACGTTCGCATCCCGGGACGCGGGGACCAAAAGCTCTCGCACACGGACGTACATCAAACGGAGAAACCGCGAGCATGTCGCAGCTGGCAATGGTGAGCTTTGACACGCCACTCAGGAAACGGTCCCTCCTGGCTGTGCTGGACACTCCCACGATGACCACTGAGCCTGGTCGCAAGAGCTATGGTAAATCTCGTTAACGTAGGCCTCCGACAAGAGCGACTCGGCGCAGTACGACTACGTCGAGCACTAAGCACTGCTGTTTGGCTTATCGTACATAACCAAAGCTAGAACAAAGATAAACACATCTACCGAGAATGCCGAGGCACCCAGGCAGGTTACAATCCGAAAATTTCCGAAGGGGACACGAACGAAGGAAAACGCCTGTTCACCGTGCACTGCCCGAGAAGAGAACCTTTCCGGCGCGCATGTGACACGGTCTCGCCAACTTTCACAGCCCGCGACCACGTGCCGTGCCTGTGCACGGCTCCATCTATCGTCGCACGCCGTCACAAGAGCATGGGAGAAGAGGCCATATGCCAAAAATGCTTGCTAAGTGGTCACACGTGCGCCTTAGATCTTTATGGTCTAAAAGTGAACAGTTGGTTCGAGTTGCTGGTGTAAATGAGCTCGAAGAATCTCCCTACATGTGCTCTAAAAGGGTGATTTAGTAGATCAACAAAACCAAGCCTTATTTTCTTCTCATCGTTGCATGATAAAATCTAGTGCTTCTAAACAGCAACAAGCAGCAAACGAAATTCACGAAAGGAAGGTTCGTGTATAGACTCACTTGGACTTGTCAGTTAGAGAGTTGTTCACTTTGTCCAGGTTCAGCTCGATCTCCTCCAGCCTCGATGTCTCACGCTGGTGTGTGCTGATGCTGAGGTCCAGCTCAGATTTGGCAATCTCATACTACCGGGGAAAGGTGAGCAGGGTGAGGCATCGTAAGAAAGGGAAAGAAGAGAACTGCTCGTTTGTAGCACAAAGGCACAAGGAAATCTGTACAAATTTCTCAGAAAGAAAAGCTTCTTAGTTGCTTCAAATTCGCTTTCTCTTTCTTGTTAATTGAAGCTGCAGCTACTTTAAGGAGACACATTTCGTTTTTACGCTAAGACCGATTGCCGTGAAAGACGGACCAACTCTTTATTTTTTCTTCAGCTGACTACTACATTTCACTGGCAAGCCCTTACCTGCGACTTCTTGTCACTCACTCCCTTCTGCAGGCCAAGCAGTTCTTGCTCGTGAACTGCTTTCTCCTCTTGAAGTTCCTCCGTCTGCGTCTTGAGGGATTCCATAACCTAAGCAGAAATGGATTGTAAACTACTGAAACTTTCACACAGGTGTGAAGCACCACAATCAATTTTTTTTCAGATAAACTTCATTACAAGTCTTTGCAGACGTCAGCACGAACAATATATATAAATTTCAACTGCTGTTGTGAAAGCCAGATTTGTGGTCTGCTGTTCCGTCAAATCAACAAATCAGACATGCAAGAGTAGATTAATTTTGATAGCATGGTGTTAATGAGCACCCAAATAAAAGCACACTGGTGTTTTGTGTATATTGCCTCCACTGAAATGCAGTAGCTGTGGCCGAAAATCTAACCCGTGCCTTCGTGCGGTCTCGGTGGCTTGAACTCACCTCGGCAAGCTTGGCCTCAGCTTCCACCTTTTCCTTTTCCAGCTTCTCTTTCTTAGCCTGCAGCTTTTCCATGTCCTTCTCTAGCTTCGTCGGCTGCTTCTTCAGCTCGTCAACCTAAATGAAGCACATTCACACGCATGAGTTGAAGGTCAGAGGCCTTGGCAAAGAGAGTAAGCCATCTAATCAATGCAAGATGACAGTGCAAGAATACTTTTTGAAGGAGAAGGACTGCGCTAACATTGATAGCACAGGTCCACAATAGCTTCCGCTCGTGGATAGAAATGGCAAAGAATTAGTTTGACACACAGTCCCACACAAATAAATTTGTGTGATTGCATTTTTTCTTCCTTATGTACTTGACTGAGGTGACCCTATAGTAAAATAAGCTTTGTTTTAAAATTTGCTATACCAAGCTCGTGTAATCTTGCACTGGGCGTGAAGCCTGCCACTGGAAAACTGGTGCCTTAGTCGGCATGACAGGCTGGCTAGGCAGGATTAGTAGTAGCATTATTTGCTTTGGAAGCACCGACGCACACTCAAAATGAAATTGTTTTTTAGAATGCCGTCTGCTCCGTAATTGATTAAATGGGGAGTTTTCCCGCTTCTGCCGTGCGCCTGACAGCACTTCAAAAATTTTGCAACACGCAGCTGCCATCTTTGAACGTAGGCCAGAACTCGGTGCCGCAGCGCAGGAGATACACGGCGGAGTGCTCTCAGTGTAAGAAGCTGAATGAAGAATACATTTTTAAATTGAAAATTGTAAACAGCCTATTGGCTACAAAATGCGTGTGTAGTCACGACTTTCATGAGGAAGATGTCTGCTTTGGCGTGCGGCTGTGATGTTCGATGAGTAGCAGAAAACACTCGCTGAGCCGCTGACCCATGAATGCAGGGCTGCCAATGATCTCTTTCTCCAGCAAGCTGGCTTTAATGATGACCCTAATATTACGTTCCCTCTCAAATTCAAGTTGTCCCATCCAAAGTTTAACTGCTTCCTGCAAAGCTGTATGTATATTCAGCGTAACCTCATTACAACGGATCAGCTTACAACAGACATTCAGATACTAAGTACATACAGATTGGCGGCGTTATGCCGTCCTCCCCATCGTTCCATCCATTGAGCTTCGTTTACCACAGACTGGTACAAAAGACATTTGGTTATAGTAGCCAACTAAAATGCGAGGCCAGCAAGGTGGCCAGAACACCTTCACAGTGGACTTTTCTACTACAGAAATCTCAAATTCAATAAGTTCAGACTTCAAACCTCGCTTGGCATATTTTCGAAACGGGAACAGTGCACTGCAGATATCGACGTATGGGTTTAATAATGAAGGCTGTCAATTTCCGGTCTGATCAGTTATGCCTAGCTACGGCAGCAAAACTCGGCATGCAGCATGCTTGATCTTGCGTTTTGGGGCACTGACGCATGAAATTGCTAGCCACTGCCACCGCTGCTCTGAACAGTCGTCATGTGGCAAGCTAGTCAGGGGGGTCTGCTGCCGATGCGCAAAATGCCCATCTGTGATTCTGAGGAGCCAGCGAACATTGTGATTCGTTGCTTGCGACATAGCACATTACAAATCCATTGTAGCAAGAGTACTGAAAATTGGACGAGTTGGTACGGATTCGTGGCTAAAACTTGCGCAACAAAAAACACGGACGGCGCCCGTGGTGTCTGTGTCTTCTCGTCCGTGTTTTTTGTTGCGCAAGTTTTAGCCACAAATTCTTTACCTTCCCATGTACGTTAGCGCATTGTGCGCACTCTACCTTTACCTCTACTATGTCTGAAGTGATCGCTTTAAATGTAGGCGGCTTTGAGAAATGTTCGCTAAATGTGGATGCAGTTTCAATGGGTATCATAAAAAAATTGTAACTGCAGCGTAATACACTTATACCTCGATATAACGAACCTGGATATAATGAAATATCAGTTGTAACAAAAGTATAGTCTTGAAATAGATATAGTGTCAGATATGTACCTTTATTTGCATTTTGGAATTTTTGGACATAACGACCTTGTTTTGCTGCAAAATGCAACTACATTATGACGAGGTTGGAGTGTATGGCGATTGGCAAATCTGATATTTCAGAAATTTCAAACTCGCGCTAAAAAGGATTCGAGTAGTGCAACATTCATTCGAATATACCTACTTTCTTCCCTCAGAGTGTGGAGCGTGAGTGTACCTTTTGCTTAGCACTCTCCAGACTTTTTTCCAGATCCTTTCCCTTCTGCTTTATGTGCTTGATGGCCTCCCTGCACTGCAAGTCCCGGCGCTCGAGATCACTGAACTCTTGCTTTCTGGTTTCCACCTCCTTCTCTTTCTTTTCACAGTCCCTGTAAAGAATCGATCACCGCTTATTTCTCATAACACTCGTCGTTAGACAAATTGTACTAACCTTGACAAGTGGTGCTTGCACGGATATCGTCACCCACTAAAAGAACGAAGGCCTCTATCCCTATATTCTCCAATTACACTGACCTACATCAGTCAGCTCTGCCTCACACTCTAAGCCATGTCCGTCTGGTTATCATGCAGTCTTGCGAAGCATAGTCTGATCTCATCCAGCTGTCTGGAACATGTTGTCCACAGAGCTCTCGCTAGCTGTCTAGTCTACACAAAATGTCTCCGTCCCATATTTATTTTTCTTTAAGAATATTAATTACCTCAAAAACTGGAATATAGGTTGACCCCCCCACTTCGGCTACAATATGTATGTGTGTGTGTATATATATATATATATATATATATATATATATATATATCGACTAGTCTCCGCCGTTACTGAGAGGCGGAAAACATTTTGTGGCGCATTGTGGTGTTGGAGGGCAGAGCGTCGCAGTGAACTTTTATGGGATAAAATGTTATCGCTCATCAGGGGCGGGAAACTTGCGACTTTTTGCGTTCGAAGGCGTTGTTAATTAATCTTCGGCGGCTGTAGACGGCGTCAGAAAAGTTCGCGGTGCGAAAGCTGGCTGCAGGTCTTCATGTTGCCTCGATTTCATTTTTTTCCCCCTCTCACTACTGTTTTGCCAATCAAGAAACGCCTAGAAAGTGAGCAACCTTGCTCGCAGCATCCGAAATCTGCGTGCGGGACTCGCCATAGTCTACAATGTCTTCGTCAAAAGTAAACTGTAGTGGGACACATGTCAGCGCATATATCACATACGCTTTTTTTTTTTTCACCACATCCATGTCGGCACTATTCGTTGCAAAAGTAGGAGGTTCTGAAAAATGTTCGCTGTATGTGGACTCAGTTTCAAAGGGTAGCACAGGAAAATCGTAAGTGCACTGTAATATGGTCATTATAACTGACAGATCACTATATCTGGGATCGTTATAAGTGGGTTGGACTGTATATTACATATTATAAAGAAAAAGTGGTAATTTGACACCATTAAACTAACCTGCACAATATTTTTTTTATACCACAAATGTTTTAAAAAGCCTCTTCAAATTCTATTTTTTTGCATCAAAAAAAGTGAGAACAACTTTAAATAGAAGCAGGCTTTGACTTTTGGTAGATTGCAAGTGATAGCCTGTAAAATAAGTTACATCTTAAAACTTGCTATACTTGAAGCATATAGGACGGTGTAAGAAACTAAAAAAATTGCACTGATCTGAGGGTAATATCTTCATTTCATTTTAAAGTGGGGTTTCTCGACAGTGCATATTTTTCCTGCATAGAAGTTTTGACGGCTGAGCACCACTTCATTGCAGTGAAACCGCTCTTACAAAAAGTTACATGCAAACTAACATATATACTTGAATAAATGCTTTCACGGCTTAGCACCCCTACTCTGCAGTGAAAGCCCCTTTACAAGGTGTTACAAGTGCACTAATATGCATTTATCACTTGTCTCGAATAATTCAAAATTTTCAATAATTTAAATGTGAAGTGAATTCGTATAGTACATTATTCGTTTGAATATTCGATGCATTTGAAAATTCGCACAAGCATAGTGTTTATAAATAAGTTCTACATGGCAGACAGCAAAAAGATGGGCTTAAGCATTGCCTTCTTAAAAACGTCACAACCGTCTTCATAGCCTTAAAAAGACCCTGAAACACTTTTTTGGGTAACCTTGGAATTAATTCACCGGAAAAGCGTATTGCCTCCCAAATTTAAAGCCGCGAAAATTTTAAGAATCCATCCATTATGAGCGGAGTTACAAAGATTTGTCACATACAATCGCATTCTCTCTTCTCTCGTCTCGACGAAAGCGCTGGAAGCTAAGCAGTAAGAGATGAGAGGAGCAAACGAAAAACATCACGGTCGCCTCGTGACTTTGAGCAATTTTTTAGGGTGAAGCTCCTTAGAATGTGGGTCTGTCCTTCCTCCGTTGGTGTATGTAGCCACATTGCAAACATCCCACTACACCCCATCACTGCAGCGGCCATAAGCCAATACTGTTGAGAAGTAGCTAATATAAAATGAAAGGTAGTCATGTACTCGTATCCAGGTGTGCATTAAAGAACCATAGCTTTTTCCACTGTGTCCTTCCCTTGTTTTTACGTGACCACCTATAGTTCCACCTTTGCCAACTGCCCACTACTTCCGCTACGTCCTCGCAAACATCCCGTTACACCCCATCGCCGATCCCATAAAGCCGTTATAATGAAGGGGGAATAGAAGCGACATATATAGCTACCACTTACGAACAGTAAAATTTCTTGTATAAATATATACCGAGTTTCTCACGTTTTTGATGATGTAGTGGGCGATATTTGTTGATGGTTCACAGTTTAGCGATGAAATCCTCCAGAGCGAACCCACACATCATCATTCACTCTGTGGATATGCTGTGTTTTTTTTTTTTCATCGAATACAAGGGTTTTTAGTGCAATCGCGCGTGCACGCGTAATCAAGTGACAGCCTCTCGCGGCGATTTCTGTGACAACCGAGCGTGCCATGTTCAAATCAGCCAATAGATGATAGATGGGTCATCTGCGTTTGATTTTTAGGCATATTCCATGATTTGTCAAGGAAAGAGAAAGCAATTTTTAGCTGACTTTGATCATTTATTGAGAATTTCAGGCTGCGTGCTACTCTCTAACATTTGGCTCGCGCGTTCTCGGAAGCCTCTACTACCGACCGGCAGTGTTTTCTGACCATGCTCAAAAAGTGTTGCAGGGCCCCTTTAAAGGGGCCCTCTAACCATCTTCACGACTTCATAGTTTCACATGTTTTTGTAACTGGTGACTTACACTGATGTCTTAAGAGATAAGTGCCGCAAGAACGGCAGCGATAGGGCCACGCAGTGCAAAGTTATTCAGGGTACAGATATGAAAATAACGTAGAATGAAATGGATGCTTACCCCTAACTCGATTTTGGCGGGCTCATCTCACTATGTTTTCCTTGCCCTCTGACGTCGAAAGGCTGCTCAATGAAATAACTCAAAGCCCTACTGTACAGAAAGCTCGCATGACATATTGCCCGTTACGTCCAGCGCATTAAGGACGCAGTTGCGATGGTAACAAACAATGTGGTACTTGAAGAGGAAACGACACATTCGAAACGAAGGAGCTCGCGAATGCTTCTTTAATGTTTTGTAGCTTTACTGATCTTTCTTTTTGCAATGGCGCATATATATCAACGCTCTTGAATTTTTTTTCTTTTAGTTTCTTCAAATAACAGCGCCCGGAGCATCACCGGCGCGTTTCCTCCACCACATGGCGTCCGGCGCATTCTTCGACTAGCTTTGCAGTTTTCAAGCTGGAAAAGTAGGAGAGCTTTATTCTTTGTCACTTTGAGTGAAAAATAAATCCAATAGTAATCCCTATTTTGATGCAATGCCGCGGTCACATTTAACGTTACATTAATCCCATCATATGGCGGCAACCTTTCGACATGATTTCCGTTCGCAGTAGTTCTGGCGAGTGCCGCTACGAGATATGCAGTCAGCACCAATGTTTTAAAGCGATAAAGGGCCCCTTTAATTTGGACGCACTTTGAGATGATCAGTAGTAATCACAATGCTCCCAGGTAAACTTTGAAACCTTCCTCTTCCACTCTAGATATGATGCTATCTGGCACAATAATCGTTTTCTTCTGATTGCTATTCGTCGCCACGTGATCCTTCAGAGCCAACCAATAGTGAATGCTTCCATGGTACACTCGATATTGCCCGCTGGTCATAGCCACACATTTCGCTGTAATCCGAGCTGCCAGCATCGCATGAAGCAATCAAGGAAGGGTATTTGTTAAAATTAGAGCAGCGAGAATACCGGTGATTCAAAGATAAACTTTCAGTTATTGTTTGTGACTCACAGCTCCCTCTCGCATTCATGTCTGCAAGCATCCTAATACATATCTCACGCATTTTAGACCGGACTTATTCGTGCCTTTGCGAACTTGATCCCTGTTTTCTTAACTGCTAAAGTGAACAGTCGCTGGCCACAGATAGAAAAAAAAAAAAGAAGTAGCTCGGAGCCCAAATTGGTTCATAGGACAACAACACAATAAAACCGCCCATGGTGGAAGCTGGAAGTAAATAAATCAATGCCAATGATTGCTATGGCGATGTGATGTAGGCGGTTTGCCTGAGTTGTCCATAGTGGACAGACTTTCAAGGTTTGTCTGCCAATTACTGGTATATAAGACCAAAGGGTCAACGTTTTATGGCTGTTTACTGAAAAAAAGTCGCAGCTTTGCCGCAAAGGCGAAGCAATTAACGCGATAGCAACAAATTGGAAGGCCACGCACAGAGTGGCAAGCAGATTGAAACGTGCTCCGTGTTTCTCATGCAGAAATGACACACGAAACGTACACACAGGTACAGATGAACGCGAATAAGCGTCTCAGTTGTTACTTTGCTGTGTCTGAAAAGCGCGCCCTTTTCGCAAACGGAGGCTGTGCAACGATTGCAGTGACCTTTGTGTGCCCGGTAACTACAGCAGAATCGTTCCGACGAAACCCAAAAGCTAGCCAAGACGTACGATTCTCCCCACTGCAAGATCAGGGCGCGCGATCAAGCGTACACCCCTTTATTCTCTACGTAGGCCAAAGTACATGTGAAATAAGAGCCGCCGCGCGCTCACTGCGCCATCTTGCTGATAATGCTGGAAACACGATAGTTCCCCCCTGAGGTGCCCACCAATAGCGGTACATGGTAGATATGAATAGCTTGCCGTTCGAACGTTGGAGGTATTTCTCGGTGGCTCAGTAGTTAACGCCTCGCATTTAAGACGCGGAGGTCCCACGTTCGATTTCATTGCTGGACTCTGTTTTTCTGGGATTTTTTTCTGTCTTGCCTTTTCATATATATAGATACATATACATATACGGTGCATGACATGGACGCCGACGTCCACGTCGAAATCTAGAAAAGTGTGTCCATATAATTGATAACGCAATAAAAGAATAAAATACCCCCTATATTTCGGTTTTTATGGTAGATAAAGAGATATCACTAATGTCAAGCCCTTTTTATACATAAGGCACCCTATGAGGCCACTATGTGTTAAAAAAAAAGCTTTATTACAGGATCGGCATCCAGGTTTCAGTCATCCTAGAAATCAGTATCGATGTTTCTCGAAACCCAACATCAAATCCCCTCCAGGAATGACCCAAATACAAGATACGAGAAATGCCTTCTTGCAAACGGCAACATTAGTTTGGCACTTACAGTTCGACCCCTACCCTTTCCTCATCACCCTTGCTTCTCTGTCCCAACCCTTGCGAAGCACTAAATTCGCGACTACGACCCACTAACTGAGGTGAATCGGAGAACTTTGCTGTAATCACTAATGAGAGTAAAGAGCATATACGAAGAACACAGAGAAAAAGTACAAACACACAGCAACATTAGGTCGGCATTTAGGTTGGACGGGATCGGGAACCCTTGCTCTAATCTAATGCCTAACGAGAGTAGAGCACAAATAAGAACACAGAGAAAAACTACAAAACAGACTGGTGCTTTTCTCCGTGTTTGTCGTTTGTGCACCCAACACTTAGAGCTTAGAAAGCCGTCGAGCCCAACAATCAATTTTGTTAATGCTCCCTAACTCGGTTTCAACTGCTTTCCATTTCCACATTAACGATCCTTACTTGAGGGCCTTCTTGAGCTCGGCCTGTTGCTCCTTCTGAGCCTGCTGCTGCGCATCGAGCTCTTTCTTCAGCTCAGCCATCTGCTCCTGGGTTTCTTTGACTTGCTTCTCGGCTTCGGCTTCTTGGATCTTCTCATTCCGTCTGCAGTGGTGACAAGGAAGTTTAACCTGAGACTGTGTTCCCCATTTCCAATTGACTCAGCACAGGTAGCACACACACATACTACAGACGAGAGACTAGAACGCACACAGACATCAAAAACAAAGACCTTAAAGGTTTGCTGGTCACGAAAGACCAAGCAATGCTTTCGGTAAACTTACAGAAGCCATTTCCTTTCTAATAGTTGTTAAATGATATACACTACACTGTTGTTGCATTTCGTGCCATCTGTAAATCTTCTAAAACAAGCAAACCGCATGATGATTGACACTTTTAAACGCTGAAAAGACTTTGTTGGCTAATGACAGCTACATCTGCATATGCATTAACTTTGAGTTTTCAGTTTATCGAAGCTACTTAAAATTAATAGTTCTGCTAAAAATTAACCTGTTCTTTTCCTTTTTTCTATGGGATCTCCCAAGCTTGATACTCTAAGATGTTTAAAAGCAATGACAAATGTGCATCAGCACTAAGGTTTTTACCAAAAACCTAAAAAAAAAAACATGCATTGCAAATGGCTTTACATCACCAGTGATCAATCATTGTTGGTGCCTTTGAGTACCTACATGCACTACTAGTCTCTAATAATAATAATAATGTCACGGGGTCATGACGTGGCCGAAGACAGGAGACTTCGTGTTGGGATTTAACTGTTTATTTGGGCGAACCTGTGCCCGGTAAACAGAAGGTCCAATTACAGCAGCAATCTCGCACAGATAGCAGCCTCGGACTGATAGCGGCGAACGAAGCGACAGCCTTCGATCAACAACTGACAAGCGGCGAAGCGCGTCGGCATTTATACTCTTGCCGTCGAATGTTCTAGCGTTATCGCTGGCGGTGGCGTAGGTTCCAGAACAATCTGTACCGTTCGCACAGTGAGCGTGATCTTATCGAAATGATCTACTACAGTCCGGAACCTTCTCGAAAACTGCAGGCGGGGTTTGCGCTGAGAATCGTGTGGTGTTTTGGGACGATAACAAAAACTTGGGAAATGGAACGTGGCAATAATAATAATAATAATAATAATACAGTATTTACTCAAGTAAAGAGCTCACTTTTTTTTCTTGAAATATTTTATTTATTTATTATTTATTTAATACATACTGCAGACCATGGTTAGGTCCAAGCAGGGGGGCACAAGAAGATAAAATGCAAAAATACAAACAATACAAGCAAACAAGGCACTTATACAGGGGGTAATTCATTCCACTCTTGTATCGTACGCGGAAAAAAAGAGTACTTGAAGGTGTCAGTAGCAGCAAAATATGGGGCGAAAGCATTCGGGTTGTGGTGCCTAGTAGGTCTTGTTTGTAACGGTGACAAGAACGGAGATGGGTCAATGGACAGTGCACCTTTACTTAGTGAAGAATGGAAATCAAGACGGAAGCACTTTCTCCTGGATTCAAGGCTGGGGATTTTGTTAGCAAGCATTATTTGTGAGGGAGAATCAGTACGTGAGTATTTAGAGTAAATAAACCTTACAGCTTTTCTCTGAATTCTTTCTATTTTACGGATGTTGTGATTAGTGTAGGGGTCCCAGACTATACAGGCATATTCGAGCTTAGGTCTAATAAAAGTAAAGTAGCTGAGGAGCTTGACGTTAGAAGGGCGAATTTCTGAGTTTGTGTTTATATCGGAGCAAAGTTGGGATTGCGTTTATTACGCGGGGCAAATTTTATGAAAACTTTTTCGAGGTGAGCAATAAATGCAGTACTAATGCAAAAAAAAGGTAAAGAGGCCCTCAAACACTTTTTTGAGTAACCATGGAATTCATTCACTAGAAAAGCGTATAGCCTCACAAATTCGATCCAGCAAAAAGTTTTAAAATCCGTCCAGTAAGAGCGGAGTTGCAAATATTTATCACAGTGCAATCGCATTCTCTCTTCACTCGTCCCGACGAAAGCTCTGGAAGCTAAGCAGGGAGGGATGGGAGGGGAAAAAAAAAACCTCACGGAAATAGTCACGATCTTATCGCAGCAAGCGATTTTTTTTGTAGTTTTGCAGAAAAATGCAACATGATGGCGACCGATGGCGATAAATGGCCCTTCGCGACAGCCATGGCAACAGTAAATCCTGTCGTCGTCGCTCGAAAACCGCGTGCATGTGGTTGGACCTTGATGTTTCGTAATTGCAGAAAGCGACCATCAGTTGGCGCGAGCAGTTTCGTGACCTTTGCTCGCTGTGAACTTGTGAGCTGCGATATCTCTATACTCGCACCGTCGTGAACTCCGATGTGGCGTATAGATAACTAAATGAGACAGGGGACTGCCGCGCACAAATAGAAAGAAAAACAATACGGCGCGCGGCAAAGGGCGAAGGGGTGGAGGGAGCAAACCGAAGTGGCCGAGGGGGGTAGGCATAATAATATAAAACGGAAGAGATCCTAGGACAAGGAAGCGCCAGGTGTTGGTTAGCGGGACTGCAGTCGATGAATGGAGGGGGTGCGTTTATTAAGCGAGGAAAGAAAATCTAAATTTTGACGACTGATATTGGGGGTGTGCTTATTGTGCGAGTGCAATCATTCTGCGAGTAATTATGATGATGATGATGATGATGATGATGATGATGATGATGATGATGATAATAATAATAATAATAATAATATCTGGAGCTTTATGTCCCAAAACATCGATATGACTTTGATAAATGCCGCAATGGGGGCTCCGGATTCATTGAGCAGTTGGTGTTCTTCGACATCTTACCTTTTTAACGTGCACTGACATCACACAGAACACGGGGCTCTGCCATTTCAGCTCCATGCAAATGCCGCGGCCAGGAACGAGCCCGCAGCCTTTGGGTCAGCAGCCATGCACCTTACTTAACCGCAACATTACCTTGCCGGACTAGTCTCTAATAAAAAAAACATTGTTGCAAATAGTTTTTGCCCGCAAAGATATACCATCATTTTTCAACGATATGTGACTGCTTCTGTGCGAATAAAATCTTGAACTCAATAAACCGTGCGCTAGCTCATGCATGAATCACCTTCACTGTACGTTGTCGTGTTCATAATACAAGAAAAATGCACCCAATACCAACCTGTATAACTGGAATAGCTGGTTCTCAATGACGGCGATCTCGTTTTCGCTCTTCAAGAACTCGACGGCCTCGTCGCGTGCCCCCTTCAGCTCCTCCATGTCCTTTTCCACCAACTTGACGCGATTGAGCTGCCAATGCAAGCATGAAAAAAGCTATGTAGCATAGGTCGGCCAAGTCAATCGCGAGTCGACTCACTGCGACTCGGATAGAGCCGCAAGTCTGAGTGAGTGCATCTGGGAAAAATTTTTGTGAGTATTGGTGAATACGAGTCCGAGTGAGTACGGTTGAGGAAAAGCTTGGTGAATACGAGCGAGTCCGAAAGGCAAAATATACTTCATCAGTGAGTCTGAGTGAACTCCTCGTGTTTCGCTAACCTTTGGAAGTACCCTCAAATCTTGATGCAGTTAAACTGGAAATAAGAAAATCGACAAATTCCCGAAAAAATTTGTTGATGATGATAGATTTGTGGGGTTTAACGTCCCAAAACCACCATATGATTGTGAGAGACGCCGTAGTGGAGGGCTCCGGAAATTTCGACCACCTGGTGTTCTTTAACGTGCACCCAAATCTGAGTACACAGGCCTACACCATTTCCGCCTCCATCGGAAATGCAGCCGCCAAAGCCGGGATTTGATCCCACGACCTGCTGCGGTCAGCAGCCGAGTACCTTAGCCACTAGACCACCGTGGCGGGGCGAAAAAATTCGTTATAAAGAGGATTTCGTTAAATGCAGGTTCGGTACGAAGATTCTAAGAATAATGCACAAATTTAACAAAAAGAGAACTGAAGACAGAGCTCACCCAAACACTTGTTTAGCAGTAAAAACTGTGTTATTATTGGGATAGCAAAATATGCACTTATGTAAGCACTCTCAACAAGTTGTTGCCGTCAGCGCCATGTTCCGTAACAAGTCTAAATTGATAACATGCCCCCTAGCATTGTAACTTTAACGAGTGGCTGAAAGCGCGCGAGTGCTGCTGAAGCAGAGATCAAATTAGCCGGCCCATCTCTATCTCCTGGAGGGAGCATATAATAATATCCCCAGCGAGTTATAACTGCCGTCGAATACTGAAACATAAAAAGATCACCCGCCTTGAACGCACTAATAAAAAAAAGGCAGGGGGAGAGGGGTGCAGTCATGATGGCTTATGCGCCTGTTACCCAGTCAAGCATCAGTCCACATTTACTGCGAGGAGGCTGTGTGAAAAGAGCACTTCTCCCTGGAGTAACCGTATTTGTTTATACCAGGGTTTTGTTGGGCTGGCAGCCTTACTTCTTATGCCATTACAATTTCTTGCTATCGTATTCACTGCATTGCATTGAACGCACCATCATGTTGCTAGAGCTAACCGGCTACTCACGAACTCGCAATGTGGCACAAGACGGTAAGGCGCGTGAGGAGTAGACCTCCAAAGACCCATCGTTGTCACCATGGTCTTGGAGAGCTTCCATGAAGGCCTAATCTGACAGTTCCTGAATAGTTGTCCCCATTTTAAAAAAAGAAAGAGAGAAAGAAAAGGGAGGGGAAAAAACAAACAAACAAAAAGCTGAACGTCCTCGGAGGCCACTCCAAGTGCGCGCAGTGAAACCATGCATGCGCGCACGGCGTCAAAAACGAAGAGCGAACGACACGGATATCGCAGAAAACTACTCGGTATAGCTGTCTCAGTATTCAGCGCGGCCCCCATATATTTGACGTTAACTAAAAGTGAAACAACGCAAAGTGGCATCAGCTGTGTCACTTACAGTGGAGTTCAGACTTCTGCAGCAATCGAAGAGTGGCACTGCCAACGCAAATGTGGTTTTATTTTTCTGTTTTTGGTTTAAAGGGAGGGCCCATCCGCGCATGAGCCTCAGGCTGAAAGAACAGCGGCAACGCCACCTTGAGGAGTGCAGAGCCGTGTGCCAACCTCACGCACACCCGCACGCGCGATCGAGCGCTCGGTTTGTTTTCACCTGGGAGTCGCCGCTGTCACTTCGCGCTTTGTCAACGGCGTGACAACAGTGGAAGGTGCACGCTCATGCTAAAATGACAAAATCCGGGTCAAAATTTCTAGGTTGTCTGTGGCGAAAATTTGTTATATCAAGGATGTCTCCCTGTTTCTTTGTTCCATAGGGGTCGCAAATACATGTGCTTCTATGGAGCCACGGCGGGGAATAGAAAAAATTCGTAATATCCAAACTTTGTAATATAGAGGTTCGTTACAAGCAGGTTTAACTGTATAATGAACCCAGATATAACTAAATATTGATTATAATGAAGCTAAGAATAGTCTTGCAATAAATATAGTGTTAGGAATATATCTTTATAACAAATTTTTCTTAGCATTAGAATCGGGAACATTTCTGCATGCAAAGCGGAGCCACGTAGGTTTTGTGAATTTTATTTTTAGTTAATACCTTTGTTGATTTCGTTTCCACGGCAGGAGATATTCTCGTATTGATGCAGCAAAGAAACTACACTTGACCCCTTGTTATGCTTGGCCCAGCAGTTCGTCTCAACAGATGCCATTGTGCGTGAGCCGGTCTCCGAGAAGGCTTCCAGCCCGATATCGGGGCCCGGTCAGAAGCGAAAAGCACGATGCTGTCCTGCAGGTGGGCCAGGCAGTTTGCTGTGGTTGAGTTACGATGAACTCGACGAAAGCTTCGCGAACAACCCTTTTGTTGAGCCGGGTTGAACAGTGTGAGACGGCAGCACTGTTGCAGTTCTCATGAAGTCAACCTCTCGACTCGGCTATTGTCGCCTACGCGAGGTCGTCGCAAATCGCTGGTAGTTCGGAAGCGTGGGAAGGCGTCGCAGCAGCCGTTCTCAGGAAACAAACACTTGGACTGCCGTGTTCGAGAAACTTCTGGTACACTGCAGCAGAACGACAGCTGCTGATGTTCGTGGCAGCGGCCACCTTCTCCCCAGAGGAGCTCGGCTTTACCTCTCCACCGGACTCTACCCCCTCTCGTCCTGCGAAGTCTTCAAGGCGTGGGCCGGGTGCGTCGTTGTGTGGTGCGCTTGTGCTACCCATTGGACATTTGCGCCTGTATTCCTCGTCAGCTGAGTGGTCCAATATCTGCACCCTTTCTGGTGGGTGGATCACCGAGGCATAACGTCACCTGATTTGTGGCAACAGTGGTCCCCGCCTTCTTAGGACTGCCGTGTAAGGAATCTACGGGCTGTTAAAGTTGCAGGAGGAGGTTGGTGATGGCATCCCACCGCTGCCACCAGTTGTTGAGAATGGGGGTCTACCCGGTCTCTTGTGGTAGCGTGGCGTAACAACGGGTGAAGAAAATAAACGCACGAGCGTGGTGGTTGAACCGTTGCATGATTCAGAGCGACGTCCAGCACTTTGCGGTGTCGTTTTAAGCCCTGTCGGGCTCTTCCTCTCTGAGTAGAACACCAACCACACACACACAACAGGTGAGGGGGACGAGCATGCACGGCCCACAGCACGTCCAATATTGAGTCGTGATCACTGCACTGCAAGGTGGCGCCAGCAGGGCTCTTCCTCCTCGTGTGTGTGCCGCTAGTCGAGAGGTCCCAAGATCCTGACAGCATACATCAAAGGGTCCGCCGATCTGTTCGCTCAATTAGCGGGGTGATTTGCGGCGGCCGCCACGATCTCTTCCAAGGAAGATGCTACCTTTGTTGTCCTCTCTGGAACGGTTTACGGCGTCGTGGCGACACGACATCTCATCCTCCGGCTAGCAGGGACAATGCCTGACGAGCATAGGCAGCCGGCCGGTCGGCTACTTGATTGAGGATTAAAAGAGCGCCGCTCCCCCGTCAGCTCTGGTGCCGGTCACAACAGCTTTCCCCGTTGCCAGATGAGTCGCCGAGGTCATCAGGCACCGCTGCTGCTCAAAGGGACGACGAAAGGGTCCGCATTTGAAAGTCAGGAACTCGCCTTTGCTTGCCACATGGTCTGGGTAATTGCCGAAATCTTCGACAGCGTCTGGAAGACTGGGCGCCGATGGAGTTGAGAGCCTCCCCAGTAGACCGGCTTACGCACAATGGCGTCTGCCCAGATGAATCGCCGGGCCAAACGTAACAGCTCTTCCGTCGCCCGGAAAATCTCGGCTAGACAGCGCTCCCAATCGTTGGGCACGAAGAGAATGGCTGGTGACAAGGACGATGGCCTGCTTTTGACCCTCCAGCTGCGAACTCGTAACCGACTCCCAAACCAGCTGACAATGATCGACAACAGCAAGGCTAACCACACAACATAGTACCATGCTGCAGTCAAGCACATTGAACCCGCTTAAAACCCTCCAGGCTTCTCAAGAAACACAAACAAAAGAAAAACCTGTATGCTAAAATTTTGAGACAATTTGGTGCCGCCAAAGTTACAACAATCATGGACGTGGAGATGCCTACCAAAGATGGAACAAATTGCCGTGCGTGAAAAGCACACAAAGGCAAATTCAATTTGGCCCCATATAACCGTAATCACACTTTCAAAGCTAACCTACAACCATCCGCACCACTATGTTGCAACTAACATCTGTTAACTTCTCACTAACTTAATAAAACACAAACACATGGTTTTCATACAAATGCTGCCAGACCCTATAGACAAGGTACTTGTGCACATTCTTCATTCTCTCAATACATACATTTAAGGCATAGTCGTGAGTACCTACTTGTAGGACACCCTGACACCAATGAAAACTCACTCGCAATAGATCAAACTGCGTCTTATAAATCATAGAAATGTATCTCTAGCCTCAAAATTTGGTGAACGCAATGCCCTTAGCTCAAGTGATCATATGATCCCTAAGTAATCACAAAAACAACAAATGAAGGGAATAAACCTCTCATACTACACGCTCATTTGTTGAATGTAGCTTCATGTCAGCCCATGTTTTTAAAGAACGCACATGACTTTGCTGTGCGCCCTAGCATGACGTCTTACTTTCATCCAAAGAGCGCTAGCATACTAACACACACCTAACCAAGGTAAATCTCTAAAACCAAGGCAATGCTAAACATGCATCTTAATTGCTTAAATCTTCGACAGCGTCTGGCAGACTGGGCACTGATGGAGTTGAGAGCCTCCCCAGTAGACTAGCTTACGCACAATGGCGTCTGCCCAGACGAATTGCCGGGCCAAACGTAACAGGGCTATAAAAGCCGAAGACATTTTGTAAATAAGAGCGGAATCTGAACTGAATCTCTGTACAGTTTCAACTTTCTCATAATATAAACAAACCTTTGTTTTATCACTAAGAACGCGTTTCCTCACTGGCGAGTATCGGCTATGTGGACGACGGTGGGAAGCCAGCTACCATAAAGAAACTCGCCGTACCTGCCATCAAACCTCATACCCCCTAGACCCTGTATAGAAAACGTGCACCGGGGAGAGATTCTTATCTTTTATATTAGGTGTCCCTTATAAGCAGGGTATCATGTATGCATTTTCTTGTTAACACCTATTTCAAGATAGGCACACTGGTGTCTCATACCCATTTGTCTCTTACACCAGTGTCTCTCATAAAGGGGTTAGGCTGTTATTACAAAGCACAGTATCATTTGAAATAGACACAATTTGGCTAGTTACAGAAACGAGACCGGGAGCACTCGTGTGGAAACTTCAGCAAGTAAGCTTTGTCCTCACTATGCTTCGTTTGATTCGGAGCTTCTACAAACTGCGGTTACAAGTAACTGTGTCGGCACAGAATGCAGAAGAATTGTGCTATAGAAGAGAAAACAATAGTCCGTGTTTTTTTGAATGAGAATCCTCAGAACTGTGCCACCTTTGAAACTATTCTAACTTTCAAAAAGACCTGCATGGCCCAAGCAAACATTCTCAAGGCCGTTAGGCATATCACCGAGGCGCAACAGTGTTATATTGTAGGGCGAGATCGACCACCATCGACAGTGTATTTGGCAATTATAGAAACAGAAGATACAACAAAACAAGTCAGGAAACCAAGAAAACGAGAAAAAAATGCGAAAAGCGGCCCTGTGTAATAATAACTACATGGAACGTTGCCATTTGTTAAATTTCTCAGTACACCATCTTTAGAACAAAATATGAAATAAACTTGTTTTTTCTTTAACTCTCAATATCCCAAAATAATTTTTGCTACCTTCGCAGTTTTTTAATATGAAATGTCACAAAAATGACTTGCTTTGCTGAAGAAAATCACAAAAATGTGAATTGAAATACAATCGCAGTTCTAGTTCCATTGCAAGAAGAGACACCGCAAATAAAATGAAACTAACCTGAGCACTTTACTTTAGTAGTTTCAAAGAAAATGGGCCTTAAAGAAGCCCTAAATACACAGGAGGTATAGGGGCCTATTCTATACCCTTAAAAGGCCAGCAAACAACACCGAAGGCTGTACTGGAATTCATGCCGAGCTGTCTATGATGTTGGCACGGTACTGGGAGACAATGAACATCACAGCGCCAGTTAGTATGCTGCCCTGAGTCATATTTATAAGGACTTTTGATAATTCGAACTCCTGATAATATAAAAAGAAATCCTGAAGTCCATATAGAAAGAAATCCTGAAGTCACCTAGGGTTTAAATTATCAAGAGCCCACTGTATGGCATAACTGATCTGATGCCAGTCTACTTGTGTACAGTAATATGAGTGCATTAATTTCGTAGCACCAAGGTTTCAACTTAGCAGAGGCCCCTAGGCATAAAAAAGACATTGTTTCTTTTTTCATGCCTCAATGTCTAATAGTATGAATGACTATAGCCTAAACAAACCCTTTGCTTCACCTTGCCGTGAGATAGCGCTTTTAACAGCTCTCCATGCCAACATAAAACCAACATTTCTAGTTAAATTGGGAACAGCATGTTCGAATGACCATGTTTTAACTTCCTTGCTTTCATGACGTACTACTGGTGGTGAATCTCTATGACAACATGCCACACAAATGCAAGCACAATGACGTAAGCACACCTGCATAGTGACCGCACCAAGATCGGTCACTGTGCCAAGTATTTGTAAACACTAAAAGGAGCCGCCAATTAAGTTGAATCAAAACTGAAGCTCTTTTAATGAACACCCCAACCCCACCACTTACCTTTTCCGTCCTCTCTTCGCAAAGCTTATCAATGCGCTGATTCAAAAGCTCGATGGGTTCCTTGTAGCGGGAACTACCGACGATGTCTTCGAGAAACTCGAGCATTCCTTGGTCATGCTCAGTCTGCGCCTTAGGCTTCATCAGAGCAATCTGCTCTACTTCTCCCTAATAGGATAAAGAAGATGCAACCTGTTCAACACTAACATTTCTACATCAAGGTCAACTAAACACAGGCAACATTTCAAGCAAAACACGTGTTGCTATCAAGGTATTGGCAAAGGAAAGCGGGCAATAATAAAATGGAAGATCCAGCTTCTCTGCTGTGCCAGTGGATCACAGCCATTAACGTAACTGGGAGGGGTGTGGGGGTTCATGCCTCCCCCCACCTTTGTGGAATTTTTCAATTTTGCACATTATATATCTATACGCACACATACAAATGCATTAACAAACTTACATAAAGTATGTAAGTTTGTTCAAGTATGCAGTTTGTTCAAAGGATTCAATCAAGATCAAGAAATTCAATCTGGATCAGGCCATATCGCTATCTAAAGTGACTGTTCGACACCAGTGTAAGCCACCTCTATATGCCATTTGAGCTCAGGATACTTGCAAAATTACAGGCTTGTGTGAATATTTTAAGCCTTCAAATATTTGTCTGAATATTAAAATATTCCAATTTGCTTCAATTCAAACTTAAGTTATGGCAAATTTCAAAATATTTGCAGTGAATGAATATGCATATATTGATCTGCATGTAACTTCCTATAAAAGTGGTTTCGCTGCAGTGAAGGGTGCTGGGTCTTGAAAACACCTATGAAGAAAAAATCCACATTGCCGTGCAGCCCCACTTAAGACGTTAAACATACTTGTTACTCTCACACTGATTTAAAAAGTCAAATACTGCTACTTTTGAAAGTTTTTTTCCTCTTTCTTTGAAAGAAAAAGAATCACATTTGCATAAGCCTTGTGTCAATTAAAAAAAACATTTTGCAGGTTAGTAAGGCCCCACAAATATGCCAATTTTACTTTATAATATTCAATATAGACTATTCAAATTCGATTCGAAATTATTCGACCAAATCACTATTTGTTTCAAATCTAAAGTTTACTATTTGCATAAGGCTACATTATAGAACACGAGCAAACCAAGAGAAAGGCAAGGACCTGGAGAATCAGAAACCGGTTGTGGTCAAGATCGATTCCAAAAGAGCGCAGTGTTTTTGTGGCCTCCTTGTAAGTGCAACGCTTGCCGTTCACAGTGTAGTAGGACGAGTTGTCTCGATGAGCCGTCCTGCCGACTACAAACTCCGAGTTTGGAACCACCTCGAATGTGTTCTGGTCCTACAATAAAAAAAAAGGTAAAAGAAAAATAAAGAGAAAAAAAAAGTAAGCAGTGGCATTACTACACTCACTGACAACCAAAGAATTTCACAAAGGCTCCGTTTGCCTATAGTCAGCGCCAAGTTATGGGTACAACGTGCCACCCAATAGGCAGGTCAAGAGATTCTGAATGTTTAGCACAGTTAACTGCACTGTACAGGTGTACCATATTTCATTTGTATAAAAAAAAGAAAAAGAAAAGACTAAAGAACCTTGAGCACGCAAATTACATATAAAAGAAAAAAGGGGAAAGCCTTACTGCTTGCCACAGCTATATTTGTTTGGCCTGACATATACCACAGCTGCACTTAGGTGCGCTAGTACTAACTCAAGTAGATACAAACTTGGCACACCGGATACTCATGCAGGGGTGGAATAGCCGAAATACAATTTGGAGCAGTTTTTGGAGCAGCAAAATGTTACTTTTGGGGCACTAAATGCCATATTTGGAGCAGGTTGCACAAAAAAACATGCGTTGTTCATCATTAAATACCAAATTTGGAGTGGTATATGAAAAGAAGGCTTACATTTAGAAAAAAAAATATGCATCAACCGTTCAACATTGCCTAAATCGTGCAGTGTGAACATGAGCACTGCTATTTTAATGAAAGTAGCATTGTGAACCACCCTGCTGGGCAGACAATGATATAGTCCATATTAGCATTTGCTGCATCTGTCAAATCATTTGACATTCAAATATCAATCTGCCAAGCTGGCGCCCTTGAAATTGGGAGATTCGTAAAACCGAGAAGTAGGGGTGGCGAAAAAAAAAACTGGCACACAATTTAGTTTTTTTTTATTGAAGCAGAAGTGTTATACACTGCTTCAAATGATTGCCAGTAGCTTATTCAGATGTCAGTGATTATACTGGTAATTGTGCGGCCTACACACGCATGAGTGGCTGAGCAAAAAGTGCAGTGTTCCACTAGCGCTAACAGCCACTTCTAAATCTCAACACGCTTTTCTGCAGAGCACCAGTGTACTGAAGCGAAGGTGTCTCATATAGCCATAGAGTTTCATACAATAATACCATGAGGGGAATCTGGCACTAGTGGGTCTACGTGGGTTCCTTCAGCGGCACTTGTACCCCTATGAGAATTATGGGAAGTACAGGCTTCAGATCTGCTTCGGATGGATCACGTTCTTGAGATTCGCGACGCCCGTTTGCTTAGTGTAAAACAAAATGACACGAAGTTACGTCTAATTTAAACTTGTTTCATTTTTTTGTACACAAACTTTATTGCAAAAGGTTTTTGTGACAAGGCAGTAGAAGTGAAACCTGGACAAATTTAAGCGCCAGGTTTGGCAATGCTCTGGCATTGCGTTTCAGATTTGGCATCAAGATGTAATGAATTATTCTTTACATTTCAAAACAAAACTTCTTGTTCTGCCCTTGAAAGTATGCAACATCTATTTATGGAAATAACAGCATAGTATTAAGTGAGAAAAACTTAACGTTTCGTCTGCTGCGATGTCGGGTGCGTCTGTTCAAGTGGTCTGCCCCCAACGCACCTGTCGTTTTGTTGTGAAGTCGAGTCAGAAGAGCATGGCGGTGCGTCTATTTCGCGTCGCCGCCGTTTCGCAGTTGATTTCAACGAGTTTTGGTAAGACGCACTAACAACAAACGTGAACTCGATGTATCTAATATCTTGCACTGGCATGGGATGCTACATATATGCGCAGCGGTGAGTGAACAATGCTTCGCTTAAACTGTCAAACACAACTTATACAGCTCCAGCATTACAGTGAATTGAAAGGCCTAGCAGTTTTCAACTTCTTTAAAAACAAAGGTGCAGCTTCAGTCCTTTGCACTCACCACACTAGCCACTCTACGCGAAAAATGAAACTGAAACTGTAGAAAAAAATCCGTAGACTGTTCACTGACTAACGCGATCCAATCCGAAGCCTGTACTTCGCATAATTCTCATGAGGGCACACAATCGCAGTTCCAGATTCCTCTCTAGGTATTATTGTATGAAACTCTATGGTTACAACCAAAGGCAAGAAATTTTCTAACTGCTACACCAACACCCCACTTCCCACCCTTTCTTTTTTTTTTCATCGTGGGGTTAGGTACCGCTTCGGCTCCCTTGCAAGGCACGTTTGACCAGGTAAAGTAACAACCACGTGCGCCCGTTGGCCCGACGACAATACCAGATATCTATTGCTGGGACCGTGGCAGGGATGATGCAATTCAAGGCAAAAATAAATGTTTCATGTGCTATTGCTAAAGCAATCAACGTGACTGCCGGCAACGCCAGCTTTCGCAGCACGTCCAGCTTGTTCGCGTGAAGAAAATGCAGCACACGCTTTTAGCTACAGCTCTTTACAAGCCATAGCCGTTGCTTCAGGCTAAGAAATCTACATCTCCCGTGAAAAGTTAGTGGCTACAGCAACGCATTTTTGTCTTGAAATTCCATCGCCCCATCGATAGGTACTCGCTGAGGACAGCCGACTGATGGGCGCGCAGCATTGTTACTTTATCTGGTCGATCGCGTCTCGCGAGCGTATGGCTGGTGCCTAGAATATTTTAAGTATATTCTAGGCATTATAGTTCGGGTCTGCAAAGTTTCGACTGATGGCGCGAACTGCAAGTGGCCAACGTAGCCTGCATTTCTCGCCGAAAGCAGCACGCCTGTGAAAAATTTTGAGGCTGGCTGAGCATTTTGACGCAGCGCAGTGCAATTTCAGCAAATTTCATGAGTTTGACACAGCTCGGCGCAACAATCAAGAACTGTATCAAATTGGCGCAATCGGTGCAGCTGTTCCACCCCTGCTCATGCTATAAATGATGCCACAAGAGAATCAGGCCAACAGCTTTTGCTAGGCTGAGTTGCAGATTGCAATGCTTAAATTACACCATGCTTCAGCGCCGATACCCAAGCGGTATCGCTGTTGTGCACAACCAAGAGAACGTTGAGGGCTCGAGTTTGCTGTGCAAGACTAGATTAATTTGGCCACCTGGATTCTTTAATGTGTCCAGTGCTCAGAGATTAAAACAGATCAAAACTTTGAGCATAATAGCTAACAAGTGCACTTGCTCGGGATAACCACGCTATGTTGCTTCGAATATGGCCATTAGAGATGGTGTCAACTCATATACTAATGTTCAAGCCAATATTACAATGATGGCATAGGAAAAGACTATGACGGAAACGAAAGCACGGGTGCCCCACCTAGGCCTAGAATGTTGCACTTCACTCCATGTGCACTGTAATTAAGCCTAAGCACCCAGCAGGTGTAGCATTTCACCCTCGTTGAAACTAAGCCACCACGCATGAAAATCAAGCTCATCCCCTCATGTTAGAAGCGCAATACCATAATTGCTAAGCCATCACAGTGGTTTGAGCAAAGAGATGTTGCAACATACCGTGTCGACGATTTTCTGAAAGTAGACATTCACGGTGCAGCTGTCCAGGTTATTATGGCTCGTGCTGTTGTGGATGAGAACACCGACTTTCTTGGACCGGATTTTTTGCGCCCGGTAACCGAAGACAAAGAGCATAGAGTCGATGACGTTCGACTTGCCACTCCCGTTGGGCCCAACAATGGCTGTAAAATTCTGCACCAGAAAGTTGAGACACTATTACACTTAGGATTTCAATATAGGACACAAAACAGGCACCTTTACAAAACGTTAGTGCGACCAGCTTTCTAGTAAAGTTGCTTAAGTTGGGATTTTCATCATGTTTACCTTAAAGGTACGTTGGAAAGCACCCAAAGTAAAGGGCTGCAGTTCATTTACTCTGAAATATTTCCATTTGTGGTAATAAAAGCACTGCTTAAAGTGTAAACTTGCTAGTGTATTACAAGCTGCTGCAATATCTGTTTCTCATGTTTTACTTCGCTTAAGGTAGTGTAGCTGAACGCAAGCATCTGAAACAGCCCCTTCATTGTTCAAGTAGAAACTGTCAGGATGAGTTCCTAGGGCAGTATGCCACAGGCTGAGACGCACATCCACGTTCGCTCCTTCCTTTCCCTTGAGACCTACAGGTATAGAAAATGTTGCGGGAGAAAGTTGGCAAAACAAAACAGTGTCGACAACTTCTGTGGAAAAACTGAAATCGCACTTCCTTACATAGCAAGAATAATGACACATACACTTTTTATCCATCTGCAAGTTAACCTGCTTAGTAACCAGCTACATAGTGGTACCATTTGACATGCATTATCGATTTGTCTGTTGCATGTGTGATTGTTGTATTGGGTAAGCTTAGACGCGCATTTATACCAACTCCCTGAGATAGCCTGTGCAAGGCTGGCAGTATTTGCGGCCTAATAAAGGAATCAAAGATTACAAACACGATATTTTCACATTAAGGCTTCCAAGAGCTGTTCCGACTATCATTCGCAACGTAGTTCTCGTAAAGCAAACATTTCTATTTATTTCACTGAAAAAATACAGAGAATTGGCAAACTGCCCATACGCTTACCTTGTGAAACGGTCCAATGATCTTTTTGCCTGCATACGATTTGAAATTGATGTTCTCGATCTTCTGTATCATGAGCCGGGGCCCCGTCGGATCAAACGTACATGATGCAGGTGGTGGTGGTGGGACGTAAATGTCGTCAATGCCTGCAGGCAGTGAGAAACGGATACAAATTGATCAATTAAAACTGAACTGCTATGGCGACAAACTGTGTTCTTGTTCACCTGCTCACAGTGGCGCATACCCACTATGGGCGAAAGCCATGTGTTGAACGTTGTTGTTTTTTTTTCTGGACATGGCACATGCCCAATGGAGGGGATTGGTAGAGTAGAAAGTGAATTTTCCTGATACTTTTGCATTGCTTCATTTCTAGGAACGCTTGATAGTTAATGATTTGAAGTGCCAATTGCCAGTTTGAAAGTATGCAATGCACGCACAATTTAGCAAGGTAACAATTTGTCACAGTGATATATTCCTGAGCCGCAAATAAAGTATCCCTGAGGCTGCATCAGTGAAGTCAGGTTCTCTGAATTGCAGGCCCAGTTTTCGAAGAGGTGGGGCTGGTGTACTGTTCGTGAATAAATTTAACCGGTGAAAATTTCAAAAAATGACATCATTTCCTCCTGATTACAGTCGATGCACATAGGGCATTTCAATAAACCTGATTTATGCAAGAAAAAATTGAGGGAGGTAAAGCGGCAAAAAAAAAAAAACGTTCTTCAGCGCTACACAAAATTAAGAAGCCGTGATAGTTTTCTTCTGAACATAACTCATACACAGTCGAAATTCCACAGTAGTCACTGGTAGAGGTGAGTGCATGACTTCCTTTACGCACGCTTCCGCGAAAAAAACGTGCGAATGTCTACTTGGTTTTGATTTAATTTCTGTATACTATGGCACATACCCACTCTGTGGGAGTGGCCACGAAAGCGTAGCGTAACCTATGAATGAGCATTGCAATAATGGCAACTTACGGAAACCCCCCTCTTCGTCGTCATCCTCCAGTTCTTCTTCGTGGTTCTCTGCGATGTTGTTATCCGCCATCGTGGACCTTTCAACACTACGGGCACTGCTGAGAGAAGAGGAAGTCGAAACAGCGGGCGATCAGCCGCGGTTTTGAATCGAGGGGGTTGAATCTTCACGCTGAACAGTTCCCGCAACAGTACTCGTCGGAAATGCGACAAAACGCGAAAGAAATGGGTAGAAGGCTAATAAAAAAAGCGAATTATCGTAAACGTAGTAACCCTGCGGTACTGTTTTCTCGGCCCTGCGCTATAATTTTCGAAGTTTTCACGGTGTAAACGCGATTCGTAAGTTGAATTACCACCGTTGGTTTTCTATAACAACGGCCAAGTACGCGCCACAGAACACCTACCAGTTTGATGATGATGATGATGCAATCACCGCCTGTTGGTTATACCCGTCTTAAATATTTGTCAACTAAAAGAAACAACAAATACAGCTATAACACGCGTTATTTAAATACGTTGCAAGTTGACAAAATAAATACAAAATTTAAAGGATATGTTTTAAACAAAGCGAGCATTTATATTGCGTCACAGCGGCCATGCCGTTATATTTTTTTCAAATATTTCTTTTATTCTCTCTGAGAGGCGAAGCGCACTTTACAGGGCGCAGCCTTGCTTGAGCTTGGAAAGTTGCTGGAGATCGCTACGCCGACTGCTTGCTCGACGTACGACACATCGCGAATACAATCGCGCACATTAGCAGGTGTTTATGCTGCTGACCGCACCGAGTACCGGAATTTGTCATCAACTGCTGCGATCTACCGACGGCCCTCAATCGCTACGCGCTGAAAGACCATGACGGATGAAGCTACGATCATGGGAAAACTGGAGTGCCTCAAGGAAATAAGGTAAGCGCTCATTGTTTTCACTCGTTTGCAAGAATCGTCCATTCCTTTTTAACCTGAAGCGCTCGATTACTTCGCGGTTAAAGACACGAAGAACGGCTTTCAATGCGAAGTGTTTACGAGTTTCCATAGTCGGGACGCCAACACCTTTTTGCGCTGTAAACTATGCTCCGCTTGATTTCCCCGTTAATTGCACGCGTGCAATCTGTGGTCATATGTTTCGTTCAACTACGCGCGGTCTGTGCAATCAAATCGAAAGCAGCGTTAGTTTAGCTACTGTCCTGATGCTTCTGGATTGGCCGTGATGTGACGTTTACATCGGAAAGCGTCGTCTGCGACATCACCAGATGGTTTGCGGTTTTTTAACGGCGTGTTAGCCTGGCTTTGCTATTTGCGCACCGTCGTCAAGAAAATACAACGCCTGCAAGTGTAGCGCACGATGCAGTAGTTCATGTCGGCCGGCATTTCACTATTGAAAATTTTACCCGTGATGTTGACTCCGGAGGCACTGTATCTAGGTGCCTCAAACTAACGCTCGCGTTTGTTCCTTGATAAAGTGCCCTAAGAAATAACAGAAAAAAATTTTATTATCGCCTGACGAGACGTTTCCCTGCCTTCGACATTTACTGTATTCTTAATGTTGTTCTTTGTCGAATTCAACTAAAAGTGTCAGGAAGTACTTTCAAAATGAAGAAGCAATTACAAGATTCAGGAGTAAAGGTAAAAGGAGGGCTCATGCATTAACTATAGTGTTGACAATTCTGTTTAGCATGTAGGAGCTATGCATTTGCGCAAAAACACTCGCTCTTACTAGGCACAATCAAAGATGCTCGCCCTCAAATGAGGCTGACTATAGTGGAAAAGGTATCTCTAACCATCTCGATTATTTGCACCTAACTTGACTTAAGGTAAAACTGTGTGAGAGCGTGCATTTGCTTTTCCACGGTTTTATTAATGAAACTTCGCTCTCTATCCAAGGGCCCGCACGGTTCAGATGGAAAAGCTCAAATCAAGGCTTCGCGGTGAAATAGAAGCGACGGAGAGCGAAGAACGCTGCCTCCAAGAGTACAGACACGAGATGGAACTTTTGCTTCGGGAGAAGATGGCCCACGTTGAAGAGCTGAGGCAGATCCATGCGGACATCAACGTGGTAGGTGGTAGCTTTGGATTTTGATTCAGTCCCTGCAGTAACTCACAACCTGACAATGCCACGCTTGAGCGGTTCTGTTGGTAGAACTCTACATAGACAGCACTGTGCATATTCTACCATGTGAAAAAATCTTGCACTGAACGAAAGAGGGGAATTAATCACGGGCTGTTTTTTTGTGTGTGTGTGTTTGACACGCAACCAGGCTCGTAGCAGGGGAGGCCATAGCCCCCTCCCCCTTCTTGAAATCCTGATGGAGGGGGTGCTCTATCAAAAATAAATAATTAAAGTAAGTGTTCTTGTCAAGTAATCTATGCCTTCAGCAAGCTCTCCCTCCACGCGAAAAAAATTTCTGGCTGCAGGCCTGGGCACAACCTTATAAAACCAAAAATGATGCTAAGGAACTTATAGGGGACATTACTGGCATATAGTTCTAGCTGGACTATAGTATTTACTTTCCATTTATGTCATACTTATTATACTATAGTTAAAAGCATGCAAGTAATGTTTCTTAGGTTTATTGTCGGTTGATTCGATTAGGTTGTGTCTAACACAAGTTTTGCATTGGGACATGCATGGTGTTGCACACCTCTACATCGGTGTTAGTTTTTCATGGGTTTGTACATTGTGCCTGCTTAGGGCAACTAACTGCTTAAATTTTGTTTTAGCAGTAGTGTCAGTAATTTATGTTTGAATTGTGTTGTACAGTTCAATATACAACACTGGCAGCAGAGAGGCACACATTGAGAGCACTGCTTCTGTCATCCATCTTGTCGCACTTTACAAGTGACTTCAAAGATGTATCATGACCATGTAGCATGGCTGTCGGTTCTGTTATGTGTCGTAAATGCAGTATTGCAGTGGCATCTTCAGTTTTTCTTACTAAATTTTCTCCTCTCAGATGGAGACGGTAATCAAGCAGTCTGAGGAGGACAGGAACAAGCACCTCGACGGGGCTAAGCAAATGCACCACGAGTACAAGCCACTCAAAGATCTGGTCGACAAGCTCCGGTTGGAGATCGGCCTCTCCAAGCTGCCAGAGCTGCACGAGGAGGACCAAACCTTCAAGCCAGAGTCAGTGGAGTCTCCGTGCTCTCTTAATCACTCAAAGTGAAACCCCAAAGAAGTTGAGACCGATACATTACTGAGAACCTTATCTTCATTAACTTGGAACACAGATTCATTGTTAGTAGAAAAATTCAGTCTCCGTATTGAATTTTCATGGCACTACTTTGGTACATGAAAATCGGTGGGTGTGTTACAAACTTCAAACTTTTTTTTTAGCCGTGCAATTTTGGCATGTTGGCTCAGTAAAGTACTTAAAGGTTGTCATGCTGAGTCTTTCATTCCCTTAGAAGACAGTGTAACAATTTTTAGTGATAAATAATTATGTAGGCCCTTGGAGATGGCGTTGAAACCTGCAACATCAGCACAAGTTTTTGCAGGAACCTTCGCAACAACTCTGAGGCTTGGCAAGTAAACTAGTCATCTCGTGTAGACACTGGTAATGAACGAAAATTTCTGCAATTGACCTATTTAGGAAATGGAAAAGTGCCGTGACAGTACAGTCAAAAAAGCGTTGTGTCGGCTCCTGCAGAAATGCGGTGTGGGACTTGAGGAATGTTGACTAAGCTTGGTGTTGGTGCTATTATGCAGGTTTTTCGAGAAGCAGAAGACCGAGTGGCACCAGAGCGACCTGACCGAAGCAGCCCTGCCCCCGTCCCTGGCCGCGGCCGTGCAGCAGATGCAGCAGCCGGGGAGGAGCAAGGCTCTCGCCGAACGCCCACAGCCCTCGGCCTTCCGCCAGCAGCCGCCGCCCATGAAGGCCAGTGCCTCTGGCACTTTCTATGCCATTCGAAGCATTATGTTGTCTACAAACAATGCTTATTCGTCAAAACATGCTTTCCTTTCTCTAATGCTTGTGGGCCACTGCTTCATTATTTTCTATTATGATAAAATAATGCATCTTGTATGCCCCAGAAGACGCAAACTTTTTTTAGACAGTGGAGCTCCTTTATTACATTCCTCAACGGGCTACAGAAGAGCCAATAGTCTGGGAAAACAATAAGTCACTGTACAGTTTCAAACAATACAGTTTCTGTTACAGTTGCGAGACTGGTGCTTCATTGCATGTGCCTTGAAAGTAGCAAACGGGAATGTATCAGTAAAGTTTCAATGTATGTACTGAAAGACAGTCGCTGAATTCCTAACTCAGCCTTTGCATTTACGCCGCTGTTGTAAATTTGCACATACAGCAATTTAACACACGGTTTATGATAGCAGTTGCTGCATTCATCTGAGCTGTGCACCAGAAGACGATGCCTCAATCTTGGCCATCACGAACGCCCATAAGGATGCAGATGAACTTAAGCACTGTGTTGTAAGGGAAGCTCCTACAAGGTTTATATCTGGTATGTATCTTGTATTGCAGGCGTGCTTGTCCTGTCACCAGCAAATCCATCGCAACGCACCCATCTGCCCTCTCTGCAAAGCAAAGAGTCGTTCCAGGAATCCGAAGAAGCCAAAGCGCAAGCTGGAAGATTAAGTACTTCATGCGCACTTTGAGGTCTCTTTGTATTGACCTATTCTGTTCTCTTTGTCTTTCTAATGGTGCCGTTCGGGCCCTTTCCATGACAAGATTTAAAGGAACAACTTTTTGCACACACAGTATGACAATGAAAAGGCAACTATGTTAACATAACACAGAATGTATGATCTGTTGTGTATATTTAGTTGACCCACAAATGGCGTTTTTTGTTTGACGAATGATCGCCTGGCAGAGCGGTCACCAGAATTGCATGTTTACTGTTTGTAAGCACCACATGCACGTATGGCTCTGTGCCTACTCAAACGCTGCTGCTGTCGGCGTTTAGTTTTTCCAAACTATCTTACGAGAATGCTAGTGTATTGTTTTTACAGTGCTTTGCAGTACATGTAGTCAATAAATTCTTCTTTCCCATTCCCCAGTAAAGTTATTTTATCTTCATGTACTTTCTCTTGTTCTCATATATTGACATCATCGTGGCCAAATTTCTGCAAAACAGAGTTATGCCATGTCCTCTCTGGAAGCGAGTCAGTCCTAAAATTTTTGTGTGTTTATTCAGTTTGAAGTTAGGCAAGTTTACATTCATGCAAGTAAGTTTTATGAGTTATATTAACTTGAACATTCTACTTACAAATGTTATCATAATCTACATAATGAAAGTTTATGCTCTTGGCTTGAAATCAAAGACTTAACATAGATCAACTAAGTTTAAATAAATATGGGTCACTTATTGTTTGCTCCTTTGATTCATGATGGATGGTAATTGTCTAGTATTTTTCCTAACCACTGATGTACCTTTTTACTTGAAGGTTTGCGATCTGCTGCTATTATACTCCGTGCTCGTGTTTATATGTGCCTTTATAATGCCATAGTTTGATTTTTTTTGTGCAGTTCACTGCTGATAATCTATAATGCAGAGAAAGAGCCTCAGTTCGCTGATGTGTACATTATATTGTAGCACAGTCAGTTGGTAGCTTAGCCTTGGCTACGAGCCTCAGCACGTTGTTCGGAAATGCATGCCAGGTGTAGCTTCGGTTCGTCATGCATTGTGCAACCCATTACATCCTCACTCGTGCTTGTATTTGCTTTATATTTGTGTCATAATTCATTGATGGCATAGAATTAGCAGAAATTATGGGCCTTTCTTAAAAGCTGTTTGTGATTTCTTGCACTTAATTTTAATCCAAGAGGCACCACCCGCTGTACGTGACCTTGGAGATGTTAAGACGGTGTGTGTGCCATGGCATGTCACAAGGGCTGCAAAATCTTTGAGCCCACGAATTTTAAACTACTCCTGCCACTTTGTATTTTCTGGCACGACGTCCTAAAATTTCTACAAACTCGAAGCAACAACAGACTGTGCTGCACATATGAAACAGGAATTAGAAAGCTCTGTTCATTTGACATCGAGAAAGCAGTAGATTAGAAATTGTAAAAAAAAAATGGTGTATCTATTCAAAACATGAACGCTGCTGATGACTCAAGCATACAACAGTAGCTGAATGCTCTCGCTCCCTCCTCACCAAGCTTTTTCTAAACTTGTGCAAATATCACTTTTTTGGCCTCAATGCAGTATATTTACTACAAAAGCTTTTATTTACATGTTGTCTTCGTTACATACTAGTCTAATTATACAGTTATTTGCATCAGCACGAAACAAACATGTGGTGCTACATATGTGCAGTCTACTATCCACTTTGCATGCAGACTAGCAGTCTTGCTCATTGCCATTTGCTCCGGCTGCTGAGCATTGTGAGAAAGCTTGGAAAGTATTTAATCACGCTTCCACCAATGACTAGCCGGGTAAATTGAGTAACTGATGCAGTGAAGCTAAGCTGGCTAAACATATTGTTATCACCGTCGTGACTGATTGCTCTGAAAAATGCTGAAAAACATTGCATACCGAGTGTGAAGGCAACTTTCTGGCTCCCGTGAACTTTATCAACTAAAATGAGCAGGACTTCGCAATCAGTGGCGAGTTACGTGCCATTTTTAAGACAAACAATGCTCCTAGGCACTGCTCACATGCTACGAGGCTCCCGGTTGGCCCATAGCCACCACAGCCAACATATTGCAAGGGGGCATGAAAATGCAGCAAGTGTAGAATGTTCGTTTTGTAGCATTATCAATGTTTCATTCAATTTTGTGCTGTTAGTACTTTAGGCCCAAGTACAGCTGGTGTAGTTGCATGTGACAGTGTTTGATACAGGTTGGCCTACTAGACTGTTACTGTAAACAGTATTTCCTGTGGTGAAAACCAAAGATAGTTGTTCTTTCCAGCCATTGAAATGGATGCTTTCAACTGTGCTGAACCATAGCTGTAACTGCACTAGCAATGTGATCAATGCCCGTTGTATTTTGTGTTCAGTTTCTGTTCTCCTTTAAAATTTGTAACCAGTCAGAGATTGTGTGCCGTAAATGACTTGTACCTCTACAGTTGTAGGAACAGTGAGTAAAATGTGGTACACGTTTACAGCAAACCTTTTTCGTGTTTGCTTCCGTGTCGCTTTTTTGCCTTTCATGATTTGGTAATGTCAATTAAGATGAAAGCTGTAGAGGGGCTTGACACATGCTTCACTTTTCATACCATTGTGTCCCGATCATCGTCAGTAGGTTCATGTTCCCAGACGTAGCACATGAACCCATTCATTGTCATTTTGACCTATAACTGCTGGAGATTAAAACCATGTTTTTGGGTCAATACCGCTTTTCACAGGAGCACTCTCGAATCGATCACCTGCAGGGGTCGGGGGTATGCTCTCACTGTTGCCATCGTGCCTTGGGCTGCACATTCCATACCTGTACACATGGCATGCTTGGATGTAGTACGTGAAATAGACGCCTCTCTCCGATAAAAATTGGCTGTTGTGGCAGGAAAGTGTGCATGTTCGAAGACCAAACCATCTAACTCTTACCTCGCTGTGTAGTGTATGGGTACACGAACAATCAGTGCAAGAAGAAAAAGAATTTGGATGGCATCGTGTGTGCAGCACAGTACAACACGCGATGAGTACTGGTGTGATATGTTAGCGCTAAATCGCATTTCGTTGTCGCCTGCATTGGGGAAGCAGTGGGTGTCGTCAGAACATCGAGAGAACCTCTGAGTGTTGCCATTGTCATGTCTCTGCTCACGGCAGTTCGTTGGCGGCAAGAAAACCGACGAGAACAACGTTCCTGTGCTGCATCTTGAATACCAAAAAAAAAAAAAAAAAGCCTTTTCAATGAGAAAAGTTGGGGGGTGGGTCTGAGCACCCCCCCCCCCCCCCCACTTTAGATAGTGGTCACTGTCGGCTGCACGCTGGGGAAACCAGCAACTAACACGAAATTTTCCTTCGCCACAGTAATCGCTCAATTATATTGTTACGAAGAAATGCGAATGTTACCAGGGAATGCTTTAATATAGTGAAATCTTTCCAACATTTCTGCTGTAACGATTGTCCTTCAAGGCTCTTTGCCTTGTGGGCCGCCTATGCGACGCTTTCGCGCCTTCTACTGTAGCATTGCAAAGCAGGCTACAGTACAAGGCGCGAAAGCGTATACAGAGTGTTCATGTGATGTCACTTCCGCCGTTGTCGCCCTCTCCCGCCATGTCTGGGTACCTCCCTGGGTACCTACGGCAGTTCGCGTGCTGCGGTGTGGTTTGTGGGGGGCTCGTTATCTGTTGCTGTGTACGGTGTTGAACGAGAAGCATTGTGGTTTTTTTTTTTGTTGTCGTACTTTAACGAGCTCATCGAATCAGGAAGGCCTCGTTTGTTCACTCGATGCAAGACCAGAAAATCAAGATGTGCGGCACGGATACCAGCCACCGCGTACACCGGCTGCCCGCCACGACCTACGAGGGCCCGTTGTCTCGCTTTCACTACAAACACCACAAATTGCGTGGCCCAAGAACAAGTGAAAGCCCAAAGTCTCTCGAGCCGCAATTTTAAGAGTCGATGAGCGAAGCGCAGCAGCTCCCATCGAAAACGAGTTTTACAGAGCTAGGCAAGTTTACAAGATATATAATATTAATATTAATATACAGCTGTGGCCCATGCCACCAAAATAGCAGCGTCCCCCCACCCCCACCCCCCCTCCCGAAGAAACACCCCGAAGCTCTGCTCCTTCTTTGGGGACTACTTAATCAACTTGCCGCACTAGCAGCCCTCAAACTTGCATCGTGAGGCAAAACTAAATGGGCGCAAGCACGAGGAGACAGCACGGCAGCGGTAGGCGATGGAGTCGGTAGGTACCCGGGCATGGCGGTGGCGCATTTCGAAAGTGACGAAGGGGCGCTGCGTCACTCACGTGCACACCGTTTTGTTATGGAGAGGAATGAGCAATCGTTTTATGGACCAATCAGAGCGTTTACTTCTTGAGGGAAATCATTTTCTTTAATCACCTTGCTTAATTTTTTGTCGAAGCTGCTGTGAGCCGATAATTCTGACGAAATCTTTTTCAATGTTTTAGTTTTGCCGTACTGAAGCGCAAAAAAAAAAAAAATGCTTCCCGCTCTTGTTTCTGACAGACCTGATCAGCCTTCCTTATGGTAACTAGGAGCGGTGGCAGCAGTTTGCTAAGTGGCGACGTATAAGGCAGTGGACTCACCAGACCCGCTCCCTGGTTCACCGGACCAGGGAGAAGGTGAAAGACCATTATTTTTATCTCTATGCAGGCCTAACTGAGAGTCGGGCTATTTAGTTTTTCATTCAACTCAAATTGTCGTTTACAGCTCAATCGCGAAAGAGTTGGTAAGCCACTGCACATGCGATCCCTTGTTTCGCTTAGAAGTTCCTTGTTAAAAGCATCGTCGTTATCGAGCTTGCTACCTCGTTCGTAAATTTAAATACATTTATGCCTTTATGATGCGAGCTTTCGCCTTTGCTGCCAGTGCGCGTTCTTACATACGCTTGGCGGGTTTCGTCGTGACTGATCTCACGGCCGCGAACGCTTGAGTGTGATCTTTTCGACGCTCGTTGGCCAAACTCCCCGTGACAACGTACCAATTACAGCGGCCTAGGCCTAATCAGAGTTGGTTCTTTGTTGCATTTCAGTAGTGATATGGTGTACTAGAATGTTCTAGTACACTATAGTAGTGGTATAGCGTGCTAAGGTGTGGCTTGGTTCGGAATCAACGAGACTCTTTGCGACGGCTCCACTTGGAAAAAAGGGGATACATATATCATTAATGAAAACGAGAGTGACGCATGGTTCGCGATTCGATTGCGATGTGTTGAAATCCGGTACGCGCGCACCGTGGAATTGAGCAATGGCGTCTTTCAGCGCGTGAAATTTCAGACGTGATGTTACATAGCTTCTCTGTAATGTGCATAATCGAGGTGGTCTGAGAAGTCGACGATTTTTCGCGAATGGTGCTTACATTTGGTAACCCTCCCCCCCCCCCCCCCCCCCACTCTTATCCCATTTATTTCGTTGGCAACGCGGGTGTTTGAACTTTAATTTCTTTTTTAACATTCCGAAATCGCTGTGAGCACACCACGCATCGTATGCTTTGATTCTCGGAAACGCAAGGCTGCATGCTTAACACAATTTTGCGCACGTGCCACGCTTGAAAAAAGTTGGTTTGGTTATAGTGCGGATATTTGCAAGTTACGTTATAAGCGGTCTACATCTGTATATTTAATCATATATGTGCTTATTAGGTTGTACAGTCCTGCTATATCTAGTGCAAGCTATATCGAGCTTTTTTGTCTTGTTTTGGTTAGTAGATGGACACAAAATCATCGACAGCCTCTTAATTTCTTTGGTAATGTACTGTGTACCCCCAAAGCCCTCTTTGACCATGGTCAGAAAACGCTGCAGGTCAGTAGTCGAGATCTCTCAAAATGTGAGGTAGATGTCACAGCACTGCATGCGATTAGGAACTTGCAATTATGTTTCAAAGACAGCTAGAGAATGCTCACAGTAGTCTTAGCGAATTGCATACGATATAGACAGGCCCCACTACAACATGACGGGTGGAGGGAGTGACATTTGCCAAGTAGAGCATTTGGGTGCTGCATAACTAGCCACCATAGCATAGCTACTATGGCTGCCACGTGGCCGTGCTGCACTCTAGTGCTAGAACTATGCAGCACAGGAAAGCGTCATTGTGCTCATGATCCCACCGAAAAAAAGGGCTGATGTGTTCGAATAAAGGAAGGTAAAAGTGCACAAGGTCCTATAATGATTGCTGACACGGCTGCTTGCCTCTTCGTCATCGCACTTGCGTAGCTTTGTTTCATATGATGAAAGAAGAAGGTGCACCTAAATGCATGGGTCGGCAACTTTGCTCATACTCGACAAATCTTACAGATTCGTGCAGCAAACAAATTGCGAGGCTACAAACGCTGATGGTGAACTTCTTAAATGATTATGTACTTTCAACATTTGAGCGACCAAAACTGCACCACCACAGGGCCAAGGAGCAATTTCATAGTTCAAGCAATTAAACGGCTCGGAGCACCGCAATGTTGTCTATGAGCGGGCGAAGAGAAGTAGGACAGGTGCACAATTTTAGGGGCACCTTAGTGTTGCTGTGTGCATTGTCTGCTGTTGCGACGGTTCATTTCGCTTTGCGCACATCTCCTGAATCCTCGCAGTGTCTGCTAGTTTCTCTAATAAAAAAAAAATCACAGTTTTACCAGAAAGACGGAGCAATGAATATTATAGCAACATATTCGAATGTTTTACAAAGCAAGGCTAGCACTTTTAGGAGTATTATTAAATGTAGTATACATGCGCTTGATAAGTAACCAAGTTTCTTGCGGCGCGGCCACAGTAGATGACCACAAGGCTCGTGCATAATGACGGCGTTGATAAAACGCCTCTCATGGGCAGCGCGTGCTGGTACCAAGGGCTATACGTCGTGTGTGGCCGCTGGTGGCAGTTTGTTACGTGTAGCTTCTAATACACCTTTTGAACCTTCTTGTGTGTGTGCTGAGAGCGCAGGCCGTAGAAGCTCCCGCCTGCTGTGGGGGCAAGAGCCGCGCTACCGCGGCAACCATAAGCGCCCCCCCCCCCCCTTTCGCTCACGAGATAAGCGCACGCGCAGACGACCTTCGGCCGTAAAGGCAATGTTCGCACCACAGAAAGAGAAGGCTAGCGCATCGATATATATATACACGGTAATGACGGTGGCGGCGACGGCAAAAACCAGCAGAGACTGTTCATATCATTGCTATCGCAATAGAAATTACTGCTCGCGCTGCACAACAGTTAACCTGCCACCCCGTATACACTCAAACCACGGTATAAGGAAGTAAGTGAAGAACAGGTCTGTCATTGATACAGCGTTAAGAATATATGTTAAGTATAATGACTTTTTGGATATGACAAAGTACTTTCATGGCCAATGCTTCTTTATTTTAATGAAGTTAGAATGCATATAGGCTCTTTAGTGGAGCTATTTCAAAATGAAGCATCTGTGTGGCACTTGATACAAAACACGATTGCTACGGCCTTCTGTATGAATGGGTGAGCTTGTAAGGAGGTAAACAGAATGAAGAGCCACAAGCCCGTTTATCAGCCCTCGAAACATACAACAAAGCACCACTATTGCTGAAGGGTCCTTTATTTTATTTTTTTTTCCTCTTGCGCAAGTCACACATGTATGATACACGACAAATCGATTCGCCAATCCAAAATGTTACCATGACCTGCCAAAAAAAGGTCAGTTTGGGTATTGTTCATACAAAAATGTTCACAAAGCTCCGGTGTGTGCATGACATCTTCCATGTTTCCTAGCAATAAAAGAAAAAGAGACAGTGGCTACCCTTCATGCCGTGAACATTGAATTGTATTGTAGTGGCAACAATACAGCAGCAAATGGACAGCGCCAACAAAAAGCACTTGAGACAAGACGCTTATGCATGTGTGACATTTTCAAAGAAAAATATACAATACAATGTAAGTATGTACAATAAAAATCCACCCTATGCTGTCTTCACATGTTATACATGAAAGACAGTAAGTACAGGAGAAAAAAAAGGGAGGCTTGCTGTGACGTAGGTGGAAGCTGCTAACGCAAAAAAAAAATCACGTGAAAGAACTCGCTCTTGACCATGTCGTTTGCAGACTTCTTAGCGGAACACAGGTGTCACAGACGCACGCATCTGTCATTTCAAGTCATTCCATCTTGAGTTCTCTTGTAAGGCAAGCCATCACAACCCCAACACTCTTCTGACGTCCATGTCACCAGGTTTTGGGAACTTGCCTTGCAGCCATCTTGACAAGGTGGTAGTCTTTGAATGTCCTTAAATACATGTACACTGATTAAAAAAAAAAATGGAAAGGAAAAGAAACAACAACAACGCAGGAGAGAGAACATTCGAACAGCCTAGAAGAGCAGTGTGCTCATGCCACCCATGTCTCCCTGTTCCTTGATGAAGATCTCGAAGTACTGATAGATGATTGTGACTGCGAGGAGAATACCAGTGCCGCTTCCGATGGCACCTGCGTGAAGGGAGGCAATGCCAAGGCTCAGAGGGAGACATAATGCTTGCAATACAGGATGTGTTAGTTCAACAAACCTATAAGCCAGCAATACTTTTTTGCAGACTAGTTGGTTCATACTTAAAAAGATTGAATTGCTGCACAAACTTGAAGAAAAAAACAAGAGAGACAGGAAAGAGCGCACCTGCGCTCTTTCCTGTCTCTCTTATTTTTTTCTTCAAGTTTGTGCAGCAATTCAATCTTTTCAACTATAAGCCAGCTAGTCAAGTACTACCCTTTCACAAACGTTCTGCCATGCCACCTTGCAATATTCCGCAGGACCTATCTTCAGTATGCTGCACCCATATGCTTCAAGTTTTTGGCTAGTTGCCCTCATGCTACCGATTGCTAGAATCCTGGCAAGCTGAATTGGTAGGAAGACTACCCCAGAGAGGACTTGGTCTCGGATTCAATTCCTGAATGAGGGCAAATTTTTCTCTGCAGAGGCTTTTTTCCCCGAGAATTCTAATAGATTTTCTTTCGGCTTTGTACTCCAGAGTGGTTGATTGTCAATTATCAATATTCAAATATTGAACAGTATTCTAGTTGACCAAATATTTAAAGCAAACAGCCAGTATTCACACTATCAACAAATGTTTCTGACCCGCCTCCGCACCCATTTTGATCATTTGCAGAGATGCTTCACATTTGATGTAGTCCTAATTACTGCAAATGTTAAAGAAAAATTTCTCCCTCATTATCTTCGACTTGAAGCTAATACCTTGCATACATGCTTTTAGTTAGTGATGCAGTTATATTATGCAAAAATTCAACGTGACTGACAGCACAATAAGTAGCAACTTGATTACCCTTTAATGATCACTGTGCACGAAAATGTGTTCAATGAACACATTTTGGTGTTCAACGTGCTGAATGCGACACAAACTGTTCTAACAGCTTCTAGCAACAGTCTCAGTGCCTCACAATGAGTTCTTAGAAACTCCATGCAATTAGCCAGCACCATGCAATAAATTGTAATTGCAATGCATTAGTCGACAAGAAATAGTAACTTGTGCCTGGAAGAGGATACAGCATGTGTATTCTATCATAGAGTCTAGTACTGCATTTGGAGAAGATGACTCTTGCTACTCACCCAGGAAGTCGGCCAGCACTGACAGGGCCCCGATGCACAAGCCCCCGAATGCAGCTGCGGTGGGGATGTACCTGTTCAGCTCGTGAATCATAGACTTCTCTCTGTGACCACGCATGACCATCTGTTGTTCCTTTAGCTGCTTGGCAACCTGAAAGACAAGAGATGCAATTGTACGCAGCGTCCATCACAAAACCGAGCGTAAGATTGTCGCGCCATAATGCTGCCACCTTCACTGTGCAAGAAGTGCGCTTGGAAGCATCGCAGGGTGTCTCTTAACGAACTCTTTTGTTTTTCCATTTAAGAGGTACACTCCACTTTAAAGCTTGCTTAGAATATGTAAATTTATGTACTGTTTTCAAATATGCAGTTGCTTTTCTAATGCAATGTGCAATTTATAAAATATCCACGAATCTAAGATTTTTTTTCAGCACTGACAAAGTCACAAAGTAAACGAGCATATCGAAATTATCTCAAATGAGAACTGCATGCAAGAAAACAATAAGTAACTTTCTAAGTCAGTTTGATCGAAGTTATGGTATGTTGAGCATTCACGATTTAGATTTCAACTTGACATTAACTCACTCGATCATGTTTAGAGCTGTCACAACTTTCGATCAACAGATCAAAAACACCCACTTTTGGCCTATTGCATACAGTTTTCCTTCAGATTATTGAATGTTAACTTCGCAACTTCCTTGGTTCAGGAGAAAATCTTGCTCTCAAAAAAAAAAAAAAAAAACAAAAAAACACACACACACACACACGAAGTGTTCAATATTCCAAAATCGACCTGATGCAGCAGAAAAATAGTAAATAGAAAATAGAAAAATAGTAAATAGAAAAATAGTCGCATCGTTGAAATCGGCAAACAAAAGTAAAACTCGGCAAATTTCATCACAGATAAAAAAAAAAAAAACTTCTAAAGAGAAATTTACCCCCTTTGTTGGCCTAAAAGCACAGCTGAACACCGAGAACATTGTTCACTTACATCCTTGGCACTAGAGCCAGACACCTCGATCCACGTCTTGGAGAAGAAAGCGCAGGAGCCCAGCATGAACACAATGTACAGCACCGCGTGAACGGGATCTTCCAATATGTGAGCCAAGTTCTCGGGCGGCGAGAGGTAGTAACATAGGCCTCCAATGGGGTACGCCCTGGCTGGACCCGCACCGCCGACGTCCTAAACAGAGAAACGAGCAAATACAAGAACAGCAGATTCGCCAAAATTCGTGAAAGAGAATGTGGATCCTTTTATAATTGTGTCACTGTATTCCAGCGAGGTAGAAATGAATTTTACAACAACTTTTTAAAAGTAGCTAGAGCTTCGTTAAACCCCGCTTATTATACGCCGACATACAGGTGGACTTGGTCGCAGATAAGTGCGAGTGTGTGCAGATGAACATGAATAGCTTTTTCCAGCCACTAGGCCAATAAAGGTGCTTTTTTTTTTCGAGTCCATCCTTTTTTTTCGTACTACCAATCATTCAGATTTTTCGACGGTTCTAGTAGAGTCTGAGTAAAGGGTCGGCGACAGCACAAATGTCTCTGCTGAACAACAGCAAGCGAAAAACACCTGTCACGCCAATGAATGCACGGGTGTCCATGAAAGACGGACAAATCTGTAGAGACACTCACCGCCCAGACTCCCAAAAGGTTGACGAAAACATTTCCACTGAACTTCACAGCAAGCATCTGGGGGGGAAAAAAAGTACGAAAGGTAGGAAGTGAAATTAGAACATACATACTTAAAGAACAGAACATTCGACACTTCTTATAAGTTCTTTTGAATATTTTTAGCATGCTAATGACAAGGCATCAATATTGATGAAGAAGTGCACTTAAAAAAACAAAGAGACATATTCATGCACGCATGAAACGCACACATGAACTGTACTGAGAGTACTGCTTTACTGCTTAAAGGCCCATATTGCATTGCAGGAAGCCAGCGTATGAGCAACTCCTTGCCACAGGGCTCTGTACTATATGCAATGAATTGTATTACATAAAGGACACATAACAGTATTTTAAGCTTAATTTACACAGTATGCTCTGACTAAGCAACTTTCTCAATAGTGTAGCACGCATTTAGGTTGATAACGAAACGGATGCATTCACGGTAGTCATGATAGTCAAACCTACAGGTAGACGAGTTTGCATATAAGCAAAATTTTTACACCTGAGGTCTCAAGAAAACGACAGTAACGTCACAAGCATGACACAAGCATCAATTCTAATCTTTTCACTTTCCTATACAGTGCTTCAGACTGAAACAAGAGAGTGGCAGCCAAGAATTGAGCTCGCAAGGTACGACATCAGTGCATGCTAAACAGGCACTTGAACCACGATGGCCCGTGAAAAGGGATCGCACAGTTGGCTCACCTGAGAGATGACGTAGAGGTTGGAGACGAGTGCGGACTGCAGAATGATGGGGATGTTGGACGTGTAGAAGAGCTTGATGGGGTATGAGCTGTACTGCCCACGGTAGCGGGCAGACTTGATGGGAAGATCCACACGGAAGCCCTGAAGAGAGAAGATTTTGCGTCAGTCTAATGAATTGTCTACTAATTTTTAACATTTCTCATTGAGATCTCTAAACGCCTTTGACTTCCAAGACAAGAACGTGCTTTTTTTCCCACATTCACTACCCTCCTAACAGGTATTACTCCTCCTCATCACTTATTACAATATTAAAAACGTAGAAAAACATCAGCACTAAGTGTTGAGCCAATCAGGCTTTTGCGCTTCTTGAGTACATGCAGTCATCTCCGCTTGCGCAGTCGAAAAAGCACAAAAAAGAAGCGGAAGTGGTTGATTGCACATAATAGCCATGCGAGACAGGCCAGAAAAGGCTTGTGTCTGTCTACATGGCAAAGTAGGGTAGGAAACCCTTCACAACAGATATTTCACGCATACGGCCTAACGGAGAGCTCGCTTTCTCACAAAGTCGTGTGAACAGACTTCTGGATTTCCCAGGTTGTTCAGCAGCCCTTTCACAACACGGCAAGGCTTATTAAGGATAACTAGCAATGACAAGAAGTCAGCGAGCACTGTACCTGAAAGTATATGACTATGGCGAAGACTAGCACTGTGGCCAGCAGGTTCATGAGGTTCGGCAGGTTGGCACGGTAGAAGGCCTCTCGCAGGGCGCGCACCTTGTCCGACCGGGTGGCCAGCAGGTGGAAGAGCGCGATGATGGCACCCTCAAATTCAGTGCCTGCACGGAGCAACCCGTGAAAGCCCCTCTATAGCACTTCAATGAGTTTCAGGAGCATGAGCCCATTTCATTAAAAAATTTACTTATGAAGTCTCTGAAAAAAACTATCTAGTACCGGTGTGCTAAGGTGGCTTCATGGCAGTGCTTAAAAGCCATGCAGAAAAACTAGCTTTGCAAGATTACGCGAGAATTTTTTTTAGAGAGACAACTGAAACTAGATTTTAATTTTACGTCGTCCCCCCACCCAACTTCAGATTTGAAATTCAGATAAAACGGGTCCACCTACAATAATGTAAATAAGGTAGTCAAAATTACAACCATAATCAGGATCGGTCGCCAACTTGACGAGAAGTGTTGCTGTTTATTACATCGGAACATGACCCATCAGCAAAACACATATGGGGGCATAAACTGATACACTTGAACCTCAATGTAACGAAATATCATCACTTATAACAAATAAAAAGAACAATGATCTTGTCATAGTACTCAAATTTTGATAAAACGCACCCAGATTTAATGAAATATCGGTTATAACAATGTAAATGAAGAATAGTCTTGCAATCTTTATAACAAATTGTGGGATATAACATTTATTTTTATGTAAGATGCACCTTGCTTATAATGTGGTTTGAGTGTACAGTGTTACAATATACCCTTATAAAAACTTTCAAATACAGAGAAGCTATTTCTGTATCACATGAGACGTCGTTCTAGGGAGGCCAGAGTGAAACAACAAAACTCGCTGCCACCCTCCGCACCAAACCAAGCACACATTTTTCTCACCACTTACCTCGGCCAGTGTTGACAGTTGCCGGACTGAAGGCCTTCCAGACGATGGTCTCACAGATGTTGGTGGCAATGAAGAGGGAAATACCGGAGCCCAATCCATAGCCCTTCTGTAGCAGCTCGTCCAACAAGAGCACGATGAGACCCGCCACAAACAACTGGATGATGATGAGGAAGCAGACGCCAGCGCCGATGTCGGCAGGGTCACCGTACATGCCCGTCATGACGTACACGATTGCCTGGCCGATTGTGATCACCATACCGAACACTGCAAAACAATATGGAAGGCAATGATTCGGTGAAACGACAGCACCTATGGGTGTCTTCGGATTGTAAAGACATCCTCCCATGCGTTGCACCTTGTTTGAAAATTGCGAGTTGGTGTTTGATGAACAATGAATCTAGCCTTGCAGGAATTGTGGGAGAGTAGCCAATTCTAAATCTAGCCCTGAAGTTACTCTACAACAACAAAATCAACCTGATTACGGAAATAAAGTTTTGTTCAAGCCAAGTTCAAAAAGAAAAAGTAATGCGAATTGAACATGATGCAACATTAAAAACTGTGCAAGTTGGTAAAATGCCCTGGCAAACGAATAAATGCTTGCGTTTCATTTCTTCTTCAAAGGGACGTTTGTTTGTGAATTGTAGCTTTAGCATATGCAAGTCTTTTTTAATTTTTTTAAACACTAAATTCTACCCCAAAAATATTGACATAAATTCCCTGTATACCTCAGAAAACTTATACAGTCACATGATCAGCAGGTTATATAGCATTTTTCGTTTCACGGTGCTCTCCAAGTAATGGCATAGCATTTCGTGTTTTCTTTGCCTAATTGTCCTCGTAAATTCATACTCACACATATATGAGCTCGACTACCTATTTTTCGATAACATTTTCATTCGCTTTGACATCTCATCATAGTATGTGTATCCTTTTAGAACCCTGCAAAATGCACTTCGCGCAACGCTTTGCGACACTTACGCTTCTGTGCTCCGTTGAAGAGTGCCCTGTCTTTTGGTGTGTCCCCAACCTCAATGATCTTCGCGCCCGCAAGAAGCTGCATGATGAGACCTGATGTGACGATGGGCGAGATGCCCAGCTCCATGAGGGTGCCTCGGTTTGAGGCAAGAATGACTCGCATCCAGTAGAAAGGGTCTGCAGAGTCTGAAGACATAATCCCAAAAAGTGGGATCTGCAGAGAGAGAGAGCGCGAGAAAAAAATGTCACTTAGTAGAAGCACTTTACGAGGCAGCTTTTATGATAGGTAACTTCAACCTGTAACTTGTTGCTTTTTAGTTCGAGCAACTTTTAACCGAAGCACTGTTATATATACGACAGTAACATTACACTATCACAACTACTGAAACGCATATGATTGACAATGTGCTAAATAAATTGGGCTAGATAAAGCTGACACAGGAGTTTATTACAGAAAGCTGGAATTTTTTTGCCACATAAATTTAAACACAGTACTTAGTAGTGCCATTTGCTGTTTTACAGAAGCAGCAAAATAACAATATCTGACCTACAGTAACCTTAGTATACTACTCTCTGGCTCCGTGTAACTGTACTGTACACCACTGTGTATTTTACAGGTAATGTGCTTATGACTGGTTAAGATGTGCAATATATTCTCATCTCCAATATAATGAGAAATCAAATTAAAGATTTCCATTACATGAATGCACCTGCACTGATAACGAGAGTCACAATGGACATTGACGTCCTTACCAGAAAAAAAAAAAAATTCTTCTCTACATTTGCCGCTTTACATGAGATTGGGGTGTTAATTCACAGATGCTTCCATTAAAGGTCCAAATACATTCGCCCATAACTACTTGCAACTGGACATCTCACTCAAGTAATCAAACGTCAGATGCAGTCTTGCTTATTTCTTTGAATGTGAGATGCATTAAAACCCAACGTTATGACACGACAGTGACGATCATAGTGGCCAGATCAGGGGTATGACATTGCAGCTGGTGCCTATATAAATAAACAACTACCCCATTATCGAGCTAGGGCAGCTTCGCACGTTTCGGCGGTCCTATAATCAGTTCTTGCTTTTTTGCCATGTTCTGTACCTTTGGAGTTCCAAGTCTCAGAATTAACAATGCATCAGCACTGTCTGGCTAAGCTCTATGAAACTCGTGTTCAGTAACACTAATAGTTGGGCCAGTTGAGAGTCCGGTGCTTGTGTTCCTCGTCAGTGTTGTGCGTTTTTCGTTGCACCGTTTCATAACCACGGACACCACTGTACTGTTCAATTACACAAACAAACGAAACAATATCATCATATGTTTCTGCTATCTGCGCAAACCCCCCCGTTTATTCACATACTGCAAAACCGACCAAACTCCACCTGTCAAACAAACAGCACGAAACATGCCTAGAACAGTAACTTCTTTTTGGGTTAATTCTGCCTTTTGATGCTGCCAACAAACACGATTCTTAGTAAGCGCTAATCCATATGCTGCAAGTGAGCATCTACTCTCCATCCGATGCCATTCGTTAAGCAGCACAACCCACTTGAAATGTATCGAGGTCAAGTAGGTGCTTTTAGTCTTACCTGGCAACAAACGAGGAAGATGAATAGGGTGATCGCAGTCCATAGCACCTTTTCTCGAAACTGAATCTGGAATTACAGGAGAACATAGAAGGTAGTGCCATAAGTATAGTTTGACTGTAAGAAACAGGGAGCCTAGACATGTTTACGACAGAAATACCCAACGTATTGCTTACTTTTCGTTCTGGCTTTGCGACTTCGGGGAGGATTCCACAAAATGGTTTGATAACTTCTAAGAATTTTACTGCAAAGATAAAAACACGATAACATTATATGACAGCAAGCTCGCCACATCAGCAACACCAATTCATACATCATATGTTAACGAAGTTTCAGCGGGCTTCGTCGTCACACCAAGGTGACCGCATTGTAATGAGAAAGAGGTAAGACACTTTTGATGATTAGACTTTGCAAGACTGGTTGGATATCTATGCACGTCCCGAGAAGGAAAATTGTGCAGATACATGCGACACTAGTGCACAAGCGATAGGATGCGGAATGTAGCGGTAACTTTAGCTGCTTGAGAACTTTTAAACATTTCGCGAGGAACGAACCACAAGTGACTAGCGCTCGCTCGCGCCCGGAACTTTCACGGTCATGAACATGAACTGATGACCCTCCGTATAATGACCTAGATGGGATATGCCACGAACGAGGCTTTGGGTGATAGTACAGTAAAATAACACTCAAGTATGAAAACTGTTTGTGAACAAGTCACGTAGGACCGGCTGTTACGTCCCTGACAACGTGTCAACGTCACCAGGTTGACACTCAAGGCGGCTTTCACGGTGACCCCGAAAGAAAAACCAGCCAACTTCGACGCAATCCCCACTGCCGAAAAAACCCCGCTGGATCATCGTACGGAACGAATGACAAAAGCAGTGCTCGTGTACAAATCTCCAATTCGTGAGACATCCACTGAAAGACGTCGAGTGGTGCCCCTACGGAAGCCAACCAACGCGAACACCCAAGAATGCCGGCATGAAAAATCCGCGTCAAAACCTTTTCCACTGTCGCGTCAATCCCAACGATCGAACGTTGGATCGGCTGTTGTAAACACTGCCTAGCACGCCGGGCTATGTAATAAAAATGCTGCGAAATCGCTCTACTTACTCCCCATGTTGTTCACTTGAGAGACCACTCGCCGAGTAGTGTATGCGACGGCCGACTACGACGAACTGTCCAACCACACACACGCACACGGCTGCCAGCGGCAGCTAACAACCGGATAGCGTAGCGTACACCGGAGCAAAAGAACTGACCACGTCGCCAGCGTTGCGCATGACGTTGCAGCCGCACATTGTGCAGAGCATGCGTGCGTTTTGCAGCCGACGTTGTGTAAACTGATGCTGCCAAGAATATCATTAAAAAAACACAACACGTCAACGTTGTCACTGGTGTGCTATAATTATAAAATTCTTAAAACCGAGATTTCTTAAAATGTAGAGTAGTTGTAGTGATGGGTTTGCAATATTAAAAACAAGTTAAACAAAAAAAAAAAGACTGGTTTCGAAACTGATTGCGTTTACTCTCCTTCTCACAATTCCACTTGCGGCAGCAGTAGCCATTGCATTGGTGCGTCGTGCGGAGAATTTGTTTATTGCTGCGTAGCGGTCGTGCTTGCGGCAAAATTTTGAGACGCGGCACTGCAGTTAGCGGTGTGTTTTGCAAGACGAAAAAATAATAGTTCCATGTGGCCGTCTCACGAGCGTCGACGGTGCCGTCCCTTGCGATTAGCCAAGTTCTAACGAAGCCTTTGTGCGCTCGTCGCTTACTGGTTCTGCGCTGACCAACCAAGTGGCTGTCGCTTCCCAGGTTTGTCCTTTTTTATCGTCACTTTGACCAATAGGTTCTCTCTGGGTTCGTCATTCGAAGCTGACGAATTAAAACATCGCCCGCGATACCTTCGAAGCACGTGCGATGCGATACGCAAACTGCTGCGAATTCAACGAAATTTTTTTTTTCTTCGTCATCATGCCAGCTTGCGATCTTTCGTGGAGCAGCGCATAAAATGTCGAGGCGAACTAGGCTGTTAGCATTTGCCGACGCGGGGCATTTGCGGGCAGTTGTCGACGTTGTTTTCGATTATACCTCCTTAATCGAGGTATTTGTTCCCGGACTTGTAGCGATTTTTACGAGGATTTGGTACGGAGACGAAGGAAAAAGGCCTAGCCATGTCGTCGGTGGGCTGCTTTTTAAGAAAGCCCCCCCCCCCCCCCCTTTTTTTTTTTCGTTGTTTTGCGCACTGCACTGCTACAATGGCAGGGTTCATTCGCATACTGCTGGCCCCCTTTTGCTGGGTTACCGCGCTCATTCTTCCGGGATCTATTTTAAGCTCGAACTGTCAAATTCCCCGAGTAAAGCTTCGTGTCATGTGCACATCTTGTTCGACTGTGCTTGACCAGGCGTGATTATGTATCGCGATTTGCAATGCGGAAGGAGTAAAACGAATCATTGATAGCGCGTGCTACACTTGTACCTCAACAGGCTGATAATGGATCTCCAGCTGAGGGAAAAAACAAAACAAAAAATTAATATAGAGACAGACAAGAAGATATGCACTCAATCTCGTCTAGATTGGCGTAATCTTGGAGAAACTTCAAAGCAAGTGAGCTTTGATGGCGTGATCATCACCGCGCGACGTTATGAGTTTTTTTTTTTTTTTTTTTTTGCATTTTGCGTATGCACGCTCTGCGTCAAGCAGGAACGAAGAGTTTTCGAATAGGGTCTGCGGCGTTTTGGATACTCTCCGAAGTCTCGGTCATGTCACTGCAGTGGATGCCATCACGTCTTTGTGGCGCAAAGTTTTTGAGGCAGGCTTTGGGGCTCCTGCTAAATTTGAGAAGTAGCATCCCAAACGCGGTTTGGGTGTTGCGCTTGCGCAGTGGCCTTGACGCTATTTCTTTGGGGCCCCTATTCGAAAGCTCCCTATTTGGTGCTGCACGCGGATCGGTAATAAATGCACGGAGATGAGATTTAGCGTTGTCAGGTTTGTCTCTCTCTTGGTGTGTGTTTGTGTGACTGACACCTCTTTAGGCATCATCAAGTACCTTTATATTTATTGGGCAAACCTGATTAACATAACTCGGATATCTTAAATTACCGCATAAGGCTCTACTCAACATCGAACAATTAAGCACTCTTTTTAAAGTATGCATCACATAATTCATTGCATCATAAAACTTGCCTGGAAGCAATGGTTACAGTCCGCACCTTTTAAGCACGTAGATTTTGTGAGCTTCATTAGAACTGATAGTACATGGTAGCGCAGACAAAGGACACAGACAAGAGAAGGCACATTCAAGACAACACAACGTAGTGCTGTGTTGTCTTGAATGTACCTTCCCTTGTCAGTGTCCTTTGTCTGCGCTACCATATATTATCGTGCTACCGTACCAACAAGCCCAAATCGTCACCCTCATTGACTTAATTAAAACTGTTTCATCACACATAAGTGAACATTCTGTGCATATTTTGGCCCAATCTGCTAGGTCATTAAATTTCATAATTAACACATTTGTAACATAGGGGTTTGGTTTGCGCAGCGTAATGATCCACACACAAATAGTGCAGTGCCCAATTTATTCTGCCACTTGGGCACTACCTTGTCAGCCAGTCTCGGTGAACATACTGGCAAACATTACTGTCTATTTGAGGTGGCACCCCATGTGAGCATAAAAATAAATTGTAAATACTGATTGTGCTCATCTTTTACTGCTGTATAATGTTTAGGCGAAATTTGCCCTTATCCCAAACCATTTTTTTTTTCTCAGGATGGAAAACGGCGATAACGATGGTGGCAACATTACCGATTCATTCCTCACGGAGAGTGGCCAGTACATAGTACATGCAGAAGGTATGGAAGTTTGGACTATTTCAATCAGCGTACTAACGCAGCTGTGTCCCAGAATAACAGGATATTGCAACCAGGGAGTGTTACAGAGTTGCAGACTGCAGTGTATAGATGCTCGGTTGAAAGCAAATGGGGAATTTTTCCCATTCGTCTGCTGGCGTAAATGTGTTGGCGGCAAGTTGACCACCGTCTGTTCCATGCTGTTGTCCTAAATCGTGAAGGGACATGGCAGGATATTTTAGTTGTGGCCCCTCTTGCCAACATGTCTCAATTACTCAGCACAAATAAAACTCCCTTTTTGGCTGGGATAGTTCGCCTTTACAGTTTCTGGTGCATGCGATTGGCTAGGGCTTGTGTTTAGATCGCATTTTGGAGACATATATATGAGCCTCAACCAATCGCGCGTAGTAAAAATGTCAGATGCGCCCCCATTACCATCCTTGATGTACAGTATGGTCCACGGTTAAAGGGAACACTCGAATGCACATCATCAATATTCCTGGCCCTCTAAGAGCAAGTGGATTAAACATTCTTCATGCAAGTCAATAGTCTGTCTAAAGGAGTCGGAACTTTCAACCACCAGTAGTCTCATGCATATCTAAGCTGCTATGATCCCGTAAGATAGCGAAATCTAAACATCCTGCTCATGCAGGTGTTCCCTTTAACAGTGTACCTGTCTGTACGTATCTATGACCCGAGGCCTAGCGGTTACGGTACTCGGCTGCCGACCTGAAGGTTGCGGGATCAAATCCTGGCCGCTGTGGCTGCATTTCAATGAAGGCAAAATGCCCGAGGCCCATGATTTAGGTGCATGCTAAAGAAGCCCAGCTCGTCAACATTTTCTGAGCCCTACACTACAGCGTCTCTCAATCACCTTGTGGTTTTGAGATGTGAAACACCAGATATTATAATTAGCAGTACGTATCTATAAAGTAGTGTGATATAGTCATCTGCTAGCATGTGTTGTCTGTGCTGAATGTTTTTTCGCAGCTATTTTTATTGTTTAACTGTTGCAATAGTGCAGGGTTGGTTATAAAAACCAGAGATTTGGTCGCAGCTAAAGAGTTCATCATGAAACTAGAGTGCTCGTGTATGTGTGTATATACCGCTGTCCCTAGCTACATAAAAAAAAGCATGCATGAAAACTATATACATGCGCGATTCCTTGACCACGTCCCAGACAGGGTTGGTTATAAAAACCAGAGATTTGGTCGCAGCTAAAGAGTTCATCGTGAAACTAGAGTGCTCGTGTATGTGTGTATATACCGCTGTCCCTAGCTACATAAAAAAAAAGCATGCATGAAAACTATATACATGCGCGATTCCTTGACCACGTCCCAGACAATTTTGTTCAGAAATGGATATGTTGGATGACGCATTCTCTAATGAGAGACCACCTTGTCACTTGTTAGGAATGAACCTCTGAGTGCTCCTCTTTGCAGAGATAGCATCAATTCTCCTCTCTGCTTTATCGTGAGTTTTTCATACGTTCCTCTTTGCGTTGTACCACCCTGTATGGTAGCAGATGCCATGTCACTTTGCTTGTTTTAGCTATCATTACACTGACAGCACTGTAGTCCTGAGGATGCTAATGTGCTTGTACTATAGACAAGTGTAGTACAATATATAAAGTTTAGAAGAAGTTGCTGTTGAGCGAGTTGGTCTATAGACAAGTGTAGTACAATATATAAAGTTTAGAAGAAGTTGCTGTTGAGCGAGTTGGTGCAGCTTCGCAAACATATCCAAGTGCCCGAACAAGCGACCAAAACGAAAGCATGAGAGAGAGGGGCACCTGCCCTGGTCTTGTGTTCTTCTTGAGGTCATTTGTTTGCACAGAAAAAAAAAAAAATATTTGCCGAGATAATGGTTGCACAAGCTAGCGACCATGACTTAGCCATGAACTAAGACATCATCGCTGTCACCCTTGGCACTCGCATATAGAAGCACATGAAGTAGAAAAAAACATTAAACAACACAGCAAAGGTATTTAAAGACTGGGTACTAAAAGCCTAAAAGAAGACCACAGTGGTTATTGTTAATTCCCGTAGTTATACTGCTAAGCCCATCCCTTTATTGTTGTAACATGGCTTTAAAGTTTGCTTCTGTGGCTTTCGTGGCACTGGAAAGGACCTCTAAGGCCGCGTTCACACTGAGCATTCCGGCCGCCGAGAGTGCTCCGAATCCGGTTCGGTGGCGGCGAGATCCGCCGAAAGGGCCCTCTCCGCGCTGATCGCTCTCGGACCAATAGGAGCGCTAGTCAAGGAATTTTGAAAAATGGCGGCCAAGCCCTACTTACTTGTTATGCCGCAGTGCACATAACTGAATGTTGAAACCAACGAGAGTTTAACCTACTCTGTGCCTACTTCGCGTCCGTATTTCGTGGAAAAGGTGACCAAGCTTGCTGTTGG